GAGCTGGGAAAGGGCGTCTTCAAAGTTAGTTCGTTGCCTTTTGCTCTTCGCCTCTTGAGAGTTTCAGCGTCGTTCTTGACTGTTGTTGGAGAATGGCAGCAGCGGCAGAGAGCGGCGCCGCCCCCGGCGGCCCGGACGCGCCCCGGCAGCGTCAGCGGGAGATAGAGTTCATCGAGTTCGAAACGAGAATGAGGCACCTAATTGTAGAGGTCAGGGCACTGCAGGGGCAGCGTGGACACCTTGGAAGATGCCTACATTGTGCTTTGTGCACCGTTCGCTGCTCAGCTGATAGAGCCGACCATCCACCGTGTGACGCAGACGGAGTTGAGCCTCAAGAGTCTGCGGGAAATGAACGAGAGAATTCAGAAAGGTCAGCAAAAGCAGAGTCCGAACACCTGCGGGCCTTCTTGCAAATCCTTCCCAAGCCCCCGCTCTCTCTCTCTCTGTGTGTGTGTGTGTGTGTGTGTGTAGACATGCACGACGCCCAGTTGCTGTCGGTCAAGGCCGACCAGCAGGTGTCCATGGTGGAGCACTTCAGAGAAGAACTCTCCAAATGGGACGTACAGAGACGCAACCACGTGAGCAAGACAGCCAGATGTAGGGTAGGGCCCACCCTGACTGACGTGAATTGTGTTGGTTGGCCCACCCTGACTGACGTGCAGGAGTCTAAGCTGACGGAGGAGCTGAGCGTGATGAAGCATGACCTGGACGGCTTCAGATACAACCTGGAGAGAAAAGACACCACCATACAGGGTACGGTACATAGCGCATACGCACTGTGGCTGTCTGGCTGAGGACGACGCCCTTCCCCTCTCTGGTGTGTCAGGTCTTCAGCGTGCGGTGGAGCGCGCCACCCAGGAAGTCAACCGCCTGATGGACGGCCAAGACCAACTTAGGTATGTATCCACAGCCAAAGGCCACTTACTGACTGCCCAAGGCCACCCCTTTCTCTCCCTGTGTGTCTGTGCTGTGGTTGCAGGCAGTACTCGGATGAGCGCATCGACCTCCAATCCAAGCAGCTCAGCGACTTCAGAACCGAGACAGAGGTATGTGGCTGACACACCAACAGCAAGTCCATCATGAGTACACAGAACTGTCCGTGTCCGTGTCCGTGTCTGTGTGTGTGTGTGTGTGTGCAGGTGAAGCTTGTGGCGGTGGAGACCAAACACAACGCCCTGGCGGACGAGCTCTGGGGAGAAGAAACAGGACTAGCAAAGGTCACTCAGCAACCCTCCCGCCCTCCATCTCCATCTCCATCTCCATGTCTCCCTTACTCCCTCCTGTGCAGGTGACTGGTGAGCTGAACAAGTCCAACCAGATCGTGAGTGCGCTCAACGAGGAGGTCAAGCGCATCGCCCGCTCCAAGGCGTCCACCGCCGACTTCGAGAAGCTGCAGAGCGAGGTCAAGGACTCCATCGAGGAGTCAGCCAGCGCCGTGGCCACACTCAAAACATCCGTCAACTCGGCCGTGCAGGTCAAGTGGTGCAGAGACAGAAGAGATGTGACATTGTGTGTGTGGTGTGTTGTGTGTATATCAGGAGGTGAAGGAGCATTTCCGCACGGCATCCAACACCATCGCCGCACACAACGCAACCATGATGCAGGGTGCGGGGCGGTGCAGTGCGCACAGGCGCACAACTACAACTACGCAGATAGACCGATATGGACACAACACAACACAACACACCCCTGGGGCTGTGTGGTTCTTATGTTTGTCAGAGGTGCGCGCGGCCTACACGGACGAGCTGACTCATGCGGCCAAGCTGCGCAACGACGTGCAGAACTTCATGCACGACACCCAGGGGGCCATGCAGAGCCTCGAAAAGACAGTCGACGGCATTCGCTCACAGACTGAGGCGATGGTCAAGGTGATGGACTGACTGCAGCAGAAAGAGACAGACAGACAGACAGCCACACAAACATGTGTGTTGTGTGCAGGAGGTGCGGCTGGACGTGGAGGAGCTCAACAAGAAGCGCAAAAGGGACAAGGCAAACAGCGGTAGGGAGGTCGGTCGATCAGGTGGTGACATGGCACCAATATATATGTGGTGTGGTGTGGTCATTCCCTCGGTAGAGATCGAGTTGCGTCAGCTCAAGAAGCGCATCGGCGGTGTGTACGATAACAGCGATGCCGTCCTCAAGGGCATCGAGCACATCGCCGGCGTAATGGCCATCGTCCTCGAATCAAACAAGGTCACACACACACACATACACACAGACACAATGGCTGTGTGTGCGAGTGGGTGCATAGGCGCGCTTATGCCTCTCTGTGTCTGTCAGGTTGCGTGTGCGGTGTCCCTGCAAGACGACGACGACCGACGGAAGGTGGCCTTGATGGGGTACAAGGAGGCGGGGCAAGGCGGGCCTTCAGCACAACAACCCGGCGCAGCACCCATAGCTCGCAAGGGCACACAGGCCGCACCAACCGTCATCTCCGTCAGTACATCGCCCTGGCAATGCCTCCACCTTTCATTGTGGTGTGGCGTGTGTCTCCCTTCCTCCCTCCCTCCCTCACTGATCAGGTTGACAATCGGTGTCTGTCGTGCAGCGGTCAGTCTGCCACCGTGCTGGCGGGGTTCAAGATGGCGTGTCTCCAGTACCACCCAGGCCCTGTGCCCTACAGCGGAAAAGTAGAGACAGACAGACAGACCACCCAGGTAGACACCACACATATGGGTGACCGACTGACTTTCAGCATTACTCTCGAGGAGAGCTCCTTGCCATCCGCAGCCAGTTGATTGAACAAGTAAGAAACCACACAGCGTGCCAGGCCTCACACACAACATGTATATATTGGGACGGGATGCGCTGCAGGCGTCTGAGGCTCTGCATCTGGGCCCCGAGGGCCGTGGTGGCGGGCCGAGCGGCGGCATGATATTCGGCAGTGTCGCGGCTGAGGGACGAACGGCGCCAGGCTCGGCCTCATCCGTCCAGCGGGAGCTCCTACACGCAAGCCGGTCGGTATACAAACACACACACACAGATTCCAGATCAAGACAGCAGAGACGTGGATTCGTGCGTCACCGCTGCCTGTGTCTCGTGTGTGTCCCCCGTCCAGCAGCCTTGCTCAATACTCCCCCGGCAGCATGGGCTTCAACCTCGGTGGCGGGTCAGGCACCAGGTCCTCTGTGCACTCGAGCGCGACGTCGGGGAGCGGCGGGAGAGGGAGGGTGCCCACACCCCTCGGGCAGACTGCTGGTATGGGTGTGGGTGTGGGTGGGCTGCCCAACCTGCAGTCGGCTAGTGGTGGCAAAAGGACCACCATCGGCCCAGCCATGACGGCCAGATAGATGAGTAGACATATCTCTCCCTTCTCCAAACAGGAGAAGAGAGACCACACCCGTGGTGCATGCCATGCCATGCCATGGCAGGGCATGATTGTATGGGAATGCGTATGCGTATGCGTAGTGGACCCTATGTGCTCAACATGTTGTGGTTGTACTTTTGCCTTTCGTCGGATAGGGTATGCCCTCACATGAGTCACACGTTCGTTCATTGAGTAGTTAACTACATCCATCCGTCACACGCACCGCACACATGGAGAGGGAGGTGTCCATGCCATTCCATGCCCGTAGGGGCAGGCAGGTAGGCACATCACGGGGCGATTCAAACCGTCCTTAACACTTGCTCATGAGTTGTGGCCTCATGTCTTGTGGCCGCCTGACTTAGCCATTCCCTGATGCCGTTTATCGATGACCAGTTCCAACCAGTCACCAACAAACAGCACAAGAGAATCTGCCAAGCAGGCGACCATCAAGCGGCGTGAGACGCACACTGAGAGTTAGCTCAACACACTTGGGCAAGCAAGGCAAAACGAGCACCTCACTCGCCACCACCCCGGCCAATCCAACCCACCCCACAAGTACACGACACGCCGCACCCGCCCGCACCCGTCACTTGTGGGCGGCAGCGGCAGCCTCAGCGGCCGCCTTCTTCTTCCTGATGTTCCACGCCTTCTCCATCTCCTCCCGCTTCTTCTTGCCGCGGCGGTGTGTGCCAAGGCGCTTCTTGGAGAACTTGAGGGCGCGCTTCAGCGAGGCAGCCGTGCCGACCTTGATGAGCTCGATGATGCGCTTCTCGTAGGGGGCGAAGCCGGCCACTTCGCGGATGACCTCGCGGGCGATCTTGACGCGGTTGTCGGTCTTCTCCTCCCCACCCTTGCCCTTCCTCCGCTGGGAAGGCTTGGGCGGCAACTCACGCTTCGTCACGATGTAGCCACGGTCCTTCTTCCGACCGGCTGATGTGATGGCATACACACACGCACACACCGACGCACAAGCACAGAACAGCCAGCAGTAAGGGAGGGAAAGGTGTGTGCGGCAGAGATCTACTCTCCTCTTTCTGTTTTTGCGCTTATCGTCGTGTTCACTGACCTGCTATGCCCGTGTTTGTCGACATCGTTCCGACACAAGCGTTTTTCCAGTTGCGAGCTTGTCAGCGAATTGCGAGCTAAGCTCGCAGATGGGGTGGCGGGAAAAGAAGAAGACAGAGGAAATCAACGCTTCATTCAAGTGCCGAAGAGCCACTCATCCAAGATCTTCGGCCGCTGATTTTTGCGAGTGCAGCATTAGCTAATCTATTGCGGTGTCCGTCCGTCTATCTATGTGGCTGTTCATTGCGTGCTGCCTGGCCCATTTTTGTTGCCTCTGGCAGCATGCTTTTGCCATCTCTCCATCATGGCGATCTGGCAGGCGAGCCGAGGCAAGGAGGAGATCCCAGTCAACCCTCCTGCAGCCGGCCTTCTTGCTGCAGCTGCCCAGTAGCCATGGACCGCTGCAGCTGCACATGCTGCAAAGAGGGAGGATGCGACCTGCCGTCCATGAGAGGGCGCTGTTGGCTTTTGAGAGGCGTCGGCTGGGGAGGCCGGCTGGTTTTGGTGGCGATGATCGTTCTTCTCTTCTGCGGCTCGGGGCTGCGGGCGCGACTGCAGAGAAGCAGAGTGTCAAAATGGGAGAGGTGAGTGAGGAGGTGGCAAGACATGCACACCACACATGCATACACACACCAGCTGCCTCACTGCGGAGGGGTGTGTGTGTGTGCAGGTGTACGAGGGTTCCATCCAGGGCGTCTTCTCCACGTATGCCTTTGTGAGGTTACCTGACGGCCGGGAGGGGTGGCTCCCGGCGACGGAGGTCAGAGCGGAAGAGAGTGACATGATCGACCTCACATCCGTGCTGCACGACGGCATGAAGCTCCCCGTCTATGTCATGGGGGAAGACGACTCCTCAGGCAGGTGGCGGGTCTCACTCAGACGGGCGGCCGACCAGCTCAGAAAGAAAGAAGAACAAGACGACGAGAGCGACGGCACCGACACCCCGGCCTTCGCGACCTCCTCTGTCGCCCCCCCACGTCAATCGTCGTCTGCGAATGTCAATGGCAGCCCCGCCCCGACTGTGTCTGGCGGTCCCTCCGCCTCTGGTGCGCGCGGCAGGTGGTCGGCGGCGTCGGCAGCAGCGATGACGCCCGAGTCTGTTGGTCTGGCGAGTGAAGTGGACGCCACTGTAGCCAGTGTTTTCCCCAGACATACCCTGCTCAAATTCGACCAAGCGTAAGGGAGGGAGGGCCGGGTGGGGTAGTCAGGGAATGGATGGATGGATGGTGTGTCTTGTGGCTTGCTGTGTCCGCGCTATGATAGGCCTGATGTGGTGGGTTTTCTGCCTGCGGTTGACTTTACGGCGCAATACGTCAAGGACATGAGAGACGTGGGTGTTGGTTGACACCGTCACAGGGGCATGATTTGACAGAGGACAAGACACATCCACACACATCTCGTGTGTGTTTGGTGCTGTCTGTCATGTCAGCATCTGAAGGAGGGGAAGCCCCTGCGCGTGGCTGTGATCAATGTCGGCTACTACAACGGCAAACTACAGGCCAAATGCTCAACGAAGTGAGTGAGCCTAAAGCCCCGTCCCGCCCCACCACACGAGACCACACCACACAACAGACGACTCCCTCTTTCCTCACTGACTCATCCATCCATCCATCCATGCATCGATTTGTCAGGCTTCTGGACCTTAACAGAAACGGCGAGGTGCAGTCCAGCCCCCCCACTCCCAGAAGAGCGTCTCTGCTCCCGGTTGTGTCTGAGGGACCCTCACGCCCCTCAGTGCTGCCCACCGTCTCTGACGGCCCGCCACCACGCCCATCACCACAGCCTTCATCGGCTGCAGCGTCATCCCCACCACGAACAGGCCCAGTGGTGAGCAGCGGCCCGTCGAGGGAGACGAGGCTGCCACAACGCGCACCGCCATCTGGGCCGTCAGAGGCGTCGGCAGCGGATGTGGAGGCCGGCAAGGTGTATGTGGGAGAGGTCAAGTCGCACCCGATGCCTCAGCTGGCGCTCATTACGCTAGAGAACGGGGCTTTTGTTTCTCTACACGCATCGGAGGTCAGTCAGTTGTCAGTGCCGCCTCTTTCTCTACTGTGATGGATGGATGGATTGATGAATGGATGGATCCGGATGTGCACATCAATCAGGTGGGGTATCGGTACGTGAGTGACATCGCCGCTGAGCTGCCTGTGGGCGAGAAGGTGCTGCTCGTGCTCAGAGAGATAGTCGAGGTCAGCGAACACATAAGACCCCACACAGTGACATGACACTGACACGGCTGCTCTCAACTTTCGATGCATGTATGTATGCGTGTGTTGCGACCGTTTCCAGGATCGTCGCGGGCGGCCTCAGATCCGGATGACCATGAAGAGAAACGAAGACGCCCCCATGCCACACAGAGGAGACGTACGTCAACCACAGCCAAGCAGACAAGCCCTACCTTCTTCTGTGTGGCTTTGGTTTGTGATCTTGTCCATTCAGGAGTTTGAGGGCCGTGTGTCGCGCACAGCCAAGGACTACGTCTTTGTCAAGATGCCCAACGGCATGGTAATACTAGACCAGTCACGCTGACCACGCAAAGCGCTGCCTCCATCCATTGGATATTGTGTGTGTGTGTGTGTGTGTGTGCAGGATGGTCTCCTTCACCGCCGTAACGTCCCGGTCTTGCGTAACAAGAGGGAACCAATGGTACGCCGTAGTACAGCCACTTGGCTGTCGAGTCGATGCTTTTCCAATGTGTGTGAGTGTGTGCGTCTTGTGCTGCCTGGCCTGCAGAGCGTGTTCTTTGACGTGTGTGACCCCGTCAAAGTCAAAGTCACCGAAGTCGAGCAAAACACCGTGAGCGAGATCCCCTCCCTCCCACTGGCACACCACTTGCGCACCATTCGCACCGCACACCCACCATATCCTCTCTCGTGTCATGCCTCCACCAGGGTCGTGGGCCGCCCTTGAAGGTTTCTCTCGAGCTGCTCGACATGCTTGGCGAAGAGGACATGGAGAAAGCCGAAGAGAGAGAGGGCGGGGGAGCCGAGGGCATGACAGCGGACGAGACAGAGGAGGGCGAGATCGACTTGGCTGATGTGGGTGATGATGTGGGGGCTGATGTGGACCCGTGGGCTGAGCAGGCGGCCGTGACGGACATGGGAGTGGGTATGGGGGCGGCCACTGCAGTGGGGCTGGGGAAGAAGAAGGCCCTCAAGAAGACGGTGAGTTAGTTAGTCGGTCGGGCAAGAGAGCTGAGCTGGGCTGTGTGCGGATGTGATGTACCTCTGTGTCTGTCTGTGTACCTTTGTCCGTCAGGACGCCAAGAGGAACGACGACGCGAAATACAAGAAGAAGCCGAAAAGGAGACTGGTACTGCATTCAGCCATGCGACGGATACATACACATGCATCCTCTAATCTCCGTGTGATGTCTGTCGATGTCCGATTATCTGTCTGTCTGTCTGCAGAAGGACGACTACAGCAGCCACGACGACCTCGCCAACTTTGAGAACGAAGACGAGGAAGCCGAAATGGTCCGCAAAATGGAACGAATCGCCGAAAAGAAACTCAAAAAGTAAGCTGCCCCTCCCCCTCCCCCTCCCCGTCCCCCACTCGCTCTCTCACCACACACATGATGATGATGATGATGTTGTCTGTCTGCAGGATGCGCAAGGAGCGAGAAGAGCGAATGCCCGAAGGCCAGAAGCCGGTGGTCATCCCTCTGGGTCAGGTGCTGACGGTCGGACAGGTGGCCGACAAGCTCGACGTGGGGTCGGCGGCGGTGGTCAAGCACCTGATGCTGCAGGAGGGCGTCATGGCCAACGCCATGGCACCGCTGCAAAGGGATATGGCCGTCAAGGTCGTTGAGGCCTTCGGGCGGGAGGTGGCTGAGACGGATGAGGTCGAGGACGACGAGGCGCAGCTCTATGACGAAGAAGAGGCCAGGGTGAGACCGACCGATACACATGGGGGGCGGGCGGACGGTTCCAATCTGTCTGTGTGTGTGTGTGTGTGTGTGCAGTTACTAGAGGAGCTGCAGCAGAAGGAGGACGACCCCGCCTCCCTCAAGCCCCGCCCGCCCATCATCACCATCATGGGCCACGTCGACCACGGCAAGACCTCTCTCCTCGACGCCATCCGATCCACCACAGTGGCAGCCAAGGAGGCCGGCGGCATCACCCAGCACATCGGCGCCTACACCGTCAAGGGCCCCTCGGGCGACAGCCTCACCTTCATCGACACCCCCGGGCACGCTGCCTTCTCGCAGATGCGCAGCAGGGGCGCCAATGTGACGGATGTGGTGGTGCTGGTGGTGGCGGCTGACGACTCGGTCATGGAGCAGACGAGGGAGTCGATACGCATGTGCCGGGCGGCGGGGGTGCCGGTTGTTGTCGCCATCACCAAGATCGACAAGCCAGAGGCGAACCCTGATTCGGTCATCGGCGACCTGGCCAGCGAAGAGATCGTTGTCGAGGATCTCGGGGGCGATATTCAATGCGCCAGGTCGGTAGGGTACACACATACACTCACTGTGCCCTGCCCTGTTCGTTCACCTGACTGGTGCGTGGTCTCTGTGTGTCGTCAGGGTGTCGGCAATGACGAAGGATGGCCTTGACGACTTGCTTGAGAAGCTGGCCTTCTCTGCAGAGATCATGGACCTCAAAGCCAACCCCGATCGGCCAGCCTCGGGCACCGTCCTGGAAGCCTCCGTCGAGCAGGGCCTCGGCGTTGTCGCAACTACACTCATACAACGAGGCACACTCAGGTATCCTTGACGCCCCCCCACACCCACACCCTCACCGCCATACACCCTTTTTTCGAGCTCCTTTTGTCAGGGTGGGCGACATCGTTGTTGCTGGCGGTGCGTACGGCAAGATCCGCGCCCTTCGGGACTGGCAGGGTCGGCCGATCAAGGAGGCGGGCCCGTCGGAGCCGGTGCAGGTGGTTGGCATCAACAGGGAGGTCCTGCCCTCTGCCGGCGACCCATTGGAGGTGGTCGACACGGAGTTCCAGGCCAAGGCGCTCGCAGAGGTGCGGCGGAAGATCACCTCGACGGCAGAGGGGGCCGGCAGGTTCGGCAGCCTGCTCTCGGAAACCGTTGCCACCATTGCTGGGGTGAGTGAGCCAGGAGGGAGAGGAGGGTCTGTCTGTATTCTTTGTGAGGTGTGCATGTGCATGGTGTGTGTCGCGTGGACGGATGGATGGCTGATGGATGGGATGCAGGAGAATGGCGATTCCAAGGAGCTGACGGTTGTGGTCAAGGCGGACGTGCAGGGGTCGGCAGAGGCCGTGTCCAACTGGTGAGTGGAGTGGATGTGAGTGGATGGAGGACGGGCAATGCACACACAGCACAGGACAGGACAGATCCTTCTTCCATCCATCTGAGAATTGGATGTGTGTGGCTGTGCTGGTCGGTTCGGTTCATTCATTCAGTGTGGGTGGTCTGTTCAAGGAGGACCCCACTGGCAAGGCGACCGTCAAGGTCGTCCTGGCTGAGGCGGGACCAGTCACCAAAGTAGGCAGGGAGAGATGCATGGAATGGACGCCAGCCAACACAGCACAGCACAGCACACAACAGACGCACTCGGGGTGTGTTGTGCGTATGGGGTGGTGGCTGGCTGTTATGTGTGCGCAGACTGACGTGGTGACGGCGTCTGTGGGGAGGGGTCTGATCATCGCCTTCAATGTCGGCATCAATGATGACGCTAAGGTCAGTCAGTCACCGAACGCACACATGCGCCTGCCCAGACCGACATCATTGTCTCTCCCTCTCTCTCTCTCTCTATGTGCGTCTGTGTGCAGAGGGCAGCTGCTGACCTCGGCCTTCCCCTCTTCCACTGTCGAATAGTCTACGAAGGTGACCATCAATCACATCACACAAATCCATGCACCAACAGAGAGAGATTTTTCCATTTCCATGTATGGCTGGCCCTTCTCTTGTGCAGCGATCAAGGAGGTAGAGAGCAGGTTAGAGCGGATCCTGAGCCCCACTCCCGAAGGCGAGTATGCGGGCGCCGCAGAGGTCAAGCAGGTGTTCGTCGTCGGCAAGAAGGGCAAGGTCGCCGGCTGCATCGTGACTGACGGCGTCATGAAGAAGGGCGCTAACGTCAGGATACTCAGGCCGAAACCGGGCGCAGGCAGCGAGATCGTATACATGGTCAGCCCAGCCCACACGAGAGAGAGAGAGAGAGCGGCGCGAAAGAAATCCAATGGCCGCATTTGCGTGTCCTTTGCGTGTGTGTGTGTGTGCAGGGTCGGTTGCGGTCTCTGCGTCACATTAAGGAGGAGGTTGGCGAGATGGAGTCAGGCCGCGAGTGCGGCATGGCCTTCGACGACTTCGAAGACATGCAGTCAGGAGACATCATTGAGTGCTATGTCGACTCCAAGTCGGCAATAAGACAGCTGACGTGATGACTGACGTGTGTGAGGGTGTCAATGTGGCTATGTTGTGTTCGTATGTGTCTGTGTGAGGACCCCCGCGCTCGTGTGTCATCAGATGAGCTTGTGAGTTGCCACACAGCTTTATGTACGTGTGTGTCACTTGACAACGGCCTAAGGTTTGGCAGTCGAATCGATCGGCTGTGTCCTCTCACTCCGTTCGGTCAATGCCATCCCATCCACCATGCACAATCAGTCCACCGCTTCCACGCCTGGCTGGAGAAGGAGGTCCAGCACTCTGCGTACCACACCAGTCATGGTACACACACACCAAATCCACCTAATACACAGCGGAAAACGGACTAGAAAAAGCCACCGGGTCCCAGAAAAAACGGGCCACGTGAGCAAAATATGGTACATGTCGCACACAGTGAAGAGAGAAGGCGGCCAATACACACACACACACCCACACACACCCACACACACACACACATGCACCACAGAACCAACTACGGAACAAGTCGCTCATCCACCAGCGTCCCCTCAAACAAATGTTATTGCCTCCACCACGTCTGCTTTGAATTCACACTCGCCGCCAAGCCAGGCGTGTCGATCTTCATCTCTCTTGCCACTGTATCCCTCAGGGACACAATCTCTGTGGAAAGACTGGCGGCACCAGCGTACGTCGGAGCTGTGCCAACCAAGGATCAACGACCTTCCCTTCAAGTTGACTCTAAATTTCCACTTCTCGTTGCTTGCCTCCATTCCGAGCACTGTCACCTTTGCTGATTCTCCGTCTGTCTTGAATTCCGTGAGTTTGTCGAAGCCATGGCCGCAGAGAGAGAAGACTCGCACCGGGCGATCAACCGTCACCGTCTCCGTACGGACGGGTGGGATGGTGCCGTCAATCAAGTATGCGAATCCATAAGGGCCCTTGCGGGTGAGCAGCAGCAGGTTCTCGGCATTCTCGACTTGCTGAAGGAAGCGCGCATAATCATGGTTGTCCCTCGCCGAACTGATTGGATACACAGGCACACGCACACACACACACACACATACGTGGTGTGGTTACGTCAGTCGCTCGCGAGGCTTCGCCCTTACCTGTACACTGATCGGAGGGCCTCGACCTTCTTGCCAGCCATGGCCGCGACCTCCGATAATTGCGCCGGCGATGCGACGTGAGAAGGACAGAGCTGGAGCGATGTCAGTGTGACTTGGAGTGATGGCTGGAGGGCCCCAGGCACATGAGGAGGCTCGACCACACTGCCGGGGAGCGACAGGCGAATCCGACGCAGAAAGTCCACAGCGAGATGGAAGTGCTCTGGCGACGTCTTGAGTGTCGTGCCGCCCCCCACTCTACGCACACAGAAGCGTTTAATGCTGTGTGTGTGTCTTGGCAACCTCTTCTCTCCATCTCCCTATATATGTCACTTGCCTGTCATTGAAGATCTCGCGGATGGAATCACTGCTTGTCGGCTGATCGAGCGTCACCTGCAGTGAGGCCTCTCTGTGCGATCGCACGCACACACTCTTGACAGACCCCTTATCCTCGCCAGTGCGCAGCAGACCCCCAATCTCCGTGTAGAAGCGCTCCACGTCCTCGAGTGCCTTGGCCGCATCCATGATGCCCGCCGACCCATCACCCAGCAGCCGATTCTTGATGAGCTTGTCATGGTAGAAGCGGATTGACACCTTGCTCCTCTCCTCATCAGTGAGCTCGTCGATGAATTTCCCTTCCTGCTGGGCTACAGCCACACGATCCTCGAGCCAGGTGCCGAAAATGCGCGATGCGTCGAGGAAGGGCAGCTGGCGGCCGTCCTCCATGGTGATGCGGGGGAGGGCACTCATGTGGCGCAGCAGCAGGTGGGCCAGGTAGGTGTTGGCCAGGTCAGGCAGCGCCAGGGCATCTGGTGCCAGGATGACTGTGCGGCCGCCCACATTGAGATGGATATCGCCAGCCTTGAGGACTTGCGAGGCTTCAATGTCAGTGAACAGAGTGCCGCCGTGCCGGCGGACCGTCTCGTGGATGGCATCAATCGTCGCCTGGAAGTCGCTGGCGTGCGTCTTGACGACGTGACATGGTGTCCCTTCTTCTGTTGCCGCTGTGTCCGGCGGAGTCTCCGTTGTGCTGCCCTCCGTTGACGCCTCTCGTTGGGAAGTGGGCGTATCATCGCGAGCCTGCATACACATGCAGGTTGCTGCAACTCTCCGTTTATGGAGGTGACTGAATGAATCAACTGACCTGTTGAGTAGCCTCCTCAATCTGTTGAACTTTGAGCTGCAGAGCGGCAACGGTCGTCTTCAGCTCCTCAAGAGTCCCTCGCTGGTCGCCAGGCTGCAGGAAGCAAGATGCAATAGCTGCACACGCGCGCTGGTCCAGGAGGGATTGAATGCTGTCTCGTACAGCGCCCAGCTCCTCGCGTACCTGACCCAGCTAAAACACACCCAAGCTGGTCGCTCCCCCGGTGCGCCTGAGCTGCCTACCTCTGCAGTGGTTTTGTTGAGTTTGGCATCGGTGTCTCTGATCCTCTTCTTGAGTGATGTGATGCTGTCCGAGCTGGTGACCCTCTCGCGGTTAGCTATGCCCGCAGCTACACGGGAGGGATACGAACCACCCTGAATGAAGAAACACACCATTGAGATGTTACTGCTTGCACAGTGGACATAACCTGCTGGGCGGCGGTTCTTGTGTCCTCGGAAGGGCCTGCCACACGCACACGAGCGTGCAGAGGATCGTGGACCGGTTCAGCTGCTGTGGAGAGTGCTGTGCACGCCTAACGTACCTTTTGTCCCTGTGGCGATGCAGCGCACGGCCGTTTGTGTGAGGCTGCCACTCGTCAGAACGACAGAAGGCCGTACGCCAACGACTGCATGAAGCACATCTGTCTGCCTATCAGTATGCAGCTGCATTACTGCCCGCGGTGACTTACCATGTTGCACAGCTGCCAGCCCTCCTCGGGCAAGGGCAGAGCGCAGCGCAGCAACGCGCGAGAGCATCGCGGCCCCGTCCTTAGCGAAGATCTCTGCGTTTGATGACTCAGATCTGACTCAACACCAGCGAAGAACACCGTGACATTGGCTCCAGGGTTTGAGATGCCAGGGTCATAGATCTCAGGGTTAGGGTCCAGGGTTAGGGTGAAGGGTTCGAGGCCGCCGAATCCGGGAGCTGAGGCATTGAAAACATGTCACAGACATCAGGTGCGCTGAATTGTACGGCCACCTTGTGTACGGCTGCACACGCGATGCCGTGGAAAAAAATCTGTGTGTGTGCGCGCCTGCGTGTGCAGCTACTCTGCCTGGCTTCGATGCGTTTCTGTCGTTCAATGCAGCATCACCTGAAAAGACTCAGCAGGTGACAGCAGACAGGAAGGCAGACAGACAGGCGGAGAAGGCCACGCTTTCGGTGAGGCTGTGTGTGTATCCGTCTACATCAGCTCGAAGCGGCAGCATCGGCTCTGCGCCAGATTCTTGAGGTGCAGGGTTTCGATATCGGTGGCGCAGGTTTTCAGAAGGAGCGCTCCAAGCCAGCAAGCGCGGAGCTCATTTGCCGCACTCTCTCCCGTACCTTGGTATCAGCAGACGGCATCAGTTGTTTGTGCGGTGATGGCGCTGATCCAAACACGGCAGTGGCGCTGAGTGCCGGCGGAGATGAGACGGACCACCTGAGGTGGACCGATGTCCTTTCGCTGGCCATTGACGATGAGACCGACGGCAACCCCGGCGTGTGGCAGTTGGAGCCATCTGGCAAGCAGCTCAACCTCCCTCGGTGGCCCTCCCGCAAACTGCAGGCGGCCGTCCTTGAGGCACTCATCGCGGCCGGAGCCGATGCGAATGGCGGCCATGCCGATGACAAGAGAACACCGATCGCAACGGCCGTCTGTGCAGCCAACACGACGGCTGTCGAGACCCTGCTCAAGAATGGCGCTGAGCTGCAGGGGCAGGAGCTCTTGATCCTCCGTCCAACTGTAATTCCATCGCCCTCGAGCCCGCAGTATGAGGCCGCCCTGCTGAAGATCTACGGCCGCCTGCTGCAGCACAATCCGGCGCTCGCGAGCGAGGCGAGCGTTGTTGAATGCGGACCGCTGCCCATGCACAGCTTAGGCTCTCTGTCGTATGCGGTGTCGGAGGACTTCCAACGGGCCTATCTGGACCTCCTATCATCTCATGGCGCCGACCCCACCGCAGCAGACAACCGCGGCCGGACGCCACTCGCTTGGGCCGTGATCGGCCGCGCGCCTGTTGTGGTGGATTGGCTGTGTGGGAGGGTAGGGCAGAACCTCTATAAGAGCCACGCCGACTGGGATTCGCCACTGGGGCTCGCGGGCGAGTGTCTGAGTGAGGCCTTGAAGAGCAAGCCCCCCCGGGAGGGAGCAGTCGAGAAGCAGAAGCAGGTGATCCGGACACTGCTCGACCACGGAGCGTCCATTGCGTCACTCCCGTCTTCCACACCAAAGGCGCGCCATACACGAAGGCTCGTGCTGGACATCCAAAAGGAGATGCAGCGCAGCCAGCCGTCGAATGCCCTTCCACCGCCACAGAAACAGCAGGATGGTCCGGAGGGTGGCAGCAGTGATGCCGCTACGGCTGCCAAGATGGCCGCTGAGCTCATCAAGGAGGAGGAGAGAGAGAAAGCCAAGAAGGCCAAAAAGGGCGGCAAGAAGGGCAGCAACCAACGCCAGCAGCACCGGCACCAGCAGCAGGTTTCGGGCTGTGAGGCGATTGAGGAAGACGACGGGCCGTCGGTGCCGTCGACAGCACCGGGCAGCAGGTGGGTGGGCTTGGTTGCATGAAGGGGGAAGCTGGGTGGGCTGTCCTTCAATTGTGCCGTCTGTGCGTGTGTCATGAATCATCAGTGTGGCCACTGGTGCCGTCAACAGCGATGCGGAAGATCAGCCGCCATCCACTTCATCTGCTGACCCTCATAGGTAGACGAAGACACACATCAACACACACGCGATGGCTGTGGTCTTTCTCAAGGCGGTTCTGTCCCCTGTGTGTGTTGTGTGTGTGTCTGCAGTGGCGGCACTTCATCATCGTGTGATCGTGGGCCAGCGACCCCCGCCCCCCTGCCGGCCGATTCCGAGAGCGATGAAGATTCGTTCCCGTCGTGAGAGCAAGGAAGAAGACCAAGAAGAAAGACATCAATACGCCCCAGCACATACCACTCACTCAAACACAGACAACCAAGTAAGTAGCTTTCACACACACACATGGCTGGCTGCTCTATTGGTGCATAATGTGTGGTCTTTGCCTTTCTGTGTCTGCGTGTGTTGTGCAGCATTGGTGTTCGGCCCTTTTCCTCGTCTGCTGCTCGGCCCCCTGCCGGCCGTGGGCTGGGGGGCAACACACCCACCCCAACACGCACACACCGGTAGACACACCGACTCACACACACAGGGGGGTGTGGTGTCGAGTGGCTGGCTGGAATCATGTAAGCCTGTCATGTGTGTGTCAGCGGGCCCCCACCCCTCGTCCCGATAGCCACTGTGCGGCCGTCAGTCAGCTGCTCTGCGCTGCCCCCCCGACCGCAGCACCCCCCCGCCCCCCGCAGGTCTGGCTTTGCGTCAGGACGCCTCTCGACCAGCAGCATCTGTCAGTGTGTCTCTGCCGTCCCCTCCCCCGCCACAGTCGACCCCTATCGCCAAACGGCCATTCCTGTCAGCCACTGGCAGCTCTCACGCACTCAATGCACAGACAGGGCGGCAGTGCGAGGGAGAGGGCGGACTGGGGAGGGGCAATCCCGCCGCTGGTGCTGCTGCTGGGCCAGACCGTGACAGCGAGCATCTGGTGGATACACTATGCCAGCAATTGGAGCAGACACAGCGAGAGGCCAGAGAGGCCAAGCGCAACGAGGAGGTGCTGACACGGCAGCTGCAAGAGGCCCAATGGAAGTGAGCTTATCGACATCGGGCCTTCACCTGTACTCATGTGTAAATGTCGTGTTACGCTTGTGCAGGCTTGCCCAGATGAGTACCCACCAGCAGCAGCGGCAGCGAGAGCAGCAGCCAGCTGGGGGAGAGGTAGGGGCTTGCGATCTCTGCTTCGACGCGCCCGCATCGGTCATGTACATGCCCTGCAAGCACCTGCGACTCTGCCTTCACTGCTACGAGGAACGCAGGCACACGTGGCAGCGGGACCTCGACCAAGTGCGGACGGAGAACACACGGCGGCGTGCCGAGAACGAGGAAGCCAAGAGGAAGAACGAGAGCCGCAGCAGGGAGAAACAGATTCCTATGGCAAAGCTACTGGAGGAGCCCGAGTACCTGTGCGAGCACTGCAAGGAGAAGGTGGTGTTCGCCGGCTCGCGCGAGGAGGTGCTGCGGTGGGCGGCGGAGGCCTTCACCTCCACCACTGAGAGATAGATAGACGTCCGCTCAGTCAGCCGGCGGGGGCGTGGTGCGGAACAGATGGATTGCACGTGGATGCAGGGCAGGGTGGGGGCAGGGAGGACGGACGGGTTTTAATCGTCTGCTGGCTGCATGTTGGGTCCTCTCTTGAGGTCGGACGGGGGAGGCATCTTCCCTCATTGCCGCATGGACGTGCTTAGACAAGGCACAGCGATATTTACCGTTCATACGGGCATTCATTCATTCATTTATTCATTCATGAATTCTGTCTTTCTGGTGTGTGAGGGCTGATGCATGGCATGACGGCATGACGGCATGAATGTCACTGAGCGATTGACTAGGGACTCAGCGCGTGGGCGCATGTTATGAATGGTCGATGTCATCATATCTCATTCATAACTGCCACTCATCAGCTCCATCCTGGCCAAAGATCCTAAACCCTAAACCCAAAAATAGCGTTGGCTCCAGGGTTTGGGGTGACGGGTTTGCAAACCCAAAACCCTGCGAGGAGATGCAGGTGTCCTGACAGATGCAGGTCCACAGCGATGCTACACGGCTGGTTGATCAAACAACAAAGCGTTCATTCCGTGTGCTTCTCGCCGGCGCGTCCCGGAGCCTGGAGCGATGGCGTCTGCTGATGGAGGTGTCCACCAAGGCCATGACAAACATCGTCAACCAAAAGATCCGACAAGAGTGAGCAAACGACCAGCGCACCGTCCCTCACTCCTTCGATGAATCAATCAATCAATCAATCAATCAATCATTGATTGGATGCTTCAGGTTTCTGCGCAACGAGTACAGCGGCATCTTCATCTTCAGCTACACTGTACGTTACGTGTCTGGGAGATCTGCCTGCAGTGGGTATTGGCCATACACACTCACTCGTGCCTCTGTCATATATATCTTGTCACATGCAGGAGCTGTGTGCGTGCCGGGCTGCTCACGAGGATGCCCTGGCTGCCATGATGAAGCAGGTGGAGGAACACCTGACAGACATGGTAGCAAGGGAAGAGACACACAGACGGACAGACAGCGTGCAATACAGATCTCTCGTCCGTTTTGTGTCACAGGATGCCGCCATCAACCAGCTACGGAAGTCCCGCGATGACCTCTCTGCGCTTGTGGAAGCGGCGAGAGAGCGACGAGGTGACACATTTTGTCTTTCGTCCGGCACACACAGGCCGTTCATTGATGTACCTATCCACTTTGCTGTGCTGTCTGCTGTGCATGCAGCCAAGGATGCCTCGCGGCAGTTGCCTCAGCCCTCATCAGCGACAGCTGCTCAATCGGTTAAGTGCAGTGCAACGGATGTCTTTCTAGCTGCCACCGTCGTTGCAGATGCGTGTGTGCACACATTGTGCAGGGTATGTCAGGGCCGTCCAGTCAGCTTTCTCAAGATGTGTCCAATGTGCCTGTACTCAGGGCCCTGACTCTCGGCGAGACCTGTAAGTCAGCGAGAGAGACAAGTACTCACTCCACCATGTATGTATGTCTGTCTGTCTGTCACGCCGCGCTCACAGGTGATTTCCTGGACGACGTCGTGGCGCAGTATGCGCGCGAGCTGACACTCAGGCGAAGGCTCTTCGCCCTGCTGGTCGGGAGGCGGGTCCATCAGTGAAATTGATGCCAACAATCGAATGCCTGTTCCCCTCTGTGCATGTCTGCAGCCTCACTTGAGTGGCGAGGAGGGTGTGCGTGACGGCCGTGAGGATCTGCAGCGGCTGCTGGCTGTGTGGATGGAACAGACATGTGTCCCCGACCAACACAACGGTCAGTCAGCGGGCTCGCTCACACAGGTCGGATGTGTTGTTGTGTGATGGGCGCAGGTCGTGTGGATGGGATGCGAGAGACCATGCGGACGGAGGCGTCGCAAGTGATGACATGAGGCGAATCGGATTTGAACCGATCAAGGCGAGTCGTGCGTATTCTACCGTACATTTAGTCGGCGTCAGCCATTCACTGTGTGCGTGTCCAGGCAGGCCTCATGCATCTTCGCGCCTGGACTGAGTGAGTGACACATAGACCGTTCACAGACAGACAGACAGACAGACAGGCCGGTAGATAGATGCATGGAACGGTCGGCAGTCGAAAAAGAACGAGCACATGACTCGCACGGGAGCTGGCATCAATGCATGCAATGCACACAGAGAGAGATATGAATTGCATGCATGCATAAGAACGGCCATTAACGCATGTTTGCAACGACAATCCACTCACTCGAAAAACTTTGCTAGCAAGGACCACCATTCATTCGCCGCTCGTTCGAACCCATCCGTCCGTCATATCGATAGATACTCTCACCCGGTACGCCTCCCCATCTCTCTCCACGCCTCTCTGTATCTCCATGTGCCGCTGCGTCCTGCATTCGGCTGCCGAGATGCCCCGCCCGCACCAACACACACAGATAATCTGACCTATCTGTCTGTCTGGATGCAACTTCGACATGGCAGCAACCGAAATGCAGAGATGCATGGTATGGCACGGGTGCTTTGTCTTTCTCGAAGTTTCCTCCCTGTCGTTATCCTGCCTCATGTGCGTATCCGTGCTCATGTGCCGTCCCTTCTTGTCCCCCTGGTGGCCACGCACCCATTGCAATGACGTCATGGCACTGCAACGTTGGAGTGGCGAACGGGAGAACAAGAGGGGACGGCACAGCATCAACGAGGCGAAGCCATTGAGATACCACACCTCACCATCAATGCGAGAAGGAAAAAGAAGACAGCCACTCGTAACGACCAGCCACCCATGACAGCCACTTTTCTTGTCAGTCACAAATACACATACATCCACGTATGTATGTGACCTCGCCCGCCCGCCCTCCAGCCAGCCAGCCCACCGCCAACCACACAGAGAAATCCAATCCGCAGCTAGCCAGTTACTACCCATAAACTACGTATGGATGGAGGTGTACCTATCGGCTAGTTAATGCTTGAGTTTCTGCGCCTGCAGCTTCTCGGGGTCGTGCTGGTCGACGCTGCCCATCTCGTCCTGGTGGCCGCGCGCACGGGCCATGATGCGGTCGACCTTGTCTGGCAACTCCTGAGAAGAGAACGGCCACAGACACGCAGATAGCAGATGTGAGCGGCCGGTTTCGTCTGTCTGTGCCGTGTGGCCGTCATGTCGATCGTTATGTGTGTGACCTTGAGGTAGTCGGCTTGGGAGAAGTTCATGTAGAGTGAGTTCATGACAATGACCTTCTCCGTCATCGTGGGCGTCGATACCTGCAACCTGAATGTGTGACACACATACACATACACGAACACTCAGACAGACGAGCTGGTGTGATCCCGTGTGCCACACCACTCGTTGTCTGACTGACCAGTGTTCGTGTGCTTCGTAGTCGTATGATGTCTCGATGCACACGTCGGCCTTCCCGTGGGAGGTCTGCATTTCCTGGCACATGACGAAACCCCCGTCACTCTTGCTGCACACATACATCACATCAGCACGACACACACGGATCATGACACATCGACACACGCCTCACCAGGCACCACCCCTGCAGCCCTCCCTCGCTCACCCAGTGGGGTTGATTGTCCACTCGGGGTGCCTCTCCCTGATGTAGCTGAGCACACAGGCGCTCATGGGGTCGATGTACTTGTCAGGCAGCGTCCGCTTGCCCATCGTCAGCCCCTCGAAGTCTTCAGGCACCTCCACCTCCCCTATAGAGCTCTCGCCGAAGTTGGGGTACACCTGGCGATGCCGGGCCGGCACCCCCTGTGGGGCCTCGTCGTCCGTCTTGATCTCCCCGCCCTCCAGGTGCTCCATCGTGCCCTCAGTCGACTCAGACACGTCGATGTTGACGGTGCGCGGCGAGACGACTGCCACCTGTGGGGCGAGTTTGGCGCCCTCTGGCGACTCCAGCGTGTCCTCAGATATCACCACACGAATGTTGCCTGTGCAGCAAGCAAAGAAAGCATCCAGCGACACACGGCATACGACAATTGATACGATCACAATGAACAACTGATGTGTGTCTGCTCCCATCAGAGACTCACCTTGTGGCTTGATGACGACGGTCTCCGGTTCGCCATGCGACTGCAGTTACCACACAAAGGTCCGAGAGGCGTGTCCATGATCCTTCCCTGTCTTACCGATTCGGCCATGACGGGCATTCGGCCCTGCCAGCGCTTCTGCTGGCAGATGGGATGGGTCATCGGCGGCCGTAGATGGGACGACAGGCGCGACGCCAGGCTGCTCAGAGGAGCTGCCGCAAGGGCCCGAAGAGGCAATACGCCCGAACTCAAAACAAGTGACATGGCTACACTACCAGCGTTCACGTGTGAGCACAACGACGACGCCGTCCAGTTCTGGTTCGTTCAGAAAGGAGTTGGGTCACTCTGCAGCAGCGGTTTCAGGGAGCACCCTGAGACTTGCGAGCTAAGTTGAAGAGAAGCAGACCGCTGGTGAGAAGCAGGGCCTGTCCACCACGCCTGTCCGCATCGATTGCGCCGCATGCGATGCAGCAGCAAAATCATGACCTAACTCCGAGGCGGCGCATTGATTTGTTCCTCCTCCTGCCCTCTCTGGTCCTCGTCCTCCTGCCCTCACCCACAGCATCAGTACACTCCGTCAGCCGCACTACTACACCCTTCCCTCTACCCCATCTCTTCATCCCAACAGGCGGCGAGTCCCGCGTAGGGACTCGAGCAGCCAACCCCTTCGGCACTCTCTTTCCCGTGCCTGCGTCGACCGCTGCTGCCAGCAGGATGCCTGTGCCAAGAGCGTCGTCGTCGAGTGAGCCTGGGTCGCCCTCAAGGGAGAGCTTGGCGAGTGATGGTCCTGGGAATGAGGCTCTTTCCCCCTCGAGTGCGGGCAACCAGAATGAGGGCGACACCGGCGGCCCGCCCAAGAAAGGTCCCATCGGCCGGCTCATCCGTCGCCTGCTGACCTTCTACCTCACTCTGCTCTTGTCGGTGCAACGCGCCTTCATGCAGCTGAACGAGCAGGTCTCTTCCCTGATCCTTCGCGTCTTCCCTTTCCTGAGCCGCTTCAAGCTCGCCGGCCGCCCGTATGTGGGCGCATTCGCCCGATCGCTGGCGATGTTTGGCGTGCTGATGCTGGTGAGGCGCCGGTGGGTGGGGAAGGGCGGCCGGCTGGCCGACGCGGGCTTCTCGTATTTCCTGAGGCTGCTGCAGTCTGGGAAGCTGGAGGAGGTGGTGATCCGGGAGGACTCGGTGCTTTATCTGTCCGAGGGCAGGGCGTTCCGGTCGCCGATAATCCCGACCTATGTGACGGGCTGGCTGCTGTCCACTCTGACTATGAAGAACGTGCCCTTCCAGTTCAAACCACACTCGGCCGTTAAGTGAGTGAGCCTATATAGCCTCTCAGTACCTACGGGAAGGGAAGGTCAGATGAGCGCATGTGTGTGTGTCTGTGTGTGTGTGTGTGTGTGTGTGGATGTGTCACTCCCTCAGGGATTTGTTGACGATGATTCTGGTGTCGTGGGCGCCGGTGTTGCTGCTGCTTGCGTACATGAAGAACATGCTGGGCAAAGACGAGGACGTCGGTACGTCAGTCAATGCAATGCACCACACCAATCAATCAGCGCGCCAAATGGAGGGAGGAGCACATCTTGGTATTCGTTCCTTTGTATGTCTGTATGTCTGTGTGTCTGTATGTGTGTGTGCAGGCAACGAGGCTGACACCAGCCGACTTGGCCAGATATCCTTCGCTGATGTGGCTGGGTGAGATGATATGACTGACGCACACACACACTCTCTGGCACACGTATACGTGACGCGAGGTGACGTGGAGTGTCCGTAAGGTCCGGTCGGTCCGCATGATGACTTAGTAAAAGGTTTGACCTGCTCTTCTCTTCTGTCTGTCCACCCACTGGCCAACGCCATCCACCCACTCGCACCACACGCCTTTTTTTCTCTTCTCTGCCCACCCCCACGCCCCACACACACTTATCTATCTTTTGTCCACCACACAACACATGTTGCTGGCTGGCCATGTGTGTGTGTGGATAAGCAGTGGTCTCGTAGGCGAGCTCTTTGCGCCAGCACAGCAGAGAGACAGAACAGGGGACCCACACAGAGGCGAGGCAGGCTGCATACATAATGCGCCATGCCATGCATGTGTGGGGGAGGGGGTGGCGCATGGAGTGAGTGACGGCCTGTGTCCGCGGGCAGAGCTGAGGGAAGGAAGGGTGTGTGGTGGGGCGGGTGGTGGGTGGACAGAGAGGTGGGGCAGGGAAGGAGAACAGAAGCGACACTGAAACGGACTGACCGCTGTCTTGTCTTATGCTGCATGCGTGGAGTGCTGGCTTGATGCACTGATCACCCTCTCCCTCTCTCTGTGTGTGTGTGTGTGTGTGTGGTTTAGGATGGACCGGTCCAAGCGCGAGGTGCAGGAGATCGTCGAGATGCTCCGCACCCCCCAGCAGTACACCACCATGGGCGCCAGGCTGCCCCGGGGCGTCCTGCTCGTCGGCCCGCCAGGCACCGGCAAGACCATGCTTGCAAGGGCACTCGCCGCAGAGGCAGGGGTGCCCTTCCTCTACGCCAGCGGTATGTAAGCTGACAAGACAGACAGATCGGCTGGAAACACATACATGATTATGCAGGGTCTGACTTTGTTGAGGTCTTCGTCGGTCGTGGCGCGAGCCGCGTGCGAGAGCTCTTCAGGAAGGCCAAGGACGATGCGCCCTGCATCATCTTCATCGACGAGATCGACACTCTCGGCAAGAGGAGGCCGGGAGAGACTGACTGGGGGTGAGTGGAAGAGAAACGCACTCCATACCATTATTATCATGATCGGCTGATGTCCGGTGCGTGTGTGCGTGTGTGTGTGCATCAGGCTCGACGGCCGCGAGAGCGTGAATCAGGAGTACACACAGACGCTCAATGCGCTGCTCGCCTGCATGGATGGACTGGTCAGTTGCCAGGGCAGGGCAGGCAGTGTCAGTCACACTGTCGGCCTCTCGTATCATGGCGCCGTCTCTCCGTACCATACACATACGTATGTGTGTGTGTGTGTGTGTGTGTCAGGATCGCGACGATTCCGAGTCGCCGAAGCCCATAGTGGTGATTGGCGCCACCAACAGATACGGAGTCCTCGACGAGGCTCTCACCAGGCCGGGGAGGTACGCTACGCTCGTGGGCACACACCATGATACCACAACACACCGCCCATCAGGCACATGGGCATTCGTGCAGAAAGAGATCGCACCTTCACTCTGTGTATGTGTGTGGGTGTAGGTTCGACCGCATTGTCCGCCTGGACTTGCCTGACAATGACGGCCGGCTGGCCATTCTCAAAGTCTACGCAAGGTCAGCCACACAGCCAGCCAGCCAGCCAGCCAAATGAAAGACTCACCACACGTGTCATCCATCTCTGGTCGGTGTCTTGTGTGTGTGTTGGTCGGCCTCCCAAATGCACTGATTGCGTCCAGGCGTCTGGTTTTGAATGCCCGTGTCGACTTGCGTCGCATCGCAGAGCTGACAAAGGGCCTCAGCGGTGCAGAGCTGGAGGCCATCGTCAACGAGGCCGCCATCAGGGCCGTCAGAAAGAAGAAAAAACAGGTGAATACCAAACAACCACACATGCCTCCTCCCATCCCCCTCTCTCTCTGTGTGTGTGTCCATCGGCAGGTGGGTCAGATGGAATTTGAGGAGGCCGTCCTGAGCGTCATTTCACGCAAGGGCGGACTCTCGCTGTCGGCCGCCGTCGGCATGCGATCCGGCCTCGAGCAGCTCACTAAATTCCTCTCACCGAAGCAGCAACAACAACCAGGCTCTCTGCCGGCGTCGGACAAGCCATCGCACTCGCCTTCGTCGTCGACTGAGCTGACCAGCCCGCCAACAACGTTCCCCCCCAGCAGCAGCACAGAGGAGAAGATGCCGCCACGGGCGGCAGGGAGCTTGCTGTAGAGAGAGTGAGCGAGCGGGGTTGTGTTGTGTGGGGGTGTTTGGAAAGGGGATGGGGTCATCGATGGGTAGAGAGTTTGCGGTGGATTGAGGAAGGCAGGAAGGCAAGGCCCACATGTGGGTGTACAATGAATGCAATGCATGGGCTGTGGGAGAGAGCGTGGCATGAGGTGGCCCGTGGACAAGGGAGTGGACATACCTACCATACGGCACGGCAAGAGAATGACTGTTTATTCATTGAGTGTCGTTGTCTCCTCCTTTCTATCGCATTGATTGATTGATCTGTCCGTCGGTCGAGCGCTCAGTCACCCACTCACGTATCTATGCATATCAGCTTGTTTCGCGTGACTGCACTCACCTCACTCACTCAATCCACTCGCCAACTCACTCCTGCACACCAACGGTCCTAGCTAGGCATCTCACGTCCATCATCCGTCCATCCATCCTACGGTCAGTCAGTCAAAATCAGCAGCCGGGCCGGGCCGGGCCGGGCAGCTGGCAGTCGGTCGATCCTCTCTGTGTCAGACAGATGGATGGCCCGAAAAAGCAACGGCCCGGGGAAGGGCAGGCCTGCCATCCATCTGTCTGTCTGTCTGTCTGTGTTTCTGTCCGTGAAGTGCACCATCATCGGTGGGGGAGTCAGTATCTTGGTCGGAAGATGGGCACGATCTCCTCAGTGTGCTCCTTGCGGCCCATGCTGATTGATGACGGACACATACACACGAGACAGGCAAACAGACAGGGGTGTCTCGTGTGTGTATGCCGCTCATCGAGTCAAGTCCCCCGCCCACACCACACAGCCCAGCCCACCCAATGCATTGCCCACCTGATCATGTCAGCTATCCACACGATGTTCCGGATCTCCTGCTCTCGCAGCTTCACCCACGAGTAGAACACACCTGCACACACACACACATAGATGGGATGGATACTTCATGTGACTGCGATGGCAGTGCCGTGTGTGGTGTGCCATGTCCGTACCGTAGTGGAACTGTTGTTCGAAGGCGAATTCACACAGCTCGACCTCCTTCTCGTAGATGAGGTCCTCGAGCGACTTGAGCTGCTTGATGTCAGTCACGCCAGAACGCTCCTACATCACACACACATCCACACAGCACACCCACATCCACACACACGACCGATCGCCATCCCCCGTCCCTCTCTGCCTGCTGGTCTGGTTCCTTCCTTCGTTCCTACCTTTGAGTAGTAGGGTGCACAGAGGTCGAAGAGTGCTGCGTATGGCTTGTATGGCTCGAGTGCGGCCCTGACAGTGGTCTCGTTCCAGGCCTTGCGGATGCGGTCGGTGCCCTCGGGGTAGAGGTAACCCAAACTCGGATACAGCAGGTTGCGGTCACCCAACTGACCATAGTCATGCACAGAACACACACATGACACACACACAGGATGGATGAATGGATGTGTGTGTGTGTGTGTGCGTGCCTGTTGCGATGATCCGAGCATGGTGTTGAGCGAGTTGAGCGTCACAGACATGACGCGAAAATCCGAATTCGTCTGTGTGGATGCACACATTGACATGTTGGCCATAGCATATCGATGCACGCATTCATGCCACACATCTTCGTTTATATGCTGCTCATCTGTGTGTGTGTGTGTGTGTGCGTGTAAGGATGTACCTTGAGTATGTGCCCCATGACCTCAGCGGTGCTGCCGCCCAGTGTCTCGCAGAAGGCGTTGAAGTCCTCAAGCCACGCCTTCTTCAGCATGTTCTTCATCAACTCTAAGCACACATACACACATGGACGAGGGAGGGATTGTCGACCTGTGCGTGTCGCTTTCTCTCTCCCTCTCTCTGTGTGTGTACCTAGGTCCGTTTCGTTGAATATGGATGCCACCTCCTGCATCGACCGGCTCTCAGAGTCCGCGGGCGTCACCTGCTTCAAAAACGACTCGAAATACGGCCCTGCACATGTTGACGAACACACACATTGGGGTTGTGAGACGCGTGTGTCATCGGGTGCTGGTGGGTTTGTTTACCGACTGGCGTGTCGATGAGGAGCGTTTTGTAGATCTCTTCGTATCCGCTGGTGATGTCCATGCTGGCGATGGCCTTCATCTCGGGGAACCATCCAAGCGGGTCAACGCGACCCAACAAATCCTGCAGACACAGCAGCACACCACCCATGGGTGGGCAGGTTGCTTGGTTGCTTGGTGTTCCGCCCTTCTCTCCCGCTCTGTCTGTCGCTGGCTGACCTGCGGGCTCTTCTTGTTGACAGTCCCCTGGATGAGCCCGACAACATTGTCAATCATCTTCTCCACCCTGTTGAGTCCAGTCCATCCACACACGCCACACCACATGACACCATACGTCCGTCACATGACATACGCTCCCCTTTCCCCATTCCTGTCTGTCTGTACTGTGGCTCTCCACATACGTGAGGAAGTCGAGGAATTTGCTGAGAGGGTAGTTGGCCTGCGACCGGAGGTGCCGGAACTCGTTGGCGAGCTTCTCGCGGCACTTTTGGCCGATGACTGTGCTGGGGATGGGGCTGGGCTCGTCCTGCAGAAACATGCCGTAGTCGGTCTCCTCCAACGCCAGCTTCATGTCTGTTGATGCATCACCACACAGGCAGACAGACAGCCCAGCAGACAAACATTGAGACAGCCAGTCGTCTTATTGCCCCCGCCCCTTCCTCTTTGTGGTCTGTTTGGTCCTTACCGTCGATAGACTCGCATTGTGCCAGCCGGCGGTACTCATCGGCTGAGAGGAAGCCGCTCCTCAGGCCACGAACAAGGGCCTCCAGGTACCCGTCCTTCACGTTGAAGAAACTCAACTCCATACTGTCCTCAGAATCAACGTGAAGGTGAGAAGAGGACCTCGGGAAAACTGCGAGCCGGGGTTTTGTGGCGAGCTTTAAGGCAGAATTGGATTGCGTCTTTGGGAGGCTTCTGTAAGGACAGCGCGTCAGCGGCTCGTCCTGTGTGTCAAGAAGTCCGGCTTGCAGTGAGGCTGAACGGCTATGTTTCGTTCCGCCTCTCAACTGCACTGAGAGATCAGATTCAGCGATGGCTCTGCTTCTACTCCTGATCATTGCTACGACCTGTGCTGGTAAGCCACCCAAATGGCCTGCATGCACGGCGAGTGAGGCAGCCGAATCGATTTGCACCCACAATCTGTGTCTTGTGTCCTGTCTGTAGACGCCCGCAGCAAGAAGGAACGTTGGCATTATTCATCAAGACACAAGGGGATTCTTACGGCACCGTCCAAAGCAGATGACCCCCTGATGGATGCCACTCTTGTCGAGCAGCAAATGAAAAGCCGAGGGCTATACGAGCAACAGATTCGGCCCGACCCCACCACAGGCGTGCCCCATGTCGTATGGACGTTTTGGTTTGGCAAGCCCATGGTCGGCAAGCGGCTCGAGAGCTTCCGCATGATCCAGGAGAACATCGGGGTGCCTGTGATGCTTGTGACGGAGACGAACCTGCCGCTGTGTAACTTATCTCACTTCCCCATCCACTCGGCTTTCCCCTACCTGTCGGGCCTTCACAAGAGCGACTACCTCAGATCCTACTTCATGCACTTTTTTGGTGGTACGGAGAAGGAGAAAAATGATTTATCATTTCGTTGGTGGCTTGATGTTCTCCTGCAGGCGGCTACCACGACATCAAGCCCGAGACGCACTCATGGGCTGACAAATTCAACGAGCTCCACGACTCGAACGTCTGGCTGTATGGCGTTGCTGAGACAAAGGGTGGTGTAGCTTGCGATGAAGGCTTCTGCGTGAAAGAGCTGTGCACCACCACACCCGCGTCATGGTGCTCTCAAAACAACTGCTGCCGCACTCTCACGAACGACGAATATGCGAAACTGGTCGTGAACTGCGAATGGATTATGCGCCCTCGAACTGAGATGACTCGCATCTGGATCGAGGCCGTCAAGAACGACCTCGATCAGCAAATCGACAATCTCAAAGCCCATCCAGCTCCCTTTCCGAGATGCTGCCAGCACGGAGAGAACAACTACCCTTTGGCTTGGGCGCAATTACAGGGCCAGAAGTTCCACCCGCTGCAGTACAAATTCCTGAAGCACATCAAACAAGGTGAGTGACTGGGCCTTCCCGCTGGATTGTCTGATCCCTTCTCGTCTCTCTCTACCACTCTTCATTGTAGGTCTTCTTCCCTGGGAAAAAGGCGGAGAATATTTTGGTGAGAATGAGTACGTTGCCGAGAATGTCTCTAGATCGATGTGATGTATTCCACGTGACATAGCGAGGGCGTGATGCATCCGGTCTCATGTGTGTGTCTCTGAATTGCTGCTCGAATGGGGGTGGGATGGCTTCGACGGGGCATGATGAGTGAGACGTAACACGAGATGGTGCATCAGTGGCCAGTCAGGTGTACATGTCTGTCCAGCAGACCTGATATGCATGCACGCAGACACTCTGTCTCGATTCTGACCTGGTACGGTGGCTGTCTGAACAGTGAAACACACATGATTGAATTTGTTATGTATGTATGTGCCGCGTCCCTGTGGCTGCAGTGGCGAGCATGATCTAAAGGCCGGCCATCCATGCCAGGCGGCGCTGTGTGTGCGGCTGTCATCGCCCTGTGGTGGTGCGCCACCTATTGGGCCGCAGATCTGACGCACGAGGGCCACAAAGGAGGACAGGTACGCATGGCAAGCGACCACCGATGAGTGCCCACTGCCAGAAACCACTGCAAACATGGCTCTCTTGTTCTCTGTGTGTTGCAGGGGTATCGAGTGGCGCTTCTAAGCCGCAGCCGCAGCAATGCCACGTACCGCAGCCATCTGCACAGCCGCCATGCCCTCAAGGTCCACAGACACGGCCTCGTGCAGACGCAGCGAGTGGCGGTGACAGACCCAGGAGTTCACTCACAGAGGGAGACGCACAGACGCGCACACCGCACATGGCGACATGCTCGTCCACTCAGTTGATCAGCGTCACGGACGTTTGCCCACAGGAGGCTGTGTGCGCTTGCGACTTCGACACTGGTGGCGACTCGTGGTCTCGTGTCTTTGATTGACCAAACTCGTGCATGTATTGAATTTGTCTTGGTTGAATAGTCTCTGTGGCTTGGCCAGCCCTGGTGGTGGTATTCATCATGGAGCGGAATGGGCCCATCGGCGGGGGCGGGCGTCATGAATGTGCCAAAAGGAGGGATTAGTTGAGTGATAAAGTACCACACATCTATCGGATAGAGGAACAGACATGTCTGTCTGTCCACACATACACACAATCGATGCACACATTTCCAACCAGCACTCAAAGCAGCCCAGCCAGCTGTCTCCCTCCCTCCCTGGCTCTCCTCCCGTCCGTCAGTCACATCATTGTCTGTCTGCCTGTCTGTCTGTCTGTCTGAGTGTCTGTGTCCATCATGGGGATTGATCAACAGTGATCAGTCAGTCGTCATATTCGCAGACTTCGTCGAAGGTCAGCTTGAGGGTCACCTTCCCATCGCCATCAGGGGAACGCACACGAACCACAACCAAGTTTCTATGAGATGAATGAGAACACACACACACACAGGGGGAGGCATTATATAGGTGTTTGTTTCGCGATGTTCGGGTGCTTCTGTCCACTGTCGTCACTCACCTCCCAGAGTCCCGCTCAACCACTTCAGCCGACCGACCTGTCAGTCAATCCACACACACACGCACACACACACACACACACGCACACACACACACACACACGAGGCCATGCAATGCAATGAGTGTGGGAGTCAGGCTTGCATTCGACGTACCCATGTAGATCTTCCTTTTGTCCTCTTGGCTGACGATCTTGACCGTAGTGCAGTCCCTGCCCACCACCGTCTCGAGCTGCTTCTCGGACGCGTCCACCTTCTTGCCGCTACCCTGCAGCTGCACCCGTGTCCACACACGACCTCCCTCCTCCCACACAGACAAAACACGACCTGCGACACGACAAACAACAAGAGAAACGAACGAGATCAATCAATGCATCCGTCCGTCTCTCTGTCTTCCCTCGCTCACTCACTTACCCTTCTCCCGATAGTTGGGATGTTTCTGACTTGCAATTTTGACGACCAGGCCCTTGAGCAGCCAGGTGGCCAACCGCCCCTCCCCACCCTCCCCTTCGATGCCTCCGTCCCTGCTGGTCGGCACGCCGTTGGAGTCCTGCGATGGTGACGGGGATGCGGTCGGCGGCAAGGCGGGGCCGTGCACCACCTCCATCTCGCTCACCGCCTCGGCCGCTGGGGGTGGCTGATCGGCGTCCTCAGATGCCTCGAACCGCTCCTCTGATGCACCAAGCACCTGACAGAGGCAACAGTCGCCATGGACGCAGGTATGGATTCTGTCTGTGTGTGTCTGTGTGAGGATGTGATGTGCTGACGCACTTACCTTGACCTTCTTGGCTGCTGGCGGGGCATTCTCGCCCGGCAGCCCAATGTTGGCGCCCAGCCCCGCCTTATCGAACGCCCGTTTCTTGAGCTCCAGCGGCTTGGTCGTGTGCAGCTTGGGGTCGTAGCCCATCCCCAACAGCATGGCCATGCCGAACTGCTCTATCGGCACCGACTCATACGAGCCCAGCCGCACCTCGGGCAGCATCGCCATCTCGCGCTTCAGCTGGTCCTTCTCGGATAACCCCGCCTTCCGCAGCTCAGCAAGGTGGGTGTTGCGGGCGAGAATGGGGACGGGGAGCGACGCGTCATCAGCCGACACCTCGCCCTTGGCCTCCTTGACGAGAGCGTCGGCCGCCTCGCCAAACTCGGACTTGACCATGACAACGTCCCTCCTCTCCTGAGGCTCTTGCTTTGCAAGACCACCAGCCGTCCTCTTGGGCATCGGCCTGAGGGTGTTCTTGCAGGGGATGATCAAATGGCCGGGCACAGGCGCCTTGTCTTTGTCTTCGAACTCGCCTGAGGCGTCCACCGAGAGGATAACTCGCCTGTCGTCCTTGGCGGCGGCCTCTGGTGGCTGGACGGGCGCGGGAGGTGGACGCTCGGGCTTCTTGGACGCCTTGACCGAGAAGGAAAACTTCGGGCGACTGCTGTCGGCCATGTCTACCACCGAAACAAACCCTTGCGTGACTGCTGACAGTAGCGTCAAATATCTACACGAGGGAACGCTCTGTGTCCTCCTCGCTAAGCTCGCAGATGCCAAGCTCGCAGACTTCGCCACAGAGGAAGAGAAAAAGAAAAGGAGACGTCATGTGTGGACTGTGTGGACGACAATCAGTGCAGATCTTTTGATCTTTCAACCCTGAGCCGCCATATGGCAGCCCGAGCATCCAGCAGGAGCCTCGTCGCCGCTGCCCCGAGCGAGGCACCAACTAGCGCAGCCCGTTCATCCTGCCTCTTCAACGGCAATGGTTTCGCCATCTTCATTCAGACACGAGGCTTCGAGCCGCCATGTAAGTCCAGATCAGCTGCAGACAGGCTCATGCACTGCGCTTCTTTCTCCCTTCTGTCTGTGTGTCTTTGGGTGTGTGCTGTGCAGCGAAGCGGACGTGGTCGAAGCAGCACTTCAAGATCAAGTTCCCCCGTCCCCTGGTGGATCCTTTCGCCATGCACGCGCTGCACCCCATTAAGGAGTGGTGGCGGGAGAGGAAGCTCAGGCCCGACACCTTCATGGGCTTCCCTGACGTCACCAAGATCGCCCTCAGAGGCGGCAGCATCTACCATGAGAGAATGGACCCTGTCACGCTGTCTGTGGTGAGTGAACGCACAGGAAGAAAGAAAGTGGCGTGAGTGAGGTGTGTTGGTTGGATGTCCCTTGGTCGTGGGTGTGGGCGCAGATAACGGACAAGTGTGTGCAGGAGAATCTGACGGACGAGGAGATCTGGTCCAAACTGTGCCAGCGGGCCCAGCAGATCGTCAACCAGACTTACGAGCCTGACCTGGGTAAGCCACACTGCAGCAGACTGACAGTCACACACAAACACAACACATCCCGAGTGAGTGCATCTGTGTGTGTGTGTGTGTCGTGACTGACAGGTTTCATCTACCGTGCCCATGCGCAGATCGACTGGTACGACCAGTACTTCGTCACGAGCTACCTGGGCCGCATCCACAGGCGGCTGCACATGTTCCAGCTCACCGACTGCGCACTCATTGTCGAGGCCATGGCAAACCCAAAATTCTACAACGACAAGTGAGCAGATGAGACGAGATCAAGACGGTTCGGAGAGAGGAGAGCCAAGCAACTATCATATCTGTGAGTGTGTGTGTGTCGTGTGTGTGTGTGCGAAGGTATCTGGAGATGATCCTGGATCACATGGACATCTTGCTGACGCACCGGGATGACTTTCAAGTGCAACACTTGGCGACGGTCCTCCACAGCCTCAAGATATGCAACGTGCCGGAACAACGTGTCATCCATCCCATAAGTACGTCTGTCTGTCTGTCTGTTGATCCGTCAGCCAGTCCACTCAGCAACCAACGAGCAACACGCCATGCCATCTGTTCTGTCTCTCTTTCTGTTCGTTCATCGAAAAGGCGCATGGATGCTCAAGCGTGACCTGTCATCCCTGCACCCCTCGGCCATGGCCAACACTCTCGAAGCTCTGGGCGCCCTTGTGCCACATGAGGCCGACAGAGACCTGGCGTGGTCGCTCACACGCGAGCTGCGGCCCAAGCTGGATGAGTGCTCTGCCCACGACCTCGTCAAGGTTGCCGGCGCCGTGGCGGACATGCACCTCGACAACCAGACCTTCATCGAGAACGTCATGGCCAGGTGCGTGCGGCGGCGGGCTGGAAGCACCGTGTATCATCGCATGGGTGCACAGCACAGGTGTGTGTTGGCATTTTATTGTCCACCAGGCTGATCCCTCATCGTCACAAGCTGTCCGCCGAGGAGGTGGCATCGGCCACGTATGCCTTCGCCAGGTGCAACAAAAGGTTCAGAGGGCTCTACGCGGAGCTGGCCATCGGTACGGGAGGGAGCGAGGGAGTTCCCGGCCGCCAACTTCTTTCTGGTTTTCGCAGGTGTTCGCGAGACCATCGATGACATGACCGCCACGGACCTGAGCAAAGCCACATTCGGCTTCCTTTCTGCCGACAGAGAAGCCAAAACCGTGGAGGTCAGCCAGCCCAACCAGCCAGCAAAGAGGGAGGGAAGGAAGGAAAGCAGCACCAACACACATGTGTGTAATCAGGATATGTTGGTGCCGAAGATTCGTTCGTGTCTGGGTGACTTTGAGATGGAGCACCTGACGCTGCTCTTCGACGCCTGCAGCCGTGCGAGGGAGACGGTGAGGGGCGTCGATGTGCTGGCCGGCCTGGCGCTACGACACATACACAGACAGCTGCCTACCGCCACACCCAGCCAGCTCGCCACTCTCGTGGTCAGCCAGGCAGCCAGCAAGGACGAGACGAACGCTCGGCTCCTGAAGCACACACACGCTGCTTGTTTGCATGGTGTGCGGTTTCTTTCTGTGTGCGTGTCCTGTCTGTCCACCGCAGCGAAGTGCTGCGTACCTGCAGCCGGAGGCGTCAGAGGTGCTGACGGACACCTTCACACACGCAGCCAAGGTGGGGAGGGGAGCCAGCAGGCGCCGCCCGCATACGTACACAGCCATGCATCCAGGCCAGGCCCTGGCCTGCACGTGACGTGACGTGACGTGTATCCTGTCTGTCCCGTCCTCCTCTGTCTGTCTCAGCACCTGCCAGAGTACTCAGAGTTCCAGCTGGGCAAGATGTTTCTGGGTGTGGGCGCGCAAGACCCCTCTCACCTGCCCGCCCGTGAGTCTCTGATGGACCAGCTGGTTGCCGAGGCGCCCCGTGTGCTCCAGACAGCCACCGCAGGCACTGTGCTCCAAATGGTGACAGCACTTGCCAGGTGTGGACCTGCTGACTCCCTGCCTCCCTCCCTCCCCGCTCATAGACATCCATGTGTGTGTGTGTGTGTGCGTAGGTTTCCCCCAGAGTATGTCTCGAGGCAGCCCTCCTTCCTGACCGAGTGCACCTCTGCGCTTCGCGGGACGGTCCACAGTTTGGCGGCCCCCGGGCTGGTGGCCCTCTCCCGCGCCCTCTGGCGCCTCAACTGCACCGACCGACCGCTGTTCGACAAAATCGGCTACCAGCTGGAAATGAAGAGGTCCGTCTGGCCGATCGTTCGTTATGTAGGGCACCTTCCTTCACATGGTGCATGTTTGTTTGTGTGTGTGTGCAGGTATGACCTGCCCGATGGCGAGTTGGAGCGTGCTGCAGAGGCTTTCGACGGGTTAGGACTCCGTCGGAGGTTTCAGCTTGAGCCGCCCAGGGCGGTGCAGCAGGCCAGGCAAGGCCGATATGAAAAGCAAAGAGGCAGGAAGGCCAGAATGGCTGGTGGCGAGGCGGCCACGGGTGTGATGGATGGTAGGGAGGGAGGGGAGGATAGGCAGCCAGGAGAGGGGAGGGGGGAGGGAACAACTCAGGCAGTGTTCTGACCTATGTATGTATGTATGTGATGCGTCCATCGGCGTGATGTGAAGTGGTGTGATCTGGTTGGTGAGTATTGTGTGCACGAACCTCGTGCACAGAGTAGGCCACGCCGTGACGTTTGGCTTCATTATCTATGTGTTCAAGTAATAGAACGAACAATACAAATATGTAACTGGCGTGTACAAGGTGGCCGTTGAACAGAGCCTCTCAGTTTGCAGTGGAATGACATCGGCCACCAGAGAGAGACCAAAGCCAACCACAGCTCACAACGCATAACACACCGACTCGCTACCCTCCCGCACATGTAGGCGGTCCATCCACCAGTCCCATCATCATGGCCCGGGCCCTCACAGAGAGCAAAAAGCGACGCAGAGTGCTGTGCAGAGTCTCACTATCAACAAGCTGTACGTCTCTCCGACGCCTTTCCCCCTTCTCAGGACTACCATCAAAAAGGCAAAAAAAATGAGGTGAGCCACGACCCATATGTGTTTGTATAGGAAGGATGACAAGACGCACGTCCACAAGCCACCATACACGGCTGTGATTGGTTGGATCATCACATATCATTACACAGTTGGATGGCAGAGAGCAAAAAGCGCCGCAGCGCGCCAGAGACCGATGGAAAGACTGCTGGCCCGTCTGGCCAAGCAGACCAAGGCATACACACATGCAAGCTCCTGTCATCCCTCACTCGCACCAAACTGTCTGTCTGTCTATCTGACGCCTCCCTCTCTAGTGCCGTCCTCATGGAAAAAGGTGTGCCAAACGTGAATACCACCAAAAACACCCGCATATGTATAGGGAAGGATGACAAACAAGAGGCCCACCCGCCCCCTCACTCACTCATGTGTGCCATCACATAAATGTGAGAACGGATCAGCAGCTGCCGCAGCAACGATGTCCGCAACTGCCGCCGCCAATGCACCCCACCTCATATTTCTGAAACAAACAAGTATCCCCACAACAGGCGGACATGGACGAATGGATTGTACGGATGGATGGGGCGTGCTCATCTGTCTGTCTGTCTGGCTGGCTGGAAGCCCCTCTCTTTTTCTTGACGTACCTGGTAGCCGCCCTCGCACCCGACGTATTCGTTCCAGTGGCCCAACAGGCAGCTGTCGCACATGTCGTAATCGTGGCACGTTTTTTTGCAGCCCTGAAGCTGACGGTGGTCGCCGCCAGCAGCAGAGGGCTCCTCTTCGTAGTCGGTGGTGGCAGTGTGGTTGTCGTGAAGGTAGTCGCCGTAGTAGTGTGGGCCTTGGTAGGGGGACAGCCGGCGGTAGTCACTGTTGGTGTCATTCTCCCTCTGAAGGTGGGCAGGCAGCTGCTGGAGCCGGCGGCGGCGCAATCCCTCAGAGCAGCCCGAAGCGCACTCACTCCTGCACGCGGCCGTGCACTCGTCCCCTTGGCCCAACTCAGAGCAGAAAGCCTCGCAGTAATTCTTGCAGATCTCTACGCACAGTGCCTCGCCGCCCTGCAGCTGCCTGTGGGCCTCTCTCTCCTGCACACCTGCAGCCAGAGGGAGGACAAACATACCATCGTTCGTGTGTGTGTGTGTGTGTGTGTACCTCTCATGGCGGGATTTGCTGCTGATGCGATGGCAAGGGCCATGAAGGCCATGAGGGCGACCACCGAAGTGCGAGGGGCCATTGTAGCTGCACGAGGGGCTGACCAAGTGGAGTGCTGAGGGAGTCAGACGGCGCGAAGGGAAGGTGCGAGGAGTGAACACAATTAAGCTGAGGAAGGAAGGCAGGCTGCTTGAGTGAGGTCGGTGTGCGATGAATTGTTTCCGCCTTTGAGCCCCTGCTGGTGCGGTAGACAGCACGGGAGAGGACTCATGCTGTCTTATCGTGCGGTCTCTCGTGAAACAACTCTCCTATCCATCGGATTGGGACCAGCGAGCTCATGCGGAGAGAAAGGGGGGAGAAAGGAGAAAAGAGGACGGACAAGGAAGGCTGCCAGGCCGTTCCCAGCATCCCTCCAGACTCATTGGGTTGAGTAAATGCAGACGTACAGAGTTTCCCTTCTCACGCACACATGACGTGCGGTCCACCCACCTTTTTCACATACCCGACGGTGTTAGAGGCTGCGGGATGAAGCGTAAGGCGGCGGTGGGTGCAAAAGCGAAGGGGGACGGCCCAGCGGTAGCCCCCCGCCCCAACCTCGGCCAGATCACCTTCACCACCGGTGGCCATAATGCATCTGCAGCGTCAGCGAGTAGTTCTGGTGGTGGGGAGGGCGGGGGTAGTGGGCTGCTGGCGGAGGCTAAGAGCGGGGTGATAAAGCGATGGGTAGAGGAGGAGTTTAGCAAGGCTGTGCTCCAGATGCAGTGCACTTACAGGTACGCAGAAGGGAGGATGGATGACGCGATGGATGGATGGATGTAGGTGCTCATCTGCCGGTGCGTACGATGGGGCTGCGTTCCTCAAGTCCATCCCCCAACCTGACTTTGCCAAGAAAGCAGACGACGACAACACCGGATATGTAAGCAAGCAACTAGCTGCGGGCAAACATACATGTCTCCATCGCTGATGGATGCATTCACGCATTGTGGGATGGATACGTTGCGTCGCGTCAGCTGTTGCTGTTGCGGCAGGGCGATGATACGGTCGGCGTGGCGAGCCGCTACGGCTTCGAGACACACCCCACATGACACCTGCCACCCGGCACGCCCGGACGGGACAACTCCTTCGGCTGCCAGGTGGGTGGGTGGGTGAGTGGGGGAGACCCCTGTGCAGACAGGCAGGGAAGGTGCGCATTTCTGGCTTCCATTGTGTGTGTGTGCATTCAGAAATATTTCCGAGAGCACGGCGCGCCGCCGTTCCTGTTCAAGCTGGACAAAGAGGGGGGCGCCGGGAGCGTCAAGAAAGTGACCAAGAACCTGTTCCTCATCGACCTCGGCGGCCTGTTCGACAACAGCACACTCTCATTCACCGTCTGGCTGGCCGACGAGGAGGAAGAGGGCCCACCCCCCCACCTCCAGGAAGAGGATCCTCTCCTGGAGGAGACCCCATCCCTCACCCATGAGATCGGCATCTACCTGCCGGCGCCCTTCGACGCACAGCAGGGCATCTACACCCACGTAGACTCGGAGGTGGTGGGTCTGCGGGGCGAGAGGCCGCTGCTGAGTGGGGCGGTGGCGCCGCTGCGGCCGGGGCGTGTGACGGGGCATGGGTTGAAGGTGGCGGGGGGGTGTGATGCCATAGAGGTGTGGGAGGTGGTGTTTGAGGGGGACAAGAAGGGCAAGGCTAAGGGCAAGGCTAAGGGCAAGAAGCGGGCCAAAAAGGGCTAGGTGGATAGGTTGGTTGGTGGGGTGGATGGATGGACATGGGAGTGAGTGACCTAGAGGGGTGTTTGGTGTAGCAGGGGAGGGAGAGGAATTAGAGGATGGATGGAGGGGGGAGGGGGGTAGTGGCAGTTGCTTGACATGGCCTGTCATGAGGTGGACGGAACAAAAGGACACAGTATGGATGGATGATAACGTACAAATGTACAGCACACCTTGCCGTTCGTTTGTTGCGGTCTCTCTCATTGTGTGTGTGTATTGTGTGTTTGCATGCCCCCTCCCCCCCCAACCCTCTCTTGTCTGTCAGCAAGCTGCAAAATCGCCCCAAACATCAGCTCAGTCAAGCACCAGTGTGATCAGATCGATCACGAAAAGATATAGATAACCTATGGCCGCTAACGCGCACACAGGCTCAGAAGCACACAGCCACAGTGAGTGACAGCCTTAAATCTAGCCCTAGCCCTCCCCTCTGGCTAGAGTTCCCTGTGGTGGTGGACGCCTGTATGTTTCTTCTCACGTCTCCGGCGCAGGCCTGCGTATCTGCCGAGCATCAGCACAGTCGCCTGCACGTTCAGCCGGGTCACCTGCACGTGCGGGTGGGAGAACAGGGGAGGCAAGGTGTGAGCTACCCCTCTTGCGTGGCATCCACTGGTCTGTTGGGCGACACCACCGGGCCGCCTAGCCTACCTGCGGGAGGACCGACGCGTCGCATATGGAGAGGGCATCGATGCCGTAGACGCGGAAGTCGGAGTCCACCACAGTGCCCATCGCCGCCGAGCCCACCCCTGAAACGCCATCAACATGAATGAAACGGTCTCTCCCTCTTGGCCTCTGTGTCTGTCTGTCTGTCTGTCGCACAATGCCAGATGCCTGTTCCAGCGGACTTGACGAACTTGCCCAATTCCTCCGCATCCCACAAATCTGGTGGGTTGGCACACACAACCACCCAGCACACACACACACACACACATGATTACCGTCGCCGGCCTGCGTGGAGTCTGTGTGGCTGCGTCGGTGGCTCGCTGACCTGCTGGCAGTGGGGGCACCACTGCAAAGCGTCTTGCTGCTTCAAGCTGGGCCGCCATACAATCATGCCCATGATTATCCTTCGCGCACACGTCATCTCGCCACGACCCCACGTCGTCCTCCTGAAGACAGGCAGACAGACACACAGACACAGACACAGAGGCCAAGAGGGAGAGACCAATTCATGTTGATGGCGTTTCCGGGGTGGCGTACCTGTAGTGAGCGTGCCGGTGCGGTGGATCCCTTGGCCATCTCGACTTGCTCTGTCAGCCACTTGGCGACATCGGACTCTGCCCCCAGCCACCGAGAGGCCGCTTCCCCCCCCTCTCTCTGTTTCGCCTCCATCTCCATCTCCAGCCGTCTTTGGTGCACGAAATTCTCATACTCCTGTCTGTCTGGGCCAGCGGCTTCTTCGTGTGAGGCCTTCAGGTGGCGGATGCCGGCAAGGGGCCGTGTTGCGATGAGGATCATGTCCAACAGGTGGTTGAAGATCGTCCCAGGGCAGTTGAAAATGCCTTTCTCCTGCAAGACGCCGTCAAACTCGCCGCTGCCCACCATCTGCAGCCAGCAGACACGCCGTCATGAACGCATCGTTGCTGTGCCGTGCTCTGCTCGTCCATTCCACCCACCCCACCCGTATGGATGTAGTGAGTCCCATGACGGCACTGTGGATGTCAAGCCCTTCATGGTCGCCGAAGTAGTTGCCGAAGACGATCGGCGCGCCCCACTCGTTCACCGTGACGTGGCCCCTCGACTTGGGCACCGGCGGGAAAGACATAAACCCTACCACCTTCCTGCACTCATGGCGTTGGCAATGCATGCAGACAGCCTGCCTGCCTGCCTGTGGTGTGCGTGCGCCCGTCTGTTTGTGTGGACTAACTTACTTCAAGCAATCGAAGACCGGCCTGAGAGGGAGACACAGGAGGCTGTCCTGGTTGGCATTGCACGCCGACACAACCGACACGAGCAGGTCCGTCTCGCTGCAGCAACACAGACAGACAGACAGACAGACAGACAACACCAACCCACAGCATCACATCACATATATCACATCCGAGCACTTGTGGGCGCGACACTCATGCCATGCGTACGTACGGTGTGGTGCGGAGTACAGTGGGAAGGAATGCTCGTGTGGCCAGGAACAGGTCAAGCGCAGAGAACCCTGATCCCTCCTCGGAGTTGACGTACATGCAGTCCATGCTCACGTCCCCAATGCTGCAGGCACACACACGGGCACACACATCACACACGTCCATTCCATCGTTTCCAGCACTCCACTCCACTCCACTCCATCAGTAGGTTGATTGTCTCACCGACCCAAAGTCGGTTGGACAGTCTGCGCCCATCTTCTCGAAGCCTGTGTAGGTGCCCAGTGTAACGTTCTGATACTCTTTGTCTTCAGGAATTGTGTCATGCTCCAGGAAGACCATCAGCGGCGTGAAGAAGCGGTCGTGCAGATTGCTCCCCAGCTGCGGTATGTCCATCACCACCTCGCCACCCTTGTTGGCCATCACCTTGCTGACCACCTCGAAAGGGCCGACCCCACTGTTCATCAAGAGGACGGGCGTCATGATCGCTCCTGTCGACAAGAAGATCTCGCCACCGGGGTTAATGCATGCACGCTTGACGTCATGGTGGTCTTGCGGCCATCCTTCGCTTGAGGACCCCGCACGATTCCCATAAGAGTCGATGGACTCCGGAGGTCCTGGCGAGTCGACGTACTCAATACATGTGGCACGGGGCTGCTTGCCACTGGTGTCAAAGTCGATGCGCAGGACGGTCTTCCGCAGCATGACCTCCAGGGAGGCGGGGGTGCCGGGCGGGTCAGCGAGGGGGCCCTTGAGCAGCACGTCGGCACCGAAGCGCTTGCGATAGGGGGACAGGACGCCTCCGTCGTCCTCGAAGCGGGAGTAGGTGCGGAATGAGCCGAGAGTGATGTAGGGGGACGGATCGGTGACGGGGTTGAAGCCCACGGCCTCCTGCGCCTTTCTGGCGGCGGAGCTGTATGGCTCACTCTTGCCCATTGGCTGAGACGTTTGATCAAATATCCACGCGTACGACTGACATAGCAAAGACAGAGAGAGAGAGAGAGAGAATCCCCGACAGGCCATCACGGCTGTCTCACGCCTCGTGGCGTGTGTGCTTCCTTCCCACCTCGTCCACAAGACACTGATCGAATTGTGCGCCAAATTCATGTTCCAGGTAGTCAAAGTACTCGGCCACCTCGGCTATCTGCAGACCGGCTGTGAGAGCCGTGCCGCCCGAGAGGACATTGCCGACGTGTGTGATGGTCCTGTCGATGGTGCGGATCTGCTGAGCGAGGTCCGGGTTGTTCAGGCCCGGCCCCCACCCCCACGGTGTGACCGCCTCGGGGTGCTCCTCGAGATTGCCGCCCCTCTCGATGAGCAGCACGCGGTAGCCATCCTCAGCCAGAGTGAAGGCCAGGGGGCAACCCGCTGCACCGCCCCCCACCTGAAGACCAACTCACGGACGCAAGAAGAGCATCATTTCATCATTTCTCTGTCTTTGTCTGTGGGGGCCGTGTCTTTGAATGCGGTTCTTTTCGTTCGTACCACAATGTAGTCGAAGTATGCGGCGTCCTTTCCACCGATCTTCCCTGCAGGGGGCTCGTGAAGGAAGGAGCCCTGCACACAAATGGGGAACGGGGCAGCGAGGGAGATACTAGTCATGCTTGTGGTGTGCCACCATCCATCGTGCCATCGGTTCCCTGACCTCGTGTTTGTCCGCGCAGCAGATGTGCCCACATAACATGAGAGAAACCATGACAAAAAGCCTCCAGGCAGCCCATGTGGGCAAGACAGCAGCGTGCTGCCGAGCCGACGACATGACGGACGGACGACCGCTTTTTGACGAATGAGGCATCGGGGCTGTGAGTGAGGATGTCGTGTTGATGAACGAGCGGAGAAGGATTTGGGGCCAAACACTCAAACGGCCGACCGTTTGCGATGATGACGTTGTGAGCGATGATCTCTGGAGTATCTCTTTACTCAAGAGCGCTGGCTGGTGTGTTCCCGTGTCTGTCTCTGTCTGTCTGTCTGCCATGCGTCCTTCATTCTCACGTCGGGTCTCCTTCCATCCGTCCATATGTCCACAGCGCACACACAAAACAGCTTAAACGCACACCACCCACCGATACAAACACACACACACACACACACACAGGGGTACGTCCTTGGCCCGCATCATATCGACACACCACAGCACAGCACGATATAGCATGGCATGGCACAGCATCGCCAGAATCGTCCTAAATACTACACCATACCCCACGGCACATACATATGTCCTTGCAGAGGGATGATATGAGCAACTTGCTACGGAAAAAGGGAATGCATCGCCTCCCGACCTCCCTAGTCATTGGACGGACGCCCAGCTTCCTGTCGCTTCGTGTGGGTTGTGCCTCGCCGTGAAATGCAGTCGATGGCGAGAAGGGTCTCCCCCTGCCACCATCGCATTCCAACCCGACCACAAACCGACACAAGGCGACGAGGAAGCCGCAAGCGCACACGTCACCAAGCAACCAGCCAGGCAGCCAGGCAGCCAGCCAGCCAGCCCACATATCTATCTCACGAGAAGACAGTGCGCTTCATGTCTGTGGTAGGTACCATCCATGTCCTCTCGGGCGCGGCGCACAACACCGACAAGGCAAGGCAAGAGCCACAACGGGTGCATGCATGATTCCCCGAAAAGCTCTCACCTTGCCTTGATTGTCTTGCACGCGCGTACAGAGGGGAGGGAGAAGCAGGCCACAACGAACGAACGAAGGAAGCACACACACCGACCGGTCCGAAAATGGTATAGATGCACACACACCCACTCAAAACTGGCACACACTCCACCTCAAGCCAGGCCAAGCCACGCCATTCCTCACGCCATTCCTCACGCCAGGCTAGGCCACGCCATTTTCTGCCTGCCTGCCAGCCTGCCTCTCTCTCTCTCTCTCTATCTCTCTCTACTCATCTATCTGGGTAGCAACTCAGTCAGTCGGTGTAGTCGTTCGTTGAGTCAGTTAGTTGTATATGATCTGTTCGGCCGCCTGTTTGTGGAGTGCGTAGTCCTCGTCAATGAAGAGCTTGTGCGACACCTCCCGCGGCTGCAGCCACAGGTCGATGGGCGACGGCTTCTCTACCAACTCCTGAACACACACACGCGCACACACATACAGACAGAGACAGACAGATGTGAAGTGGCGTGTTGTCTTGTGGTGTCTGTCGTGTGTTTGGCGCCGCGCCCTTCCGTACGTTAACGGCAGCGTGTGGGGCGCAGAGTTCCTTGTAGCTGCCCGTCTTGGCCAGGCGCGACTTGAACACCTCCAGTATGGTCGACAGGTGACACTTGCTGCACACCACACACGCATGTACTGCTGGCTGATCTGGTCCCATCCCATTTGTGTGTGTGGCCTGGGTGGAGGACTGCTTAGGCGTACGTCATGTCTTTGCATGCGTTTGGGGTGGCCTCCACGTCGTGGCCGGTCTGCATCAGCAGGGGGTTGTCCTTGCCTGTGGTCACAGCACAGCCACACGCGGACACACAGCCAAACAAACAAAAGACAAACAAACGATCCACACCACACCACACCACACCCCACGTCTGTCTCCCCCGCCCCGCCCACCAGTGCTCCTCTCCTTCTCGCCTCGCTCCTGCGTCGGCCACCAAATGAACGTCTTAATATGAGGCTGCACACACACACACACACAGGCGTGAAGGCACCGCACCCATTGACGCGCTCAACACGTGTATGTGTATGTGTGTGTGCTGACCTCGGTATCTCCCTCGTCTTTGTGGAGTTCCCAGACGATAGTTGATGCGGTGGGCAGGTAGCCCTTGCGAACGCCGGTGAGGGCGATGGGGTAGTCGAAGAACTTGAGCACCGCATACAGCAGCTCGCGGTGCGCCAGGAAATACATAAACTTCACACATCAATCACACACGAGAGAGTGTTTTGCTTGTGGGTGGGTGCAGTGCACTGTGTTGTGTTGTGTGTATAATATGGCCGACGGCAGACAGACCTTTTTGCTATCGTCCTCAGTCTGTAGCGCGGCCAGGAGTTTTCCGGGGAACTGGCCGGAGATATAGGAGATCTGAGCGGGCGTCTCGAAGAACCACCCCATCAGGTAGTCAAACGCCTAAAGACAGACACAGACAGACATGCAGACACAGAGGCAGCCCACACACACACACGGTCCCCTCTAGACATGCACTACGTCGTCTTTCTTGTTTGCTTACGATGGTGTGGTATTTCTCGAGGACGCTTTGTTCGAGCCGTCCGTCGAGGTCGGCGGGGTACCCCTCGTCCTCAGCAAACAGAAACGCATCATCCAACGTCTAAACACACACACACACACAGAGAGGGAGAGAGAGATGTGTGGTCGGACACACACATTTTTAATGGCCTCCGACCTCCTTACCCAGGCCACCCCACTCCACTGACCTTGACTAGATCAGGCAGGAGCTTGGTGCCCTCCCCCGCCCTGCTGTTGGCCACCAGGTCGTAGCCACAGGCCTGGCCCACCTCGTTGAGCACGCTCTCAAAGGCCGGCTCAGCTTGCAGGTGGTTCTCGATGGACGCCGCCGTGTGCGCGATGTCGGCGCCGAATCGTGTGCCGCACATGCCGTCGCCCACCGAGTTGAAGAGGTTGTCGTGGCCGGGGGTGGTCGTCTGGATGGGGATGATCTGAGGGCTGATCGATACATCGACATGTATGCAGAAGAGAGACAAGACACACAGACAAGACGACAGCCATGCATGGCACACCGATGTGTGTGCATGTCATGTTTCTCTCTCCCTGACTGACTGACTGACCGGTCAGGTAGGTATCCGGGGGGTCCGGTGCCGTCAGGGAAGAGTCCCTGTCCGAATGCGGTGGCTGACATAAGGTTGCGGTCGGCCGACTCGGACTGCAAGAAGAACGTCCCATCGTCCACGTAGTGGTCGGGCAGGAACGTCGTGTTCACCATGTAACGCTCCCGAGTCCACCTGGTGGCATAGTATGTCATCCATAATCATCCACACACACACATGCACGACACGAACCGCACACACATCACATCCACACTAGCTGTTGGTAGATCTGTCTGTGCACGTGTGTGTCTGCTGTCTGTGTTTCTGTGGGCTTCATTACGTACTTGCCGACTTGGTACATTTCGCAGAGGCCGACGGGTGTGAGTTCGCCCGCGGCGCCCTTGAACCGGTTCCTCGTGGAGGCATAGTTGGGGCAGATGTCCAGGATGGGCTCGTTGGCCACTCGGTTGCCGTGCCGCGACAGCACCACCACACGCTTCAGCTCACCATGAGTCGGGTGGGACGCCAGCAGACACAACAGGCAGGCGACCAGGATGCAGCCCGTCATGGACAACGCCACCATATTATTCGGGAATGCACGGAGAAAGAGCTCTTTGATTCTTCTCGCCAGCAATGGCGAGCTTGTAAGTGTTGGGAACGATGGCATTCGAATGAAAGGAAGCGGGGCTGTTCCCTCGTGATGTCTGGTGGAGTACTGAGCACACTGATGGCACTGCTATGCTGGATCTCGCAGATCTCGGGGTCAGTGTCATTGACGAGGCTCAGGCGGCCTCGCTGGGAGGCCAAAGGGCCAGTGGACGCCTTCAGCACACACACTTCTGCATTCGCGTAAGCCCAGCCCACTTCAAACACGCACAAAGAAAAGAATGGCTGTCTACTGTGTGCTCGTGTCTGTCTGTCATGGGCTCCTTCCTTGGGCACTGCAGGCCGTCGTCAGTGATTCCCAGACGCCAGCCGAGGCCACGGGCCGTGTCCACGGGCCAACAAGAGGGCGGCAGTGACGTGCAAACAATGCTCAGCTGGCTGAGGGAATGGGGGGCGGAGTGGCACCACGACGTGAGTGAGAGAAGGAGAGAGCGAGGCGAGAGGGAAGGAGGAATCGGTCGGTCCCACACATTGTGTGGCTGCTCCCTCCCATCTGTCAGGTGTGCGTCATGGACTTTGACGGCCTGAGGGGAGTGGGGGCGAGGCGACCGATAGAGGGCAGACAAACGCTCATCAAGGTGACAGACTGGATGGATGGCTGCGTGTGCACCCCCACATGCAGCACGTGTGGCGCGGTGGTCTGGTCTCCCTCTCTCCCTTTTATTTATGTGCAGATCCCGCTATCTTGCTGCATCCGCGTGACGGAGGGCAGGCCGTCACCAATCCCCAAACGAATAATCCACCCAAACGTGACTGACCCAAACAAACCACACACCACACCTACCCACACAGCGCAGCGCAGCACAGCACAGCACAGGAGTCATCTATCCCCCTATGTTCTTGTCGATGACTCCTGTGGTGGCAGGTGTGGTCGTCACTGCCGTCGATCTTTTTGCAGCTGGCTCTGGTGCTCCTCTACGAGCGGCGGAAGGGCAGCAGGGCACCCCATGTGCCATACACACACCTCCTGCCACAATCCTACCATATGAGGGCCGAGAGGTGGCCGCCGGCAGTCACGGACGCACTAAACTACCCACACCTCGTCGCGGCCTCACACCAGACCAAGTGTGTGGTAGGAGGGGTATGTATGGGTGTGACGTGATGTGTGGGCCAATCATTTCACCTGTGTGTGTGTGTGTTTGTGTGTGTCTGTGTGTGGTCAGTGAGCTGATCGACTGGTTCCTCGGTGCGCATGGTGTGATGGGTGAGCTGTTCTCCAGCCGGGAGGAGCTCGAGTGGGCGGTCGACTCGGCCGTCACCAGAGCCGTGCAGATCACGGTACGCAGAGGATACACAACATAACCGCACCAAAGGTGTGCACTGACTGTTTCTTCTTTTTTTTGTTGCATGTGGTTCGTCCCACGCATGCGCTGCACAGTGCGACGACGGTGATTCGTTGTGCCTGCTACCACTGATGGATATCCTCAACCACAGCACCACACACGGACGTACGACAGCGGCCCCGCCGGCACCCACACAGACAGACACCCACACACTCTCTCTTGGCTGCTTTGCTTTGCTTTATGCACACTGTTTATTAGATGGTGTGGCGATAGAGTACAGCCGACGGGAGGAGGCCTATGTGGCGACGTCGCTGCCTGGCTCGCGCTGGGAGGCCGGCGAGCAGATCTGGTGGAACTATGGACAGAAGGGAAACGACGAACTGCTCTCACAGGTATGCAATGCAGCCATCCATCCAGATCCATCTATCCATGCATGCATGCCACCCGCTCTCTCCCTGGTTGTCTCTCTGACTCCCTTGTGTGTCAGTTTGGCTTTGTGGAGGCCGACAATCGCCTCGACACCCACGTCATCGACCTCTCCACTGTGACGCGCTTCGCCCCCACCACCCCCAGTGTCAGCGGCCAGCAGCCGGCCAGCGACAGTGAGTGGCGCACACTGAGGTGGCGAGGCGGTGATTCAAATGCCGCCACCATCCCCGATGCGCTGGTGCAGACCATCAGGCGGCACAGGTACGATGTGCTGATGTGTTGGTAGACCGAGGCTTGACGGACATTTGTGTGGGCTGTGCATGTCTTGTCTTGTGTTGTGTCGCAACCGCCACGCACAGGTCGTTTGGCGGTGGCGGTGGCGATGCGGGAGTGTGGGGCGCGATAAGCGAGATACTGCGTGAAGAGCTGGCAGGGGTCAGCCGCCGGCTTGATGCGCTCAGCTCGATAAGGCAGCGTTACGGCGACCAGAGGACGGCAGATGCAGTGTGGGTGGCGTCACAATACCTCATCGAGAAGACTAAGCTGCTGCAAGCAGGTCGGTCGGTGTGTGGGGTCATGCAGACCTCATTGATGGTGCGTGTGGGCATGTGAATGGGTGCAGGGCTGCGTCACGCAGAAGAGATGGTGAGAGGGCGGCCGCTTCTACCTCTCCCAGACAGGCCACTCCGCGCTAGTGTGGCGGCTGTTGATTCGCCGGACCATTTCGACAAGACAAGGAGCATCATCCGTGTGTTTGGATGAGAAGAGGTGGCACCAATAAGTAGGACATGTGTGTGTGGGGGGTTATGTATGGTGTGGTGGGGTATGATGGGTTTGGTCTTGTGCCTGCCTTGTTGATAGCGGAGAGAGAGCTGCCGGCAGCATAGCATGTGCGATGAGTGGAAGGACGGGCAAGACGCTGCAAGCAACAGTCTGACGGTCACCTAAGCTCTAAAACCTGCGTTCATTGCCTGCCTGCATTTGACGCCCCTCTCTCTCCCCGTCTCTCTCTCTGATCCATCCCACGCATCCCGTGATGTAAATGTCCTCACATATGTTTGTATGCGACAAACCTCTAGATAGACACTCCCACTAACGCTTCTCGTGTCGCTCCTGAACTCACATGTGCTCGCACGCCCGATCGCACGGTGTCCAGTCGCCCCGGTCGGTCAGGGCAACTTGAGACCATGCTCACAGGCTACACACGTGAGCTCCATCGCGACACTCACTGAAGGCGCTCCACAAACCAAAAGCGGCTGGCCGTCCCTCCCCCCCTGTGTTTCTCGGCGGATACATTCAGACAGGCGACTGTCTGGCGGCCTCTGTATATAATGCCCCCCTGTCTGTCTGTCTATCTGTGGTATCCGCCCTCCTCTGAGGGCCCCCGTGAAGACCGCCACCTGTCATAGCCGCGCCGCAGGTCGGGCGGCTCGAACGTCTCATCATATCGACGCCGCTCACGCTTCCGGCCTGACGAGTGAGGAAAAGACGGAAACACACATGAGTCTTGCAGGCAGAGACGAGAAGTGTTGTCTGTCGTGTGTGTGCGATAGATGCCTGCCTACCGACTGATCGTGATCGGCTGCGGGCCCGGCGACGGCCACCGCCATCGCTGAAACACCCACACAGCACACACCCACACACGATTGCCGTCCTCTGTCTTTTCCTTCCCACGCTCTGTTCCTTCCTTTGCCTCCTTACCCCCAGTGGCCTGGCCCTGGCATGGGTAGGGGCGGGCCCCAGTTGCCCGCCCTCCTCCTCTCGTCATCATGGTGGCTGATGGGCGACGCAGGCAGCTCCTGCCGGCTGTCCGGTGGCGGAGCCGTCATAGAGTACGGCAGCGGATGGGTGGAAGGGAGGGGCGGGGGCCGCCTGTCTCGGTCGTATGGTGGCGATGGGGGTCGGCGGCCGCGTGGCGGCGACCGTGGCGGTGATCGGGGTGGGGTGTGTGGACGCTCTGCCGCGCCAGTGCCGAGGCAGTACTCGGGGTTGCGGCCAGTTATGTACGTCTCAGACCTGAGTGAGTGAGATGGGGTCAAATCAACACACTCGTGCCATTTCTGGGGTGTGTGTGGTTGTGTGGTGTCACACCCACCTGTTGGGGATGCCTGAAAGAGCACCCGGCTCGACCCCGAGCCTCCTTATGAACTTGCCATTGCCGCTCTGCATCTCACGCTCCCACTCAGTCACGGGCCTGACCAATCCAGGCAGGCAGGCAGGCAGCATCACACACACACACATCCATCCATCCATCCAGATCCATCCTTTGGTACACTTATAACATTAGGTGACCGTCTTACTTTCCGTTGATGAGGAGGATGTACTTGGCAGCCCAGTGGTGCTTTTCTGGGTTTGAGGGAGCCACGGCGTCAGCTAATATCCTGAGCGAGCAAGGAAACACGGAAACACACGACATCGAGACAAAGCCGCGAGACTGCGATTTGAGTGGGGTGGTGTCATCGCCTCTCTCTCCCTCGTGCCCACCCGTCAGCTTGCCTGTCGCCCTCCCGGAGGTCAAACTTGCGGGACTGCGTCGGCGACACATAGATCATCCCTGGCCTGACAACACAACCCAACCAAACCATCCTCCTGTCGAATGTGCCGTGTGTGTGTGGGTGTGGTGTCTTACATGAGGAACCCCTGTCGGTTGCCCTTGTGTATCTCGAGCCGCCCGCTCGCCGCCGCCACGCCCGCCTCCTCGCGATCCTTGAAGATGATCTGCTCCAACAAACTGTCCCGAGCCATGAGAGATGCGTTCGCAATGCCTATGTCCCGCGCCATCTCGACCAGCTTCACCGTCCCCTTGTCCACCAGCTCAGCCACGTTCAGCAGCGGCCGCGACGGGTGCCATCGGCTGTTGGCGTCCTCCTGGTTGTGGCCCGTCGCGGCGTCCGACCCATCCTGCCCGTGCTCCTCGATCTGGCCCTCCTCCTCAGCCGCTCGCCGGCCGCCTGTGTCTGCGTCGGGGCCATCTCCTTCCTCTTCCTGCTTGATGACCTCAGAATGGTCGACCGCCTCCCATTCCGCAGGGGGCGGTGGCTGGTCGTCGTGATCGTGGTCGTGGTCGTGGTCATGGTCGTGGTCGTGAGGCTCCTGCTTGACGTAGGCGTCCGAGTGGTGGTTATCTTCCGTGTACTCGGGCTGTTGGTGCTGATCGTATTCCTCCGGGTGGGCAAAGTCGCCGTTGATAGCAGCTTCCTCGTGATCTGCATCTGCATCTGCATGGCCGTGCTCGTCTGGAGCCGGCATCTGGTCAGCTGAGTCGGGCGGATGGTCTTCGTTTGTCGGCTCCTCCCCATTGTCACCCATCATGGCTGCATCGCCGCTGCCCTGAGCGGCGGCCTCCTGCTCGTCGGCAAGGTCCATGATCTGGACAGAGATACAAACACAGCAGCACCTGGCGATGTCAGCACCAACTGATCTTCGTACCTCTTCAAGTTGTCACAGTCAATGAAGCTCGCAAAGAATGCGAGCTGCCCCCAGTCTCTTGCATGCATTTTTCCCCTGCCGGTTGCTGGCCAGTCAATGGCAGCCAAGCGGTGCTCGATGACCGAGAGAATCCCGGAGATGCCGTCGCGAATCATGATTCCTCGTCGTCCGTCCAGAGATTCGCCGGAGACCCACCCGCCCCGCTCCCCATGCCCTGACCTGGGCTCTGACGCAGCCGAGAGCAAGGCCGCAGCCATCATCGAAGCGGACCGATCACTGCATGGAGACAACGTTGTCCTGCGGGAGGTGCCTTTGGAGGCGGTGAAGGAGATGGTGGAGTGGGGCATTACATCGCCAGCCCTTTTCCGTGAGATGACTGTTGCAGTGTGGGACGCCTTTATCGAGGAGAGAGGCAGCAACTGCAAGGTGCCGGCTGCGATGAGGGCTATAGTGCGGGAGAGACTTATATCGCTCAACAGGGGAGACGGCGGGTGTTCGAGGCATGTCCTGCGAGACATCAATGCGAAGCTTGACCAAATCCTGCACCGCTTCTCCGCTTTGGAGGAGAGCAGACAGACCGATGGCGACTCAACCCCTGTGGCTGAAGACCTGACTGCTTTGCTCAAGTCCATAGAGGTGGCACGAGCAGAGGATTACTGACTGACTGACTGACTGATTGACTGACTGTTGGATACACATATGTCATAGGTACTGGAGGCCACACTGGACCAGTGTGTGTCGCGCCTGCCGGCTGTCAAGCACCAGCCATTGCCTGCAGAGGCGCCTCTATTGCCCCCACTATCCACACCTACCGTGAGTGCTGGCATCTCTTTCAAGCCCACCCCAGCCCTGTCTTCACCAAGCCGCCACACAGCCGTCTCTCCGGCTTACCAGCCACTTACGGAGCCATCGCCCGGCCAATCCACTCGCTACGGCGCTCCGTTGCTTTCTGTGCCTTCCCTTGCACACCCTGCCCCGCCTTTAAAACCTAAAGGGACTGATATGCCTAAGTCGCCGGCAGCCCTGACACCGCCGTCCATTCTCGATGGCAAGAAACAGCTGTTCGACCCAGAGACATATCTGAAGGACATCCCTCTGATGGAGCCCTCGTACAATGTCATTAGCAGCCCATTCACAGTCGATCACAGCAGAGAATGGGCAGAGCCTCAGGCAGAGAGGTCTCCTGAGCGGACGTTCTTCTCTTCTTCTGCTTCTCTTTCCAAATTCGGGGCGGGGGGCGGGTTTGGGTTTGGTAGAGCAGGACGCGACAGCAGCCATGCATCGTTTTACAGAAGCATCCTTAAGTGACCGACTGACGTACTCGCATGGATCTCTGGCTGGCATGATGGGCAGAAAGACAAAGTGTTTGGATACAGTATGCTCACCAGACCAGAGATCAGAGACAGTCTGACTGACAATGGCAAGTCAGTCGATCCCATCCCACCCACCCCCTCCCAGCACAGTACACTCATCCACCCACCCACCCACACACACACGGATGGTTTGGTTGGGGAATCACATCGACTTGAGTCGCAAAGACGAGAGCACTTTCTTGGCCTGACAGGTAGGTGAGCCGCAAGATCCAACATATGGAGAAGAGAGGTGAGGTGTCTGACAATGTGTCTCACCTGCAACTTCCCCAGTCCCAGCTCAGTCATCAAATCTCCTTCACTCAAGGACAGCAACGTAACACCATCCAGCCCGCTCTCCGCAATGGCCTGCTCACATCACATGCATCACGTGGAGTGCACAGATATGCAGAGACAAGAAAAAATGAAGTGGACTGGACGTGTCTCATCTATCATTACACACATTCAGGGCGTTGTCGAGCTTGGGCCCAGCAAAGCCGAGTGTGGTGAAAAACTCGAGTACGTCGTCCACCGTCCATTTGTCAACCGCCGCGGTGGCCAGCTTCACCCCGTCGCTGCTAAGAGCAGTCGACTCAGTGTTGCCGTCCAGCGACTCCTCCATGCCCCCATCCTCTGGCACCTGGTACAGCTTGTCGGCCATCATCTGCTTGGACCGATCTGCCTCTTTATCTCCATCTCTCGCCGCAGTGCCATCCTCCTGTGTTTCCTGCGACTCGTCAAGCGCAGGCTTGAACGTCTTGGGCGCCTTTCTCGGTGAAGGTGTGCCTGATTGCGGTGCACTGGGTGCCTGGGGGACCTTGCCCGGCTGGTGCTCGGCTGGAGCAGGCGACGGCTGGTTTCTCTTGTCGTCTTGTGTGGGTCTGCTCTTGGGCGCAGAGTGGGAGCGAGGGGCTGGGGGTGTGGGGATAAGGGATTGCGGGGCAGCTCGGGCTGGCGGCGGCTCCTCCTGTGGCCGTGGGCGGCCGACAGCTTTGTGAGGGTTCTCGGCGGTGCAGCTGCGGAGGTGTATCTTGAGGCGGTCCTCCAGGAATGTCCGCCCGCAGTGGGGGCAAGCCACCATCCCCTCCTTGGTGAATGTTTCCATCGCCTGCACGCCACCAGCCAGAGAGAAGACAGGGCGTGGCGTGCCTGGTCTCCCTTCTTGTGGGGGTGGTGTTTCCTGTGACCTGCTGGTTGTACGCTTCTCTCTCTGTAGCGGTCATGGGTGTGGCTCCCTTGACGGCCGGCAGCTCCTGGGGCTTCGTGGGCAGCGGCCGCCTCTCGTGCTTGGGCTTCAGCGCCTGCAGAGAAGATGACACACAAGAGGTGACGTCACTGACGTGCAACCTCCTGTCGATTGCATCACATCACCTCCTGCTGTTCCCATTTCTTGGCGCATTGTGGAATGTGAATGTCAATCGACTTGGTGCCAAACTTACGACCGCTACACACACACACACACAATGACAGACAGACAGACAGACAGACAGACAGACATGGAGACACCAGGCAAGGGATCCGTTGCCCCGACCATATGTAGCAGACGACAGCCGGCGGCTCCTTGAATGTCGGACCGGGCTCACGCATGGTTCGGGGGGCAGACGACGGCCGACCCCCATCGCCCTGACCGATCGACGGCAATGAGGAACCACCCCCACCGCCCCCACCGCCACCGCCCCCACCAGATTCCGCCATCTTGTGTAGGCGTTCCTTGGCTGCCGTCGACGCCTTTGCCGGATTGCTGGCCTTGCATGACCGCAAGTGTATCTCCAGACGGTCGGGCAGGAATGTCCTTCCGCAGTTGGGGCATGCCACGAGGCCTTCAGTGTTGAACTTCTCTTGTGCCGCCACATTGTAGGCCTCTCTCTCTTCGGCGGTCATGGCGTCGGCACCTATGGCCTTCTCGGCCTCCGGCGGCTTGGGCACGGGACGCCTCTCGTGCTTGGGCTTCAACGCCTGACGCGGACACCAGACTCGCTTGGTCCGTGCTTGGTCCGTGTTATCAATCACCGAACCTCTTGCTGTTCCCATTTTTTGGCACATTGGGGCAGGTGGATGCTGATCGAAGCCGTCCCAAACTTACGACCACTATAGCACACGAGACATACCAATGGAGCATCGCAGGCATCGTGCAGCGCTGCTCTCTGTGTACCATATGTAGCAGGTCACCGACGGCGGCTCTCTGAAGACCGGCTCACGGGAGGGCGCGGAGGCGCTAGCCGGCCTCTGCGGGCCCTTGCCGCCCCCCGACCCTGTTGCTGCTGTTGCTGTTGGTGGTGCAGCGCCAGGGACGCCCTTCTTGAGACGTTCCTGCGCGACGGCGGATGACTTTGCTGGATTGCTGGACCTGCATGACCGCATATGGATCTCCAGCCTGTCGGGCAAGAAGGTCCGGCCACAGTTGGGGCATGCCACCAGCGCCTCGTTCTGGAAAGTGTCCATCGCCTGCACACGACCCGATAGAAAACAGCGCCGACAACACCATATATATGGGGCCATTCATTGCCTCTTTGGTTGTTCGTCGCGTCCTTACCGCTTCGTTGTATGCTGACCTCTCTGCCGCCGTCATGGCACCGGCACCTACGGGCTTCTCGGCCTCTGGCTTCTTGGGCAGCGGCCGCCTTTCGTGCTTGGGCTTCAGCGCCTGCAGAGAAGATGGCACACAAGAGGTGACGTCACTGACGTGCAACCTCCTGTCGATTACATCACATCACCTCCTGCTGTTCCCATTTCTTGGCGCATTGTGGAATGTGAATGTCAATCGACTTGGTGCCAAACTTACGGCCGCTGCACACACACACACAATGACAGACAGACAGACGTGATCAAGCGCGATGACGAGAGTGGAGCTGGGGGCTGATGCAACGAACGTGTTTCGCCCTTTGTGCGGCTGGCTGCGACTGTGTCGTGTCTGTGTGGCGTCCCTCCCTCACCAGATGTAACAGACGACAGCTGGTGGCTCCTTGAAAGACATTGGTCCTTGTCAGCTTGATTCGTTACTGGTCGGTCGTCGTCGTGGGGCCTCCCTGGAAGTGGCAGAACCTTGGGCAGAACTGATTCGGATTATTCCGATTCAGTGGGGCTCTCTCCAGACGGCGAAGAGATTGGGAATGGGGAGGGAAGGGAGAAACAACTTGCAGACCGCAAGCTTTCAAGATCGCTTAAAGATTCGCTTTGTGCGTCTGGGTGGCGCTATTTTGTTGGCGACTTGTACGTTCATCGTACAAATGTCCCTGCCGACGAATCTGTCTCGCTTGGCGCGGCTAATGATGCAAACAGCTAACACGGCACAACGCAGCTGCAGACGCACGAGAGAAAACAGAGAAACTGCCGTTGATTGATTACACGACACCACACTATACAGCGCGTGCCTGCCACTTGAAAAAACCTTCCTCTCGTCGCGTGCCGGCCTCTCTCAATGCATTGCCAGACGCACAATTACACACACATACGCAGAGATACACCCACACAGATCTCTCGCTGACCCACCCGAATCGACCCGTCTGCTTGGGCTACACAGCGTCGTATATGAGAGTGCGCTCGTCCGCCTCGAGCGGCCGCACACGCGGCAGCCTCCGAGGCGACCACTGCCCTGCCATCTGCGACCATGTGCGCGGCGACCACTGCCCACCCCGCCGTGTGGTTCCATCATGGGTGAAACGGACAGGCCGGAACCATCTGCACACATGGATGGATGGATGGATAAGCAGAGAGAGAGAGGCCCCTTGTGTGTATGTGATTGCTGTGGTCGTGTGGTGTGGTGGGTGCCACCGTTGGGTGGTACCTGAGCGACAGGGAGCATCCGACCACGATGAGCGAGCTGCAGGCCATGGCGGCGCCTGCCAGGGGAGGCGGGATGGTCAGCGGATAGAACAGCCCCGCTGCCAATGGCAGGCCGATCAGGTTGAAGATACACGCCCAGAAGAAATTGCTGCATTGCAAGCACAGACGACCTGAGAGGTGTGGTGCTGATGCACGTCTGGTCTGTCCTTTTGTCTGTCTGTCTGTCTGTCTGACCATCTGATGACAAATATGGTGGTTCTGCAAAGCTTGAAGAACGTTGCCAGGTCGGCGAGGCCGGTGCGCATGAGCACCACGTCGGCCGCAGCGATCGTCACCTGCGCCCCCGCCCCAACCGCAATGCCCACGTCGGCCTGGGCCAACGCTGGCGAGTCGTTGATGCCGTCACCAGCCATCACAACGGTCCCTGTGGCACAACACAGCACACACCACAACACCCCACACATGAGGGACGAAGGTGCATTATCCTTACCGCGCCGTGTTGTGCTGTGGTGTGCTGTGCTGAGTCACCTTTCTTGTCGTTTGCGAGTTTCTGCACCAGCTTGCATTTGTCCGCAGGCAGCGCGGGCGCGACGACCTTGTCGATCTCCAGCCCCACCTTGCGGCCGACCGCATGTGCGGTGCTGGCGTTGTCGCCCGAGCACATCCACACGTCCATGTGTCCGCCCTCCGACCCCCGCAGCCACCCCAGGCACGCCGCGCTATCCTCATGCACCTCATCTCGCAACGCCACCGCCCCCAGGCACACAAACCCCACGTGCAACACCGCCACCGTGCAGCCGTCGGCCTGCTCCCGCCCCACCCACCCCTCGAGCAAAGGCCAGTCGGGAGTGGTGTTGGTGCTGGCGGACGGCAGCAGACAGCCGCAGTTGGGGCCGTTGACCATGCACCGGCAGGGGTCGCACCGACACATGGGCGAGTTGCACTTCCCAGGGGCGCCACTCCCTTTGTCTGCTGTGTCGTCTGTTGTGGGCCGTGGGGTGCGGTTGGGGCTCCGGGCGGCAGCGAGGCTGAGGACGCCGACTTGGCGGCCGGCCACGCGGCACTCCACCCCCTTGCCCGGCAGGTTCTGGAAGTCTGTCGGCTCGGCGAAGGGCGCCAGCCCTGGCTGCTTGGCCGCGTGCTCGGCGATGGCCCGCCCCAGCGGGTGCTCGCTGAGCGACTCGACAGACCCCAGCAGCCACCAGAACCACCGCATACCCTTCTGCACCTCATCGTGTGAGCACCCCTTGCTGCTGTTGCGCAGCACGTCGGTATTCTCAATGGGAGGCGGCGGCGACACGGCGATCTCGCCCTCTGATGCGGTGGTCTCGGCCCCAGAGAAATACACCTCGCTCGACGAGCTGTTAATCGTGTCGCGGGCGGTGTCGCGGTCGCTGTGCGGGGGCGTGAGTATGCCGCCTGACGCCGTGCACAGCTTGGCGGCGGGGAAGGAGGTCGGTAAGATGGCGGCCGCGACCACGACCGGCTTTCCCTTCGTCAGAGTGCCGGTCTTGTCCAACACGAGGCTCTTTGCGTGCGCGCCCGACTCGAGAGGCGCCCCACCCTTGATCAGTATGCCGTGCTCGGCCGCGAGCCCGGTGGCGACCATCACAGCTGTCGGGGTGGCCAGACCTGCGCGCACACAGAGGGAGAGGGAGGGTCATCTCATCAGATCGGTCAGAGGTCCGTATGGCATAGCATGGGTACCGAGGGCACATGGGCAGGCGATGGCGAGCACGGCGATGCCGAACCTGAGTGCGAACATGGCCTTGGTGGCCGTGGGGTGGGGGTCGTCTGCGGGGTCGATGCCGGGCACGCGGGGAGCGATGACGCCCGTGAACACCAGAGCGAACCACACGACCGACGTCACAGCCGCCAGCATAGCCACACACGGCACAAAGTACCTGAATGGGAGAGGAGGAGGAGGAGGAGGAGGAAGAAGGCAGGCGGCCATGCATCCTCGGTGTGTGTCGCATGTGTGGATCGATTTGCACACCCCGCGATTCTGTCGGCCAGTTGCTGCGACTGCGTTTTGGAGGTCTGGGCCTCCTCGACCAGCTTGACAATCTGGCCAAGAGCGGTCTGGCCGCCGATCTTGGTGGTCTGCAGCAGCATCCCCCCCGACAGGCACGTGCTGCCCCCCAGCACCATGTTGCCGTGCTCCTTCTCCACCGGCCGGCTCTCCCCCGTGATGAGGCTCTCGTCCACCGACACGATGCCGTGACTCACTTGGATGCCGTCGACGGGGATCAGCCCGCCCGGGTAGACCTTGAGAGTGTCTCCGATCTCTATCAGATCGGTGGTGATCTCTCTCTCGGTCTCGGTGCCGTCGGCTGCTTGAGGCTGGAGGAACGCTGTGGTGGGTTTGAGGGCCAGCAGATGGTCGAGAGCTGCCATGGTGCGGTGCTTGGCGTGGTGCTCCAGCAGCTTGCCAACCATCACCACCGTGATCAGGATGACCGACGTGTCGAAGAAGGTCATCGGATCCTCGACGATTCCCCCTTTTATCTGCCCATGGTCCTCCACCGCCCCCGCAACAGCCGCAAACACCAGCACACCCACCGAGTAAAGATACGCCATATTGGTCGCCAGGCTGACCAGCACGTCCATGTTGGCCGCGCCGTGCTTGAGTGCCGCGTACGCCCCCGTGTGGAACCGCCGGCCCCACCACAGCTGCACGGGCGTCGCGAGCACCAGCTGCAGGGCCGCCGCGACAGAGAGAGAGACGTGAGGGATGAGAGGCCGGCGCAGGAAGGACGGCAGATTTTCTGGATCAGTGGTCGACAGGATGAACACCAGAATGGCCGGCAAGATGCTGATGGACCACACATGCAGGCAGACACACAGAAGAGTGCGTCTTTCTCTGTGCGCTTTGTGCTGCTTGGTGCAGTTGGTCGCCGACCAGCAGAAGATGTCCCCGCGTATCTGCCGCTGTGTCCGCTTCATCTTGTCGTGCTCTCCCCCATCGCTCTCGGCGCTCCACTCGGCGTCGTACCCCGCCTCGCGCAGCAGCCGCAAGATGCTTCGCGCACCAACCACATGAGGGTTGTACGACACAGTGACGCGCACGCCGTCCGGTAGAGATGACCGTGACCGGGCCGCCTTGGTCTGGCGGCTTCTGATGCAGCCGAGGATGCCGTCAGTGCCCGTCAGAAAGCTCTCCACGCCGGCGGCCTCGTCGGCGGTCGAAGCACTCTTGACATGGACTCTCAGGTGAGCAACGGCCTGACCCATCAACACGCAACATGTGTGTGTCATGTGTCTGCCCGCTCTCTCTGTTCCTCGATCGGCTCACGTCGGAGTGTCCTTCTGTCGTGTCCTCTAATGGCTGGTCGCTGGCGAGAGTGGCGTCATATCCGACCATCTCAATGTACTCGCACAGGTCATCGGCACTCACACGCGCGCCGTCGTACTCTATGGACGCTCGGTTGCGAATCAGATTGACAGACACGCCACGGATGCCCTGCACACACACACAGAGGGAGGGAGGCAACGTGTGCCCGTCCACCTGACACGCCCTTCCCCCCCACTCACCTGTTTCTTCTTGAGGTGTTCCTCGACGGTCTTGACGCACGAGGCACACGTCATGCCGCCCACAGTGATCTCGGCGTGGCGCCAGCTGGCCGCGTGGGCGGGGGAGCCCCTGGACATCCGTCGGGGGCTCGCGTCCGTGTCGGCCGTCACCTGGTGATAACAAGACCATGCGTGCAGACGGTTAAGAGAGTTTGATGCTGGCTGGGCTGACTGACCTCGGCATCGAATCCGATGTCATCAATTGCTGAGGCAAGCTCGGAGGCACTCATCTGATGTGTCACACAAAGGACAGGGAGTCGTTGCTTCTTCCCTTTTTCGGCGTGGGTCCGTTTGTGTAGCGTTCGTACTGTGGTGGGGTGGTATTTGACAGTAGCCTTCTCTGTCAGGAGGTTGACGTGTGCCGACTCCACGCCAGGAAACTGCCGCAGCCGGCCCTCCACCGCGCCAACACACGAGCCACAGGTCATCCCTGCATAGCACAGCCAACGAAGGAAACAAGTGAATGAATCACATCAGGCCGTGAACAGAAAACCTTGGACGATGCCCGGACCTACCTTGGATGCGCAGCTCGGCCCTCCGCATGGGTTTCGGCTCATCGGCCATCTGTCAGGCAGCAAACATAGGTCACACCAAAGAACGCACCCATTTCCGCCTTTCCCCCGCCATCCTACGTGACGCACTTTCAGACTTTTGGGGCCTCTTTGCGTGGACACACGTGCACGCAAGCACGATTATCTTCACGTCAATCAGCTCCGCCTTCAGAAGAGCGGCAACCCAACCCTTCGCCCCAACCCTAACCCTAACCCTTGAGTTGTCCGTCAGCAATTGGGAGTGATCTGCCGTGAAGTTGATCGGCCCTGCAGGAACGTAGAGAGGGCAAGATGGGCAACAACCATACTGCGGACAGCCATGGTGCCCTTATCGACGAACACACACTGGATTTCCTCCACAAAGACGACAGAGATGCCCTCCACACGTATGCAAACCACACAGAAATGACATGAGGAAAGGGAAACGGCAGAGGGCAGCTGTGTGTGTCTGCGCGTGTTGGCTATCTGTGTATGTGTGCAGCCGGTCGGAGGTCGGCAGCCTCAGAGCCACGGCCCGTTTCCTCTGGGAAGTCGACTTCTCGGCCGCCGTCCTGAGCAACCGACTCAATCGCTGCCTTGCCGCCAAGGGACTGCACGCCATCATCGCCTTCGACGCTCAGCTGGACCGGCCTCTGCTGCTGAAGGCCATCTGGCTGGTGGACACGCAGCAGTGGACCGAGGTGACCAATGCGCTGAAGGTGGCGGCTCAGCTCAACTACTGCCAGCTGCCGATCACACTGGCTGTGGCGGATTGTGAGCGTCACGATAGCAAGCAGGTGGGCAGATGAGCGTGGGGCGGGGTGGGTGGGTGGCACTCATCGGTCTGTCTGTCTGTCTGTCTGTGTAGGCGTATTTGGCGGATGTGCGTGTGATTGCGCTGTGGAAGATGGTCGGCCGACACGTCAACTTTGGCGGCAACTACGGTCGTTTTGAGCTGTTCGACCAGCCGGGCGGCGGTGTGCGTGCCCTCCGCGACGAGCCGGGCTTCGAGCTGGACATCAACCCGCCCCTCCCCCCCGCCCACCCATACCACACACATCATCAATGACAACCCGCCCGTCAGATCCACAAGCTGCCGGCAGGAGGGCGGCTGGGCGGCCGATGGTCTGGAGACCACTGATGCCTCGACGTCGTCTTTCATCATGAGTGCCCTCCTGCTCCCCACAGCGGCGAATTGGGGCAGAACTCCTTTGGTTCGAGTGGACCGGTAGGCAGGACACACCACACTCAGACACACACATGCATCCATTACGGCCTCTTCTTTGTGTCATGTGTTGGTCTCCTCAGCCATGCTCACGGCGGTGTGCTGGACGGCCTCCTGAACCACTCACCCCACCAGCCCCCCAACCGATGCACCGCCGTCATGGCGGGCAGGGTGGTCGACGGCGATGATCGCCCTGTAGAGATTCGGACTCTGCTGCTGACGCCGTTCGATGGCCCATTCGTCGCATGGATCGTTCTATGTATCTGTCCCGACACGACCACAGGTGAGGCGTCACAGATGCTCTGTTGATTGGGCCATCCTTTGACGTGTGCTGTTTCGCTGAATGCAGTGTTAGTTCGTGTCGTCACCAGCGAGCCGCCAGTAGGTGATCCATCGGCTGCCTTCAAGGACCGCCGGCCCGCTACCGCCCCTCTGGTGGGCGGCCTGGTGGGCAGCACCATCGCAGATATGGTGGTCATCCAACAGGAGGAAGTCATTGAAGGTGAGTGTGTGAGTGTGCAGGCAGCCGCCTCCATCTCGGTAGGTCTCTCACTCGGATGTGGTTTGTGTGTGTGTGCAGACAAGGATGGCGACTCGGAGGAGGGCGAGGGCGAGGCCAAACAGCGACTCGACGAGTGAGTGACCAGGAGAGCAGACACTCACACCCATCTATTGTGTGTTGGTGTGATGGCAACAGGGCTGAGGCATGCAAGCACCAGGGCAACACGTCCTTCCAGTCGCGGCAGTGTGAGGACGCCCTGCGACACTACACGAAGGCCGCCCGCCTCCTAGCGTTCGTAGCTTCTAGCCCCGCCATCGAGGAGGAGAGGGACCGCCTGGCTACCAAGTGCAAAGTCAATGAGGTATGGCCGTGGGCAGGCACACGAACACCCAACACGCCACACCATGTGTGTGTCTGTTGTGTCGATTTATGAGTGCAGGCGGCGTGCTATTTGGAGTTGAAGGACTACGCCATGACGATCCGCCGGTGCACGGAGGTGCTGGCCGTGGACCCCCACGTGGTCAAGGCCCTCTACCGCCGGGCGCGTGCCCATCTGGAGTGCAAGGACTTCGGTGAGGCCAAGAGGGACGTCATCAGGGCACTAGACATCGCACCCAACGACACAGAACTCAGGTAGGTGTCTGCAGAAGGAGAGGCAGACATAGAGGGGACGAGGGGGGCCAAGGCGTAGGCGATTTCATGGTCTGTCTCTCTGCTTGTGTTGTCTGATGCAGTAAGTTGCTGCGTGAGGTCAAGAAGATGCAAGCGGACGAGGAGGCCAAGGAGAGACGCAAACTCAAGTGTGTGACAAACCACATATGATCCCGTCTCTTGTCCATTTCGCTCTCTCCCCATTGATGCAGGGCGTTCTTCGAGGCTTAGGCCAAGCGATCGGACCGCTCAGGAGCTGCCGCCGCCCCAGCGCCCCCCGGTGTGCAGCATCATGACGACGACGATGGCGGGCCGCTGGTGGTGCTCACCAACACAGGCATGAGGGGGGCGGGTGAGCGGGGTGTGTCTCGTGTCCAGCCGGATATGTGTGTGCCTCCTCTGTGTGTGTGTGTGCAGATGTGGATGGCGAGTTGGGGAACGAGTGGGACGATAGCCGGCCAGTAGCAGCACCAGCGGATGACGGCTGAAGGTGAGAGTGGCGAGGGGTCAAGTTAGACCAGCTGCTTCAGATTCATTGTGGGCCATCGGTCGATGGATGGATGGCCGTGTGCATTCATGTTTCAGGTGAGGGTCGGGGAGGACGGCCACGACGAAGTGGCGGAGGACAAGTAGATAGACAGCGCAGCGCTGCCACGGTGCATCTGCGAGACCCTATAAACCCTGTTGAGTGACATTTAAGGTATGTGTCTAAGGTTTAGGGCTCAATATTTAGGGCTCAATAATGGATGGCCGAGCAGCAATCATCAAAATGCATGAGTGAGAATTTTGCATTTGTATGTGCGTGTCAATTTCTCAGTATTGGTTCTCTTACAAATTCAACGACAGTCGACGAAGTCAGTGAGTCAGTCAACTTATTATGTATACAGCGACACATACATATACACACAATCGATCCTCTCTGTCCATTCACGCACACATATACATACATGCGACATAGTGTTACTCATCCAACTCGCTCCGCACACTACACATCATGACCAATGAGTCGGTCATGACTCTCTGGCTGCTAATTGCAGCCGGAAGCGAGCGTAGAAGATTTCAGGCTCACCATCATCGCCTTCAGTCGTGTCACAAAAAACCTCTGCACCCGTCAGATAGTATGTATCTACAACTTCCTCGTAGCACTCAAAACCGAGCGCACGAGCGCAAGTGGTGCCGTGCTCGACTATGGCCCTCTCTAGCTCATCTTCCTCTAAGTCCCCGTAGTCGTGGCTGGCTAGCTCGTCATCGTATACATCAACACCGATATCTGCCTCGTGCGGCTGCAACCGGTGCACAAAGCGCATGATCGGCAAAGCATCTACCCTCTCGACCACCGTATAGCGGCCATCACGTGTGACGGCATCATCTGACACCTCCACAGTGAGGCGCGCGACGGCAGGCACCTTCTGGCTGAAACGCTCAGGCAATGCTCTCACGTAGGGGCCCACAGACAGCGCCAACTCATCTAGCTTACCAACGCTCATGCTTGCCAGGCACTCGCATACGATAGGAAGGCTAGCAGAGGATAGCTGCACCTCTTTGAGATGGTGCAGGCTGCCCAGCAGCTTAGTGAGTGTCCGGGGTCGGGCGGGCAGATGCCGCGCCCGCCCATCCACCGTCAGGCCAAACTTGCCGCGGAAGGTCTCGATGGATGGAAGGCGCTGTTATTGCCGTCCTGGCCGACCTCGAGCAGCCAGGTTGGGATGCTCTTGATGGTCCTGTCGATCGGCGGGTTGTCGAAGTCCTCCTCGATGCTCAGCTCATCGGCCTTGGGGAAACTCAGCAGGTGTCGCCATGTGTGGTGCAAGGAGGTGCCGCCACACTTGATTACCACCTGAATGCGTACACACCCTTCGTGATGTAAACAATCCTGTGGATCAGCTTGCTATTTGTCTCCTTACCAAGCCAGCCTGGCTCGCCAATTCCTTGACCGCGTCAGCTACGGGCCCATGGACAGCTGGGGGGGCACTCGGCACACGCTTGCTGCAGTCCAATTTGAAGACAAAACCCCGCCACTCGACGCCCACGCCGAGCCCCCTTGCCCAACAGAGGAAGGTGTGCAGGGGGCGCGCCTCGTCGGCGAAGCTGTGGCTGACGGTGGCCTCGCCGCAGTCGAGCCCGATGGTCTTCTGAACGCCTGAAAGGACAGCAAGCGAAGTGACGTCGACAGCTGGATCCTAGTCGGCCGCCATGGCGCGTTTGTCTTACCTCGCATGTCCTGTCGGCACCAGTTGGTGTTGAGGGCCTCGCTCAAGCTAGCCAGTTGGTCGAGACCAATCCCGACACAATACTTGTCCTGGCTGATCCGCAATCCCCGTATGGTGGTCAGCCGAGTGCACTGGCCGACGGCAGTAGTGAAGTCGCGCCAATCACGCTCACCTCCAGTTGGGCTGATTTCGTCAGCGGTGAGCGTCTTGAGCAAAGGGGACGACCGCATGATGTGGGCAAGCTTAGAAAAAGCCCACGAGACGGAGCCCACTTGTAGATGGCACAGGCTGGGGAATGACCAATTGCGTCGACTAATGATAACAGCGACACACACGCACGATTGTCTGCCTTGTGGTGCCTTCATTCTGCTAGACCCACCTCATGTGGTCGACAAATCCATCAGAGCCTTTGTGCCACGCATCACAGCTGATGTGCATCGTCTCCAGCCTCTCAAACACGATACCGGCTGGTTCTGCCGGCTCACGTGAGACGTCGATGTGGGCGCTGATGTGGATGGCCGTGATGGTCGAGTGGGACGCCTCGATACACGAGAACGCGAACGACAGGAACGCGCCATCGCTGTGCTCAATGTGTGCTCGCCGAATCTTGGTCTGAACAAACCACAAAGCACAGGAGACCATGCCTTCTCATCTACAGGTGCTCTTGTCGTTTGGTCACCAGTTTGCTCCTCAGCCGGGTGGGGGTGGTTCGATTGAGGCGCATCCATGTTTTGGTATCGTGTGCCATGATGGTCAGGTTGCGGTAGATGCCGCTCGTCACGTCGTCCGCCTTGGCGTTGAGATCCTTGCTAAGTCGGCAGAGGACGGTGGCCTCAATGGTGGTGAGGAACGAGGCGATTCCGTCACACAGAAGTGGGCCCTCAATGCCATCCAAACACGGCCGATGAACACCCTGAAGCACACAGCGAGCTGCACAGCAGCGTAAGTAGTGTCCTGCTTTGCTGACTGATTGGCTGACGAACCTGCTTCTGTTGCTGCTGTTGGTCGTTGGCCTGCCCTTCCTCCTGAGGGCCGCTCGACACACCTCCTGCACCCACGACAGACAGACGGGACAGAGAGAATTGAGTGCATCCTCCGTGTCAGTCGAGTCACGCCGTGCCGCTGCTTACCACCACCAGCGGCAGCAGGAGCTGAGTGACGCTCCAAGCATGGCCGCTTGGCCTGCGGTACAACTGCCTGCACACACACACAGCAGACGCAGTGATAGAACACACGGGTGGCAGCATCGCTACTCTGTTCGTACCGATTTCGATGCATCGAGTTCCTCGGCAGACTCGTCTATGTCCATCGGTTCGCTAAAACCCACCTGACGGCACGCCACACCTCGCAAGTCCGCCCTGTGCAGATGTGTATTTGCTGTGGGCATGAGTGCCCACCTGTGCGGGTCTATCTAAGAGGGCGTCGATATGCGCCAGGCCGCTCGCCATGGCCGACAACTCACACTGCACACAAACAAACAGCCATACAAACCGCGTGAGATGTCAGGAGCTTGCACACCCATCCACGCGCGTTCCCCCACCTGTACATCCGGTCGGCAGCGCAGCAGCCTCTGCGCCCGCGACTCGCCATCAGCCGATAACTGAATCAACAACCAATGCGCCCAACGGTCAAGTGGCCGCCTGCATGTCAGCCTTGTGTCGTGTTACCTTTGACTGAATCGCCTCAGTCAGTCTGTCTATGCGATGGAGCTCATCTCGCAGGTTACGTAAGCCACCATCAGCAGCAGACGCCTGCACCAAACAAATCACAGACACGTTTGTTGTGCGGTCATATGAATTCAATTTGCCGGTTGGCTGACCGCCATACTCAGAGAGGGAAGAAGCATACTGTGGGGCGAATTCGCCCCGGCCAACCATATTGTGTGGGGCAAATCTAAGGCGGCCGAGCCGCAAACCCACTCATCTGCACAGATGACAACCGAAACCTATGAGAGGAAGCGGCCCGCCTGGTGTTTTCACCTGATTCCATTGGTAGCCGGCGTTTTGGCGTACCTCTCCCCCACCTCTCCCTGCGAGCCGATCCGGCGAAACCCTTGACCCCAACCCTAGGGGTTTGCGAGCTATCGAAGGAGGGAAGAAAGGAGTGGAGATTAAACGACCAATGCCGACGACGATAGCCGTAGCGCCATTCGAGGACTAGAACGGATGCAGACTGCTGAAAGTGACACCGCTTCACGCTGACTGGGTGTGAATCCGGACGTGACGGAGGGTGGACGAGACGATGACGGATCATCCCATGGATAGCATTCTTCCACTCTCTGAGGTACGCATGGATGACACTGTGTGAATGCGCCATGTGTATTGCTTTGCTTCTCTCCTCCTTTGAATGCATGGCAGCGGACGGTGACTCCCCGCCGCTCGCGTCAGAGCGACTCCCCGTTCCGCACGCCACACCGACGCCCTCCCTCCTCACCAGAGTTCTTCACACCCATGTCCACCATCAAGGTCGGACCTCCCAGGACCTCACAACGCGGCAGCTCAGCTGACGGCGACCAGAGTGCCAGCCATGACTCAGCTTCCGGCAACGGGACCGTCCCGTCGGCTCCAGAGAGTCCTTTGGAGGATGCTGTGTCGCCGCTTCCCAATGGCGTGGGTGCGACATCACCCAAGTCCGCAGGCGATGACGGACACGTCAGCAATGGGGACTTCGGGAGCAGCGCGTCGCGGCGGCGTTCGTCCAAGCAACCGCCGGTTGATGACCCTGTGATCGACCAGGTCGAGCGAGATTTGGGTCTGGACATCGGCGCTGACGGCCTCCCGCTGGCTGCGAGGCGGAAATCGTCGATTCCCCCTGTCATTGTCGTCCACGAGCAGGCTAGGGACACTGCCGCACCACCGGAGGCCGACGACGAGCACTACCTGACCGTCCGCATCCCCCTGCCGCGTGACGGCGCCCCCCAGTTCTTCAATCTATCTGAAGGCCACTCACCCAGCTCTAACCCCACCCCGGACTCGCCCCACGGCGACCCGTGCGTCTTGTCGAGGGCTGCGGCGGCGCTGGCGAGTGTGAGGGAAGAGGGGGAAGGGGAGAATGATTATGTGCAAAGGGGGGAGGACGGGAGGGGTGATGTGGAGGGTGTTGAGGGAATAATGGAGAGGGGCTCGTCAGTCGAAGGGCAGTTATCAGAGATGAGGACCTCGATGGAGGTGAGGTGGCCGTCTGACTGAGGGCTCGGCTTATGCACGGCTCGGCTTATGCACGGCTCGGCTTGTGTCGTGGTTTGTTTTGTGTCTGTCTGTGTCTGTCTTTCTCTCTGAATGTTATGTATGTCAGCGTATGTGGAATCAGATGGAGGCGTATAAGAAGGCCAACCAGAGCCTCAGGCACTCGATACACGACCTCCTCCAGGAACGAAACCTTTTACACGTCAGTCACTCAAGACACATACACACACATACACACCACCCACTCACGTGTCCTTTCCCTCGACCTTCCCACTTGCAGAAGATCGTCCTTCAGCTGCACAGTGACTCGCCGTCCACTGTGAGTGCGCCGAGGCGTGCCAACACCATGCCCGTGACATCATCCGACGACGCAGCGCAGCCTCCGCTGCGTTCTGCCCGCTCCCATGAGGGGCCGGACCTCTCCCCGCCCATCTCGGCGAGAGTGGCCGACCTCAGCGGGCGGATCAATGCCGAACAGGTGACTGACGTAGATGAGATGAGAGGCGCATCCGTGTTGTTGCTAAACATGTCCCTTCTGCTCTTCTTCTCCTGTCTCATGTGTGGTGGGTCCCCTCCAGGGTGTGGGCAGTGGTCGTGTGGAGGACCGGGATGTGTTCGACGCTCTGGTGGAGGGTTCGCGGCAGTTCATGGCGGCATCTTCCTCGAGTGACCTTGAGGGCATCTACCGGATCGCTATGGGCGCAGCGCCGCAACAGGTACACAGACAGACAGACAGACAGTGACACATTCGTCACGACACAGTGTACCTCTGTCGTTCCATGCAGCAGTGGCTTGACATTGTGAGTGGCCCCAAACCGTCCAGAGACAAGTGAGAGAGCCCACGAGGACCCTTTTCCTCTTGTTTATCGGCCTGCACTGCATGTCACCCCCCCACTCACTCAGGCGTGTGGTGTTTTCTTCTATTGGGGGCTACTGGCGTACCGTCGACATGGGCAGCGACACCCACCCCTCGCCCCTGCCCGCTGACGGGTCGGTGGGGCCTTACGGCAGCGGTGTGTACGTGGTCGCCTTAGAGTACAAGGGATCGACGCCAACACCGATGCACTCAGGTGGGACGATGGAGCCAGGTACAGCGCACCACATCATGTGGACGCATCCATGCCATCTGTCTGTCTGTCTGTCTGGTTCATTGCAGGCTTGTGGTTGAGTGTGCGGCCCCCTCGTCGTTCGTTGTGGCGGCGGCTGACAGGGGCAGCAGCCCTCGAGGGGCCTCAGCTCGTCGCCACGCGCAAGCGGCTCCCATCGTACAACGAGACCTTCCTGCTGGAACTGCATAGGGACGGCACTGGTATGTGCCACACACCTGCACACACACACACAAACACACAGCACAGGGGGGCGAGAGTGGTTCTCCCTTCTGTTCTGTGTCCAGTTCGCATTCGGCACCGCGGCACGAGGGTGTTGGTGTGCCGTGGCGGGCTGACTTCTGTTGTCCAGGGGCCGCCGGATGCTGCCGGCCCTGTGTGTACCAATGTGGATAGCGACTCTGCAGCTGATGTCCTCTCACCACATCTGCACTCACTGGACCTCACTCGCGAGCCCTCGTTGCAGGGGATCGACCCCACCCACACTCATACGAACAGCAGATTCCAGGTGTGTCAGCACACAGGCAGGGCCGCACGACTCGACTGCCTTCATGAATATCCCTTCAAACATCACAGCGGTTTTCTGTCTGTCTGTCGACTGTGTGCAGCTGATCGCAGCCAAGGACCACCTGCTGGCCGGCGCGACTCGCCTGCTCAACCTGCTCCCCTCGACGCCCCCATCCCGCCGCTCGCCCACCCTTCCCGGCCCCTCCGTCTCGAGCACATCCGCACAGACGGGCACCACCACAACCGTCCCCACCCAAACACAGCAGCCGTCTTTATCGTGCGACAGGTGGTATGCCTTCGGGCATCTCAACATGCTGGCTGCTGTGCGGTGGGCGGGAAAGGTGCGCGAGAGGGAGGATGAGGAAGACACAGAGAGGGAGGCACACACGTGCACGACAGGCAGCGATGAGATGGAGTGGTGCGCTGTCCACTTTGGAGATGTCGCTTATCGTTAGACAGACAGATGGACAGAATGGAAGCCCACTACTGCCTAGCCAGGGTTTTTCTTGTGTGTGATTTATGGATGCGTGCGTGCGTGATATCGATGCGGGCAAGGGGCTGACAGACAGACAGACAGACAGACAGACAGGAGTGCGTGAGCGCGTCACGCTATGCTATGCGTCAACCATCATATTCACAAACCAGACATACTATTGCGTCTCAGAGTTCCACAACATACACATACACACAGACACAAGCACATTCGCCCAGTTGCGGCGACAGCACGACAAACAAACAGGGAGGAGGATATGACACGGACGAAGGGACAGACAGCATCGCTTCCGTGTCACTCTCTCCACGCACACACACAGATAAAATACCGAAACACCCGCCCACTTGAAAAGGTCTCGTGTCAGTCAGTGTGTCTGTCTGTGTGTTTAGGTAAGCTGCCTTGACCACATGCGCTGCCAACGAGGCCGGTTCCCAGCCAGACCAGGCCAGGCCAGATGAACACATGAACAGATCTTGCTGTGTATCAAGTCGAGACGCACGAAAACCACACCAGGTATGTACGCTGCGATGTGTGTCTGCAATTGCAGAGGTATGGCCTTACACAACGCTATACAATACAAACACTGCGATCAATATATATGCGATCACCTCTCTGGCCCGTGCGCACAAGCGGAGAGTGCCAATCGATGGTCATCCATCCACCCATCCATCCTTCATTTCTCATGAAGCCTTGCCGGCTTCGGTGACCACCTGGCATCTCGGCGTGTCTGCACTACTACCACTGGCCACGCGCATGGCCATAGCCATGTCCTTCAGAGCAGATACGTCAGAGGTTCCCATCTGGTTGACCAGCTGGCGGAATGATGAGGTGGGGTCGTCGAGCAGGGCGACTGGGTCGTCGTACTCGACGACGGCCCCTCTGCACGCGCACAGTTGCAAGGAAAGGCAAGCAGCAATCGGCAGGTTTGTTGGTCATGCTTGTCTCTCCCCCTGTGTGTGTGTGTGCTCACTTGTCGAGGAGCAGAATGCGATCACAGTGCAGGATAGTCTCCAAACGATGTGCGACTTGACACACAAACACACACGCACAGAGAGAGAGAGAGAGATGCGGACGAACCCACAGTGGCAGCCATCCCCTCTCTCCCCGTCACTTGTGACAGTAGTGGCGTCCTTGAAGTTCTCCCGGATCGTCGCCTGCAACACCTGATCCGTGTCGGTGTCCACAGCAGCCGTCGCCTCGTCGAGCATCACCACCTTGGCGTGCCTCAGGAGCGCCCGCCCCACACACAGCAGCTGCCGCTGACCCAGAGACAGGTTCTCGCCCTTCTCGGAGAGAATGGCGTTGAGCTGCCCCGGCAGTGCTTTGACCTCTTTGGCGAGATGCACACGCCTGAGGGTCTCCCACAACTGATACACACATCCATCCATCCATCCATCTATCCCCACCAAGTGCACGTGTGGATGATGTTGCTTGCCTCCTCGTCGGAGCGTTCGTTAAAAGGGTCCAAGTTCTGACGCAGCGATCCGGAGAAGAGAATTGGGTCTTGTGGGATGACGGACAGCCGGCTCCTGAGGTGGTGAAGGCCCACCCACCGCACGTCGATCCCGTCCACAGTTATGCTGCCCTCAGACAACTCCACCATGCGAAACAGCGCCTGCAGGATGGAACTCTTCCCCGCACCTGTAAGGCACACCACACCACACCACAGCAGGCGTGTCTGTCGTATTTCGTCCTTCCCGCCGACCTACCAGTGCGGCCACAGATGCCGATTTTCTCCCCCGCCCTGACGGTGAAGGACAGGCCTCGGAGTGCATACTCCAGCTCGGGCCGATACCGCAGCCACACGCCATCGAAGCGCACGCAACCCTCTGACGGCCAGCTGGCTGGCGGTTCAATCGCACCAGCACCGGGAGCGGCATGTGTGTGTGGGTGGTGCGGTTCCATTGTGAGGGAGAGCTGCTCGTTCCACTGGTCAGCGACGGCAGGGGGCGGGGTGACAAGAGGGGCGCGGGCGGGCGCCTCGTTGGGGATGTCGCAGTAATGGAGGAGACGCTCGACGCCGGTCATGTTGTTCTCGGCCTCGATGGACACCCGCACCGCCCACTGCAGCATCGACACCGTCTGCATCACGTACACGAGCGCCAACCTGCAGCCCAGCCAGGCCAGGAGAGAACCACACACAACACAACACAACACATGCAGACAAAGGAGACCGTCAGGTCAGTGAGCCTGTACTGTATGTGTGTGTGTCGGTCCTTTCGCTCACTCACCCCGCCATGGCGGGATCGACTGCACTTTTGCCTCCAACCGAGTTGAGCAGGATGAAGAGCATCCCGACGCAGAAGACGGCGAGGGCTGCAAGGAGGTCCAGCCGGAATGCCAGCCACCGCGCTGCGACCCAGTAGAGGAAAAAGAAGGCACCGTTGGTGTCCAGCCGCTGCTTCAGCAACGAAAAGAACGTCTGCATTCCATGCGGCAACAGACTCATCACAATAGCTAGCCGCCCTCTGGTGTGTGGGTATGTATACGTGTGTGGTGCATGCCTGCGACTCACGCTTTCCATTTTGAACGCCCGAATGATCTGAATGCCGTTGAGGGTCTCCTCGAAGAGCGACACAATGGGGCTTCGCGTGACGCCTTCAAGCCGCCTCAACTCACGGCTCGACTTGCGGAAGAACTGACATGACACCCACACACACAGTTGTGCTTTCGCTGCCCACGCACTCGCCCACCCACTCACCACTCACCATTTGTATGCGGTAGAACATGAGTACGAGAGGAATGACGGCGAGCATGAACCACGGACTAGAGAGGGCGCACAATAACAAGAATGACAGCAGCCGAAACACCATCTGAATCGTTGAGTTCAGCGATTCCGGCAGCAGCGAGTCCACCTGGTTGACACACAACACACACCAAGGGGATGGGATCCATTCTATCCCATCCCTGCCTGCAGCTTTTGCTGCGTCTTGCTCACTCACCTTGTCGAGGTCATTCGAGAATCGGTTGATGATTCGACCCACAGGTGTCACGTCAAAGAAGAGATTGACAGGGGCACGCAGCACAGCCGCAAATGTGGTGTCGTGGAGATTCCTGCAGACACGCACCCCGGAAAAAAGCTCTGTTGACCTCCCCTCGTTCTCTCCCTCCCTCCCCATCTCTGGTCTTACCGGGAGCTTCTGATGACGCTGGCGACCCACGTGGCGTCTCGTGCGATAACGATTAGTGTCGCAGCAAGGCAGATGGAAACGTAGATTCCCAACCAGTAGAATGTCGACAGATTGGGGCGGTTGGGTGCCTCCTCAGACCAAAATCCCAGCCACCAGTCTGTGGTCACCTGCCCGCCCTGGGCCAACGCGAAGAGAATGAGAATCCTGCAGTGCACGGGAACAGGTCGACGCATGAAGTGAGTGGAGCCAGGTGATGAGTGAATGGGTGGGGTGGCTGGCTGGGTGTGTGTGACTTACATGAAGAACAGCATGGCGCCCAGCAGTTTGTTTTGCCTTACTCCCATGGAGAAATACGCCACGTACAGCTGGAACTACAGACATAGTGAGAGACACAGACACAGACACCGACCCACAGAGACAGCTTACTCTTCAATCACGTCATGCTGCACCGAACAGCATTGCCCAGCCCACCTTCACTTTGCCCGTCACGCGATCCTCCTTGGTCAACAGACCGGCCTCCCTCTTCACGGGTGCCACTGTGCCTGATGCCTCACCGGCAGCAGGGCCCTTCTCGTACGCACTCAGGTCAGTCCGCTTGGTGATGAGATTCGGTCGGGGGGTGTCGGCTGCTGGTGTGGGTGTGGATGTGGGCGTGTCGGTGTTGCTGCTCGTGGTAGTGGTGGTGGTGTCCTTTGACTGCTGCTGTGCCGAGACGAAGGCGGGGTAGTTTTGGCAGAGGTCCTTGTAGGAGCAGATAGTGTCGATCTGGCCGTCCTTCATCACGACGACCTGATGGACAGACAGACGGACCGAGAAAAGAAGAACGAACTGTTTGTTTGTTCAGACCACACACAGACGTGCCAGGCTGTGCCTGGGACTCTGCAAGTGAAGTGAGTGACCTTGTGTGCGTGTTGAAGGAGGTGGTAGTGTGAGTTGAGGACGAGCAGGCGGGTCTTCTTGGCCAGCAGACCGGCAATCGCGTCGTCGAACAGCCGACGGGCCACGTGCAGATCTGAGAGATAGGGAGAGCCACATAACATATATACACACAAATCAATCGCTCGATGTCATGCCAACTAACGAACGGATGAATTCTTGGCGTAACTGACGTACCCACGGCTGAAAGGGGATCGTCCAGAAGATAGATCGAGCACTGGTCCAGCCGATACAACGCCCTGAAGCGAAGCGTGTGGACACTCATCCCATGGATGACGCCATGCCATGCCGCCTTGTCCATCCCTTCCCTCCCTCACCTGGCGAATGCCAGCCGCGCCTTCTGTCCGCCGGAGAGGGTGATGCCCCGCTCGCCAACCTCCGTCGCGTCGCCGTCTGGGAGAGTGGCGATGTCAGGGAGGAGCTGGGCGACCTCGAGGACGCCCTCGTACTTTTCCTTCTCGTAGGGCGACTCGAACAGAATGTTGGCCTTGACGCTGGCGTTGCGCACCCACGGCTCCTGAGTGAGAATATAGAAGACAGAGGGATGGATGCATGGATGGAGGGGGTTGGCACGAGTCGTGTCTGTCTGGTTGAGCTTGGTACCTTACCTGGCTCACGTAGGCTACAGGATGGTACACGCCAACGGTGCCTGTGGATGGGTCAGGCCAGGCCAGGCGGCGTTGGTGTACTTGGTGTGATTGGTGGGTGTAAATGTGATTGATGTACCTACCTTGCGATTGGTGCAGCTGCCCTAGCAGAGCGCTGAGAAGCGCTGTCTTGCCCGCACCGACTTGGCCGACAATGCACACCAACTCGCCCTCATTCACCTGCGTCACTCACGTCACACACATCTACCCCTCCTGTGTGTGTGTGTGTCATCACGTGCATACCTGCAGGTTGATGTCCTTGAGTGCCGGCCGCCCCGTCTCAGTCGACCATATGCTGTCCAGCGCGGCGACCTTCCCCCCACCCCGCCACCTGTGCGCCTGCCGCACCACAACACCCCTCCTCTCCTCCTTGCCAGCACCGGGCGGCGCCCAGTAGAAGACGCCATTGGTGACCTCCAGCGCCACACCATTGGGAAGTACGGGCGGTGGCGAGTCCAGATCGTGCACTGTCGAGACCTCTGTGGCTGGTGTGACTGTTCCCGCCTCCGAGTAGTCGGCCGATGGCACTGGCGGCCGGGTGGTGGCGGTGGGGGTGGCGGGTTGGTGAGTGTCGTGTTTGGTCACGACTTTGTGCTCGATCTCTTGTCGCTGGAGATATTGCTGCAGCCGGCCGATAGACGTCAGGCCGTCTGACACGTTCCTGGACGACAAGAAGGGGAGGAGGGCCGTTGATTGTGCATCTGTGCCTGCAGGAAGTGAGTGGTGTGTGCTACTTTGCTTACTTCATGGCCATTGGCCATAGAGCAAGCGGAACACGCAGCAGGTTCAGGAAGGCCAGCACCTGTCATGTCAACACACACCCACACACACGTATCCACACAGACTAACTCACCACCCGCCCCGCCCCGCACCCCCCGCCCACCGTAAACGTCTTTTCGACGCTGAGTGTGTTGCCAAGCGACACGTACAGCACGAACACCACGGCAGCAATCAGCACCGGCCCACAGAATTGGAAGAGCCACGTGATCGCGGTGAGGAAGAGAATGCGGCCGAGCTGCCTGACCTCCGCCCTGCGGATCTCAGACACACGCTCTTCGAGCACCCTCTCCCAAGCATACCTAACCACCCCCCACACACACATACAATACACACACAGCGGGACACGGGCGATGAATGCATCACTCGCCTCGTCCCATCTATCCATCTGTCGTGGTGAGGCTGGCATGCTCACAATTTGACAATTCTGATGCCCTGCAGGATTTCTGTCTCCAGCTTGACGCGCTTCCCCGTCATCTTGACCATCTCGCGACGGGTGCGGCCTGCAACACATACCCACATACCCACACACACACGTCGACGCAAGCCCATGCCATCATGGACGGCTCTTTGCTCACCGATTCGCCTTGCGAGATTGCCGGAGGTTAGGGCGATGACCACCACCATAGCCACGCCCGCCACAGAGGCGATGCCCACCTCCTGCACCAGCAGGAACATCGTCACCAGAATGATGGCTGGCCCCAGCCACAGCCAGTTGGTCAGAAACACGCCGAAGTAAAGGCGCTCTGTGTCCACAGACCTACAGCCCAGCCGGACCGTGGATGGACACACAAGAAAACGTGTTGGTGTGCGTGTCCGTTTCATGCTGGACGCACGCACATGTGTGTGACGATCTCTCCACTGGAGGCGGTCGATTTCTCGAAACTGGCCAGCACGAGCGCCTTCCTGTAGATCTCCATGATTGCGGCAGATCGCATCGACATTCCCAGCCTGACACACACACACACACACACACAGAGAGAGAGAGAGAGAGAGAGAGAGAGAGAAGAGGGTGCACATAAGGCCTACCTACCTACCAAGACGGCTCGGGTGCTGTGACTGACGACTGACCGTGTAGTGTGGAAGAATGAGTGGTTGATGCACAAAGCCGCGACCACGAGGCACAGGAACAGGCCACACACCAGCAGCACGCCATGCAGCCAGTCATCGCTTCCGGACTGCTCCAGCAGACAGACACAACGAGGAACGGCCCAATCGACAGACACATCAGCGCGTTTGTCAGTCAGACGGTGGGTCAGTGAGTGAATGAGTGTTGATAGTAGCTACCTCACCTCAAGGAAGACAAGCAGCTCCCGGATGAAGAGCGGCGAGGCGCAGTTGAAGATGATGTAGGGAATGCCCAGGCCAACAGTGATCAGCCACCTGCACAATGGGTTGGGCCGATGACACACACACACAGACACACAGACAGACACATCAGAGGTGTGCTCCCACACCATCAGCAGCAGCACAGCAGTGCAATCGACGCGTGCAGACCTGTTCTTGAACGAGGCCCAGAACGCTGGAAGCAACCGCTGCACACACACAGACAGACAGTCTGTCCCTCTCCCGCGAGCACTCACACGCACCCAACCCAACTCACTGACCTGCAGTTTTTTGTAATTGGTGTGGAACAGCTCATCTGTCGGCCTGGACCTGTGCTGATGCGGCAGGTCGTCCACTGTGACATCTGACTCATCGAGGGCACGCGCAGAGCCCAGCCGGAGTAGGTCGTCCATCCACGACAGAAGAATGTGTGTGCGCCACGTTGATGAGTCAAGCCGAGATGGCCTGGCAGGCTTGTGTGGAGTCGATGACGATAGTGCCGCTGTCGCTGCGCAGCCGCCAGGGTCGTCTGAGTCGATGTCCGTCTCAAAGGCAACCATCTTGACAAACGAAGCACGGCGATGCTTCAGAGGCAGATCAGCTATGTGCTGTTGTGGAAGTGGCTGGCGGATCCTTCCGTGGAGATATTTTCTTCCCAGACATGAGAGGACGAAGGACAGGGTTCGGCGAGCTACACAAACCCGCAAACCCCACAGGTAAACAACCAGATTCGTCCGGCGAGATGGTCTTGGACGTTGGGATCTTGGCGTTGACGCTCATCAACGTGCTGCTGCACATCCACAACCCATGGCAGGCAGCCCACCACTCCACACCCCGGACCTGCATCTGCTCGTGTGACGGCCAGACGCCCATCCACCTCAACAACCACACCAACACCAACACCAACACCAACACAGCCCGTCAATCTTCATCTTTACCAGCAGCGGCGCCCGCTGTCAAAGCCAAGAAGAGCACGCCGCAGGGCGACCAACCGCAGCAGCAGCCGCCGCCGCCGCCGCCGCCGAAGAAGGAGGGATTGGGCGGTCTGGATGAGTCGATGTTGGCGCGGCTGGACAACCTGAAGACCTCCTGGATCAAGAAGCAGCAGGAGAGGCTGGACGCCGAGAGAGCCCACGTGCAAGCCATGAAGGCCGGCAAGACCCACCCAGGCAACACAGGCAACCCCACACCAACAGTGCCGGTGCCCTACAAACCAACACAGCCACCCGCACAGCCGCAGCCACCGACCACACAGACACAGAAGAAAAGAGAGGACAAGAAAGCCAAGACAACCACCACTGCCACGACAGCAGCAGCAGCAGCAGACAGGAGCCAGATCCAGGGGTACCCTTCCCACGCGCCGCCCGGTCCGCGGCCGGCCGATAACGAGAAGTCGGTGGTGCGGCGTCGGGCGGACTTCGGCGCCTTTTTGCTGTCGTTGCATCCGTATGGCGTGGGCGTGATGCTGGGAGTGGGGCGGGGCGAGTTTGCGGTGCACCTTCTGAAGGAGTGGAAGACGTCACCCGGGGTGAGAGAGAAGGGGAGACGATGGACGGGGAATGGTATGGTGTGTGGTTTGCTGCTTTGTTTGTTTCTCGTTGGTTTGTTGGTTTCTTCAGTTGTTCCTGGTTGACCCGTACATTCACATATGGCGGGGCTATGACGACCCCGACAACCTCTCGGACAAAGAACACCAGGTAGGGGAGTTAGAGAGTGCGGCCATCCATCCATCAGTGAGTGAGTGCGTTGCCTGACCTGATGTGTGGCTGTGGCTGATTGGTTCAGCTGATATATGAGGACCTGCGCAATCGGCTGGCGCCATACGACGGCAGGCACGTCTTCGCAAGGGACTTCTCATACTCATGTATGTCTGTATGGAAGAGGCAGGGAGGGAGGGAGGGAGGGAGCGGCATCCATCCATCCATCCATCCAGATTGGCATGGAGAGCTCTCCCTCTCTCTCTCTTTTTCTCTCTCTCTGCGTCTGTGTCTGTGTCTGTGTGCGCATTATCATTCAACGTCCGTCAGTTGCGAAGAAGTTCGCCCAGGACCCCACCTCGCCGGCCCCTGCCTTCGTCTATGTTGACGCCAATCACGCACACGAAGCCGTCACCAAGTGAGGGATAATAGCGGAGGGAGGGGAAAAACGGAAAAACCTGCCCGTCTGTCGTGTGCGCGTGCGGTGTGTGTGGATGCATTAAGGGATTTGGAGAGTTGGTGGCCTCTGGTGGGACAGGGGGGCGTCATCGCTGGCGGGACTTACATCAATAGGGCTGGACGTGGGACAAAGAGAAGGAGTTTTCAATCGTGTGTTGTGTCTTTCTGACTCGTGCGTGTTCCCTCGTATGCGTGTGTTGTGTATGTGTGTGTGTGTGTGCAGAGAAGGTGTTTGTCAAGAAAGCTGTAGACGACTTCGCCGACAAGCATCAGCTCAAGGTGCGCTTCGTGGGAAGCAAGCTGCTGTGCGCGATTTGTGTGTATATGTTTTGTCTGTCTGTCTGTGTCTGCGTGTGTGTGTCCATCCATCCATCCATCCATCAGGTGTACATAACGACCGATGACGACGTCCCGTCGTGGTACATCATCAAGCGCGACGTTCAGACGCCGATACTCGCATAGTTTAGCCAGCCAGCCAGGCAGCCTCCCCAGCCCGTGGTAGTTGGTGGTGTGCACACATGTGATGGATGTGATGTGATGTGACTGATCCATCCGATCCATGGGAAGACGTCACGGCAACAGACACACGTCAGGTCAGGTCACACTTGTCTGTGTGTCTGTCTGTCTGTCTGTCCCTGTTGTGAAGTACGTGTGTGTGCGGCAACCATGTACTCTACGCATGGACCATCTCTTTGGATGCACAGCTGGCCAACCGCCCACTCAGTTGCCGTCCACCCACCCACCCACCCACCCACACATCCATCCATCCACCAGGGGTGACTTGACTGCAATGCAGCCCAACGGTTCGGCCCTCCCCTCCCTCATTGCACACACAGCACATGGAGGGAGGAATGTCCGTCCCCCGGACCCTACCTAGTACACACAGCAAACAGCAAAAAGTCAAAATGCCTCTCTCTGTGAATGATGAAGAAAGGGCCACCGGCCTCTGTGTGTCTGTGCCTGTGTGTGGTGGGGGCATGACATCATGGTGACTGGAAGCCCCCCAGTCCCTGAACCGAATTAATTACTGACGAGACTGCTCGTCTTGTCTGTCCCACCCAGTCGTGTCACACCATGAGCCTTCCGTCCCCTCCCCTCCCCTCCCTCCCACTGCGCAAGAGGGTTACCCACCCTTGTCTGGTCTGGCGTACGTATGTGTGGCGGCTGTCTGGTGTGTGCATCAGGCCATGTAGTCTCAACATGCATGTCATGGAGCGGACGAAAAGGCCGCACGACACGGACGGAAAAAGTTGCCCTGCCCTGCCAGCCAGCCCACTACACTCACCATGATGCGTGAGAGAAGGTGGCTCATGCATGTGAATTACATCGCATAGCTGCAGATGGTGGGGCTGATAGACGTGGGATGGATGGCGTGGGGTGCATTGCAACGGAAAACCACCCACTCATGGAGGGAGAGTGAGTAGGGCAGGCAGATGGACACGACACGCACAGGCAGGCACACACAGATCTGAAAGCGCAGTGAGTGAGCGAGGTAAGGCGGCCGGCCAGTCGAGCAGCCAGGCAGGCAGGCAGGAAGAAGTCAGTGAACACGCACGTACGTCTACACACGCATGCATAATTAAAGGACGAAGATGATGAAAGCAAACAGCAGCAGCACCAGCAGGCAGGCTATGGATAGACAGACAGACAGATACATAGAAGGAACAAAAAGACCGACAGACCACTCCGACTTACTTACGCACGCATCTATCGCTACTTAAGGAATGAAATGAATGCACGGACGGACAAATAAACAAACGGACAAGCGAATGGCGAGAAGGAGGAGAATAAGAAAATAGCATGCATCATGCGCGGGCGAAGCAAGGAGAGAGCGAGGAGAATCCCGGACGGACAACTGCCATATATCCGTCCACACAAGAAAAATGGCACATCACAATCACATCTGTCCCGTCTGCCCGCCCAGAGAGAGAAACGAAACACACACACGACAAGGAAGGCACACCAAGTTATACCACAACAAATGAAGGTGCGCATCTCTCACACACAGAGGCTGGTCAACTCAACACATGTAAGAGATTCTGAGAGTGAGTGCCCACGGGCCGGTGTGTACCAAAAAGAACGTTCACGGTAAGGCAGGCAGCCTGGAGCGATCATTGATTGAGGGGAGAGGAGAAAGGAACAAACAGGCAAGAAAGGAGACAGAGGCAGAGAGCGTCACTAGCTAGCCGCAGGCAGGTGGTGGTGTGATTTCACAGCGGAGAAATCAGCCGGGAGCCAAAAAGACTCCTTCTTCTTCTTAACTCGTGTGCCTGTCTGTCTGTCCGTCTGTCCGTCTGTCTGTCTGCCTGTACACCTGTGACGCACGCAAAACCCAAGAAAGATGGGTGTGTGTTGCGATCGGTCTGAGAGGGAAAAGAGAGAGAGGGGCCTAAGGAAAGGCGGATATAAGAAAGGAATCAACCAATCAGACGAGTGAGATGGGAAGACTTGTCATCACTCGCTGAGGGAGGCACCCAGGGAGGCAAGTGAAACAGGCAAGACAGACCAGTTAGTTAGTCGGGCCGCCAACCAATAGGACAAGAAGGACAGACCAATGGGAGGGAGGGAGGGTGGGTGGGTGGGAGAGGATGAAGCGATGCAGACAAACAAAAGGGGGCAAGGAGAAATAAGATGCCATCCATCGCCCCAACAGCAAAGCAGACACGACACCAATCAAATACTCCCCACACCAATCCAATCGCCCGCCTCCCTTGCCTTGCACCCACTCAGCAAAGAGAACGAACAATCGTACACAGAAAGCATCACAGGAAGAACTCAAATTGGATGGGCTCCTACACACACACACACACACACACACTACGCTTACTTACGTACACCCAGACAGACAGAGAGACAGATGCATTTCGAGAACCGTCCGTGTGTGTATTTGTGTCGCTTTCTGTGCTCCAGGCATTGCTGGAGACCTCAGACAGACAGACAGACATTCAAGCAGGTCGGCCTATGTATGTGAAGGAAGAAAGGGAGTCGAGTCAGCCAGTTTGTTTTTCGTTTGTTGGTTTGTTGGTGCGGGGTGCGGTGGGGTAGGGTGCGGGGGTGTCCGGTAGGACACACAAATACACACATCGCCCCGGGCCATTCCATTCCCCGACACACACACACACGGATGGATGGAACAAACCAGACAGCCAGACAGACGGCTACAGACAGACATTCGTGACTGACGTGCAATGCCATGTAATGGTATGCAATGGCTGGATGGATGTTATAAACCTCTCCACTCTCTATCACACGCCATCGATGGATGCTACACAAAAAACACAAGAAAGACCACACTCAATGCAATCAATCACCCGCCAGCCGACGGACGCTTCAAACACCCCCTCCCTCCCTCCCTCCCTCCCACCCGTCACACGCGCACTCTGTAGCATGCACGCAGGCAGCGGCACGGTACGCCCCCTCCTCTCTCCCTCACTCAGTCAGCCATCGGTCAGGCTGTGTCGCAGCGGGCCCTGGCCGCGATGTCATCCGCCAGCAGATCAGGACTCGATTGACTGCACTCACTCACCACACACCGACACAGACAGAGGGAAGCCGTGGAAAGTTATGATAAAGGTTGCAGGATGCCTGCCTCTGTTTGCTGACTGACCTTCTCATTCGCCTGATGCGCGCCCGCTCCATCAAGGGCCAGCACGATTCACCAACACTGAATGCCCAGACGCACGCAGAAGGAGGGAGACCCCCGTCCAGCCTTCGTCTCTCTCTTATATGATGCAGGCTTACTTGTCGGCTGGTTCCCAGGTGTGTCTGTCCCACCCCGCCCACTTGATGAGGTACCACGACTGCATCGACTCGGGCTCCCAGTGGTAGTCCAATATGTCCTGACAGACATGACAATGGCAAGGCCAACACGCACACAGACACAGACACAACCATACCCACACCACCATGAGCCCACTGGCCATGAGCCCACACAGCCTTGCCCTCGACTGCCTGCCCTTCTTATGCTCACCTCGACAGCGTACGCCTCGAGCGGCTCCCCTTCCTCCACATCTGGCCTCACCGACACACCCACAGCCACAGCCACACTGCCGTTCTTGGCGTCACCACACCCATTGCTGCCGCCGGCGACAATGGGCTCCTCGCGCACGTCGCTGTTGTCGCGACGGCCCCTGGTGACCTCCACACTGAACGACACGGGGCTGCGGACGCCGCGGCCATCCTGCTCATCTGCGTGTGCGGCCGTGTGGGTTTTCATGTTGGGCGCGACTTTCCAGCGGGGCGGAAGCACCACCTCCTCGCAAGACGTCTCCTGCACACAGCAGAAACAAAGACGAAAGAACGCACACACAAGCACTGCAGCCCACCCAGCGCATCAGCGGAGGAGTCTCTCTCTCGCCCTGTCTGTTGTGGCGCGTTAGCCGACCTGGCTGTCGAATACGGGCAGGCTGTCTTCGCATCGAGCAGGGATGGAGGAACCCATATCTATCTGCGACAAGTGAGCGTTGAGAGATCTGCAGACCGACTGGCGAATCTTTCGGCCGAAACGATCAGAAGACGTTGAGGCCGTGAACCGACTGCTTAACAACAGCGGCAGCAGAGAACGGGAGGCAAAAACCTCCCTGTGGTGCACCTTAGTCTGCTACTCTGCCACACCCTTCGATTTCCATAGTAGCACTCCTGATGGGATTCGAACCCACAACCTTTGGATTAGAAGTCCAACGCGCTATCCATTGCGCTACAGGAGCGGCACTAATTTGCGGAACTCTCAAGGCAAGACTGAGAACAAGGCTGGAGGAATCATCGTCGGCACAGAGGGGACACAGATGGATGGCGATGGTGCTGGGCTCTTGATCGGGCTCTTCTGTGGTCGCGATGCCTTCAGCGATGGCGCAGGCGGCCTGTATCGTGGGAAGCTTCCGTGTCGCGACACACTGACATCGACGAAGCATCGACTGGAAATCCATCACCAAGATCAGATGGCCCCTCTGATGTGGCCCTGTTTGTACTGCTGCGGCGGCCTCACATCCACGAGCAGCAGCGACTTCCGGCTGCCCTGCAACACACAGACAGACAGACAGACACAATCACAGAGATGACGATACATCAGCCACGGCGTGTTTCTCGCCGGCACGGTCACCTGGTCCTTCATGGTCTGCAAGAGATTGAATAGCTTGCCCGGCTTCACTGCCACGAGACAGACCTCCCGCGCCTCCTCGGCACTCATCATGTTCAGCCGGTCCACGTCTATCGCCATTACGAAGCGCTGCAGATCTTCGAGTTAGAGCGCGTCAATCAAACAAAAGGTGGTTGGATGACTAATACAAATCCTACATTATCTCCGATAGACCGTATCGGATCAAGAAGTGTCTCTTGCTGCGTTGGCAATCTCCACGCGATTCAGTGAAGAGGGATGAACATATCAGTTCAGTGCATCACTTGACCAGTCAATAACTACCTTCTATTGTCTACCTGCGGGTCTACCTTCGACCATACATAAATGCGTCTACCTTCGACCATACATAAATGGTCTACCTTCAACCAGTAAACACCTGCAGATGCGACTGCTACCCCCATCCATATCCCACATGAAACGGTGCCTGCCTGTCGGCGCGAGGCTGTCGGCGCGTAGCTGTCGTCGCGTTGACTTCCACACGAACCGTCCGTGGTGTGACCCTGAGATCCATCTCACCAAGGACGGTAAGGGTGTATCGTTGCTGTGAGGCCGCCTCGGCGGCTACGGCGCTCCTGTCCTTCGTGCTCAACGCATAGACAGCTGCACGAGACAGAATCATGGCCGGCAAGGAGTGAGCGACGACTATATTTCTCTAGCTGTCTGACATGGCGCCTACAGTGTCGATTGAAAAGCGCCTGCAGTGCCTCGAGACTCAGATAAGAGAGAGCTGGCTGGGTGACGTCTGTCATGGGGACCATCTGTCCCTGCACACGTGACAGTGGACACATAATGACATCAACTGTCAAGGTCTGTATGCCTAGTCATACCGAGAGCCTGTCCATCGCTCTCCCAAAGATGGCGAAAAGTGTCCCGACGAGATAGCGCATCTGCCAGTCGCGAGTGGCCCAGCGGACACCCGCCGCCCTGAGTGATGACCCTAACTGAACCACACAGACCGGGCTAGGTCAGCAACCCTTTCACCATCACAAGTTTTCCGACGTGCTGCTTCTAACTCACCGAGGCAACGACGTCGATCCTCGAAGCTCCTGATAGGTGCGCTTGGTACACGGCCTCCAGCACCGCATACGCTGTGACGCGGCAGGGTGTTGTGCAACAGGGCGCGGAGCCGAGTCGCGCTCCAATCAGGGCGGCATGGACGAAGTCGGCTATACGCACACAAAACATCCCTCTCTTTGTGATCACCCGCCAGCCATTGCCTGGTCTCACCATGGGATATGCCTCGCTCTCTGAGCCAGTTGCATAGGGGCTCCGGACTGCACAGTCGACCCATCGGCATCGCCCAGAACGTCTCAGCGGACACGACGATCTGCAGTCGCCGCAAACACAGAGACATATCGATATCCGTGTGCGGCATTATCCGTCCATACCAGTGTGCGCCTCGCGGCAAAGGGGGTCAGCAGTTTGACGTGATCATAGTCTGGGGCGAGCATCAGCTGGAACTCGCCGTCCCTCAGCTTGGCCGCATTCTGGTTAGCAGCCCTGGCGAGTGTGTGGTCGGCCAGTCCCACGTCGGGATCCAGGAACGTGGCAGAGGTTCCCAACATCCGCACAACGTTGACAGGAATCATGGTTGGATGTGGCATAAAGACATGAGACACTAGATAGGTTAGACAGACTGGGGGGGTGGCCTAGCCATCCAACCATTGGTGAGTTACCTTCATCGCACCGACTGATGCGGAGGTCGCCGTAGGCGACCGAAGCGCCGCAGCCAGGCCGGTCAAACATGATGATGCATGGTGACTCGGAGGGGAGGGATGTTGCCGGCAGGCAACAGACCGATACGGAGAGTCGCCATGCATCATCATGTTTGACCGGCCTGGCTAGGCCGCCCCCCCAGTCTAACCTATCTAGTGTCTCATGTCTTTATGCCACATCTCTCTATGGCTCTGCCTCTCCCTCTGCTGCGGCCGCTGCTGCTGCCGCTGCTGCTGCACCTGCTGCACCTTGATCATTGGCTTGCACCGCTATAGCGGGCGTTGGGAGCCGTCCCCCCCGTCAGGCGGACCCCCCTCGTCTGCCGTGCCCCTCCCGCGTGCTCTCGTCGTTGTCGCCGCCAAACAGCTCGACACGTCGCCATGGCTTTTCCCGAATCACCAGCCCTCTGAATCCACACGGCGTACGCTTGCGACGGGGGTCCAGATCATCGTCCATCTGATGAGGCAGGCAGGGAGGGCATGCAAGATGCCTCACACCATCCATGCCTTACCTCGATGTCCTTAACGTCGCACACGGAGTCGCCAGTGAGTGGATTGAATCGGAGGGGCTGGGCCTGACCGGCAGGCCGTCATGTTTGCCATCCCTTGCCTGCCGCGCCTCCTCCTTGGCGCGACGAAGCATCGACTGGCAAACGTACTGCAAAAGCGGACGTAAGCAGCATCAAAGGTTGCTGGGCATCGCATGTATCTACTCCGCGTGCGTGTGTGTGTGGACAGGTCGGCGAGTCCTTCAAACAAGAAGCGCCGCAGTCGAGCACATTGATGCCAGCTGTGGATGGATCGGAGACAACAAGTCGTTGCGGCTGCTCTAGGTAGGCAATGCCGCGAGAAAGACATATCATATGTATGCGGCCGCACCATTCTGGCCGATCCGATCCCTCCTTCTGTGTGGGTGTGGGTGGGTGGGTGAATGTGTATCAGTCAGTGCTTCGCGTGACGGCACCGCCTACGCCGATCTGCTGCGCTGTGTGGGCGACGCCAGCGGGTTGGTGTTTGTGGTTCGCAATGACAGGACAGCTGCCTCTTCGGCGGCTTCGCTGACGACAACATCAGGCTGCCCCGCGACGAACGCGCCGGGCGCTTCTACTTTTGCAGTGCGTGGTTCTTCTCTCTGGAGGGCCATGGATACACGCAGACGCTGCAGGTGAGTGGGGACGGAGGGTCTTTCTGCAGGGGTGTGGTGCAGGCATTGGGGCTCCGGCTCGTGGTAGCGGGTGTCTGCTGTGCGGCGGCGATCATTGGGGCAATGACGGCCCCAGCGTGGACGTGACGTCAGTTTCTGCCGTTTGAGCCGGTGCCTGATGGGTATGCGGGTGTCTGGCATGACCTTGAGGAGGAATACTGCAAGTACTGTTGCTCATCTCGGGGGCAGCGAGTGCGTGGCTGGTGAGGTCGAGATGCTGCACGTGGTGGACATGGTGTGAACATAGCACCAGCCGCTGCTCTAGATCGCTCTCTCTCTCTCTCTCTCTCTATCTTGCGAGGAAGGGAATTAGCGAATCGAACTTTCTCCAGGGAGGCATCTCTTTACCAAAGATGGACGTGCGATGCAGCCATGTCTGTGCCTCAGTGTCCATCTCAGTCAACACACACGCTCGCACTCGGTCTCTCCCGCCGTCCTCTCTTCCCTCTCGATGTGACATTGACTCACAAAAACAGACAGCCAGGACACCATCCATGCCATGCGAGCAAGCGAGTCCAGTGGCACAGCAGACCCACACAGCCCACACAAACACACGCATTCAAAAACTGCCAGAACGGTCGGGGGGAGGGAGCACAGAGGGGGGCTGGGCTGAGAGGGGAGGTAGGGAGTGGTTGTTGATATGTGTGGTGGGTGTGTGTGTCGAAGGCAGGCGAGGCATCCATCCATCCATCCATCCATCCATGCGTTATGTGTCCCCATGAGCAGCGAGTGCGCCCAGTCAGGGGCACAAAGGGGAGCCAGTGAGCAGCCAGCCAGCCAGCCACTTACCTAAGGGGAGAGGGAGAGGGAGAGGAGGGGGAGAAAGGCAAAACCTCACTCCCTCACGCACGCACGCACAGCCAGCGACGAAAAAGAGGGAACAGAAAACAACGATGGATGCAATGCAGACACACACGCGGCGATGCAGGGAGCATGCCCTGACGGACGGCTTCACAGACCCTCACCACACACACACACACACATCCCTCCCTCCCTCGGGTGAGTTCACCGACCCATGGTCTTCTTGATGGCCATGAGCTGCTCGGCCTTGACGCTCGTGTTGGCCGACGAGGGAGCCGTGGACTCCGTCGAGTAGGAATGCTCCTGCTGCTCCCACACGATGCCCCACTCCGGCTTGAACCCCATCAGCTCACGCACGCGCCGCTTCAGCTGGTTCTGCCGCTTGATGGAGAGGAGGATGGTGTCCTCGCGCTCGTCATCAGACGGAGATGGACTAACACACGACCCTGCAGACACACGGACACAAGTCGCATCGCATTGAGGACATCTCCGCGTTGCAGTGCACATCACAGAGCACGTGTGCGTACCGATGGAGGCCTGGAGCTTGGCCTTGGCCATGAAGAGGCTCTCAGCAGTCGACATTGTCCGATAAGATGGCGAATAGTCAACGAGAAACGCAGGAACGACGGCTATCGAAAACGATGGGACAGCGACCGATTTGGCCCGCTTGTTTGGCCAGAGAAGTTGGCCAGCATCAGATACAGCCACACAGAATCTTGGTCATGATAAATGCCACTCTCTCTGTGTGTTCATTTCCCGTGGTGCAATGTCCATCTTTATACGTCTGCATGACAGCCATGCATATGTCCGGTCCCTCTGCTATTCACCATACATATATCCTGCCCCAGTCCTCACTGCCGGCCGCAAGCTCTCATATATTCTCTCGCACCGACTGACTCAGTCCTTTTTCGGTTGGTCACGACTGCGCATCGCCACTTGCTCACACCTGCACACAGCGCCACACACACAGGCATCCGCAGACACACACCCGAATGCACAACCGACCGACCGACCAACAGGATGCATCGGATGCCTTTTTGTGTGTCGGGATGCCTGGTTGCTTGCCTGTATTGAATGTCCTCGAGGCACCATTGCTGCCGCGATGAGCTGCCGTCCAGGATGCGCATCTGACCACATACCCAAGCAAAGCAGAGAGAGATTGAAACGTCCAGCTGACACCTGGTGCTTGATTGCTGCCGACGATAGCCTGTCGTGCCAAACGTACCTTTGCGTCGCGTTTCATGGCGTCCGACAGGATGGCCGGGGGGATCTGACCCAGACCACCTGCAAGAACACACTAGGTACGCGATGGGCGGGCGGAGATCGCACTCGTCTATCTAGATAGACTGACCTTCTATCCAGGGAGCGCTCTCCTGCTTGAACGCCTTGACGACCTGAAACACAGCCTCCTGCAATCAATCAGCACACACAGCACAAACATATAGATGGATGGATGGATGGATGGACGCACACAGAGACAAAGGTGAGTGTGGCAGAGTCACGAACCGACCGATGTGTTATCGAGGACGAAGGCTGGCGGGACGGTGACCATCAGCCGAAACAGCTCAGCCACAAACGACGGCAGGAACTGACACACACGCACACACGTACACACACGTACACATACGCACACAGAGGCAAACCACCGAGAGCACACCACCAAGACAGCCCCCTCCCCCTCTCCCCTCCCACCCACCCCAACTTACACAGACGAGGTACGGCCTGACCGCCTCTCCCAGCGCCTGTTTCTCCGCCTCGTCAGCACCCCTGTGGCTGTGGCTGTGGCTTCTGGCCTCTGGCCTTTCCTCCCCTGGCTCAGGCTCGGCCTCAGCCTCAGTTTCTTCCCTCTCGTCGTCCATCGCATTCGCATACCCGAAGCCGCCCATCTGCCGGCCCAGAGAGAGGGGGGCGGCTGCATGGGGGGTGGCGCTGCTGCCGGCGGATCGGGCGGTGGCGTTGGTGAGGCAGACGAGCATAAGGACGGCCCGGAAGACGCTGTCGTTGGCGGACCTCTCGCGGACCCTGATGCACTGCAGGGACACCTCTAAAGCCTGAGGGACAGGAAAGCCGTCTTATCGTGTGTCGTTGTGTGTGGGTGTCTACATATTGCGTGTCGGGTGCCTGCGATGCGATGGGTACCACTGGGAGGTTGGCCGACTTGGCAATGACGGATGGGCAGAAGGTGGTGTACCGGCAGAACATGCCGTAGCAGTCCTCAACCAAATGGCTGAGGCCAGACAGACACTCCGCCTGCAGATTTCAGCCATCCATCAAGCAGACACACACACCATGAATGACCTTCGGCTTCTGTTCCTTTCCACTCCCCCGGCGGACTGACTTACCCGCTGCTCGTCGGTCGTCCTCTTGGCGAGTCTTTCCCTCAGCGTCGTCAATGCTCGACCGCTCAGCTCGTCAAACAACGGCTGATGGATGGATGGCACGCACGAGTCAGTGGATGACCGCACCGCATGGTGTGTGGGTGGTTGTCTCTCTACTGGTTGCCTGCCTTGTGGATGACCTACCTGCAGCATGGGCAACACATGTGGGTCTCTGCAGAACTCCATGGCGATGTACTCGGCCGCGTACAGATAAGGCGAGTGGAAATGGACCTGATGGATGGATGCAGGGTGAAAGCGACAGACACACGTGAGTCACGGGCTGCCCATGAGAGAGAGGAGCGCAAGTGTGTCGGTGTGTTTGTTTGTGTAGGTGGGTGTGGTGTACCTACCTGGAATCCCTGTCGGATGAGAGGGAAGAACTCGGGCAGGATGGGCTTGAAGCGGTCACCCGTGCACCTCAGGGCATGTTTCATCACACGACAACACCTCTCCACCACCATCTCACAACCCTACAATCACACCACACACACACACACACACACATGTCTGCGCGACCCTCTCTCCATTCTCCCCCTCCCTCCCTTGTGACACCTGGTGCTGCACGAGGCTGTGTTTGACCAGCGGCCACACCCCATTGCCCACAAGCAGTGCACACGCCTCGCTGCGAGCAGTGCCCTTGACGGGCTTCAGCACCCCCAGCACCGTAGAGCACCGGTCCAGCAGCATCGCCAACACGCGCGGCGGCCCGAGGCTGCCCTGCTGCTGCTGCTGGGGCGAGTGTGCAGCGGACAGCTGGGTGATGATGGGCTTGCAGAGTGAGTCGAGGACCTGCACGAAGCGCTGGTCCTGAGGAATGGCGAGGATCACGTGGGTCGCCCCGTCCAACAGGTACTCGTACTCCTGATGGACGGAAGGACCAACCGACCAATGCAATGCAATGCACACACAGAGAGGAGGGGTGAGAGCAGCAACCCACATCGGCTGAGGTACGTTTGCCCACCTCTTCTGGGAGGCTTTGGGACGTTGACGTGCACACTGACCAACACACACACACACACACACACACGAGACACAATACAACACAAGTCGACGAACCCCACGGCTGTCTCGCCCCCTCGCCCACCACCCACCCTGCACGAGTGCCTCGGCCAGGCCCTCCAGCGCCCCCGCATTGCTCGTACACACCTCGCGCAGCGCCCTGGCAGCCTTGAGCCTCAAACGCCCGACCATCTCCCCCAGACCACCAGACCCACCCACACCCACACCCCTCTGCCCGCTGTCCCCGCCACCGAAGGCAAACGTATGAGTGCCATTGGGGGCCGCCTGCTCGCTGCCGAAGGGATTGACGGCGCCGCCCTGTGTTTGGGCGCTCGTGGTCGTGTCTTCGTCCTGCAATAGGACGGCGGATTGGTCCACCTGGTTGGCGAGCAGCTGGTAGGTGAGCATCTCGAGCACGGTGCGGATGAAGGCCGTTCTGAGGTGCAGAACGTGGGCCATCGCACCCAGGAGGTCCACCGCTGCCGTCCGGTTCGCGCAATTCATCGCGTCCTGACACAGAGCACCCACAGCCGTGAGTGACATCGATCGAGGCCATTGTCCCTTTCTCATCTCTGTCCCTTGGCGAACCGACCGCAGGAGGCGCGTTGGTGAGCAGCTCGGGCAGTGACTGTGCCAGCTGCCACATCGTCCCGCTGCCGTCGAATATCTCGTCGGGATCGGCGGCCGCACCGCCCCCACCCCCACAACCACCCTTGCGACCCAGGTGGTGGTACTCCCGCACTGCCGGACAGAGCAGCGACAGGTGGGCCTCCTGCTGATGCGCTGCTGCCTCTGCCGTGGCTGCCGTCCGCATGCCACTCAGCAGCCGGTTGGTCACGGTGCGCAGCGGCAGCACGCGCAGAATGTCGCTGTAGAGGGAAATGACGCGCTGACGAAAGCTGCAGAGAGGGAGGGAGGGGGGGAGGGGGGGAGAGGGTATATGTGCGTGTGTGTTAGGGGAAGGATTATTGGTGGTTTGCTCACTCTGCAAAGTCTCCGTTGATAGTGGAGATGTCCGTTCCAGTGGGGTAGCGAATCTGCTGCAGACAGACGTCCACCAGCTGGACGAGGATGCCGTGGAAGGCGCCCAGCTCGTCCTCTATAGACTTGTCACCTGGTTTGTCATCCACACACACACACGCAGACGTCAGTTACGCAGCACTTGAGACTTTCGTGACCCTCGTGTCACTCACTCGGCCTTGCAAACCGCTTGGCGAGGATGCGACAGAGCCTGCTCCAGAAGGGAAATGTCTCTTGGCACACATCTGGGAGTGCCCGAGACACCAGACAGACACAGCATCCATCCATCCATCCATTGTGGCGTGTGTGGCTTCCCACCCCCCCCCAGTTGCCCACCCCGGTGTGTGGGATGTCCGTAGGGAATGGCCGCCGCCCGGTAGAGCAGCTCCAGCAGCGTGCGGCACTCCTCCGCCGTGTCCACACGACCTATCAGCAAGTCAATCGTACTCAGGCCTGCACACACACAGATGATACACCGTCTGTCTGTCTGTCTGCAGTCAGTCCTCATTTGCCCGACCGACCGAGAGCCACGAAGACTTGTATCAGCTGCCGTAACGTCTCCTCACTGTCGGCCACAGAGGCCGCCGCCTTGGTGAACCTGAACCGATCATTAACACCACACCCACAGATCTGTCGGTGGAATCGCACCGACCAACAGACTGACTGACTTGTTTTTGAGCGGCCCGACCGCCTGCCTGTAGGCGACGGCGAAGACCTGCTGCGCCCCACTGGCGTCGTCGGGCAGGCCGTTGGCTGCTGCGTGTGCATGCTGGCGGTCTGCATTCTCCTGCTCTTCTTCATCTTGGCACTGCGCCGCTGCGTCGGCCGTCATGTCGAGGATCTCCACCAAACTGTCGGCCGCCACATCGCCCAAGGTGTCGTCACCTATCGCCTGCACACGCACACACACACACACACACACACAGAGCAATCAGATGGTGTGTGGTTGTATTGTGCGGTTGTGTGACGTAGATAGAGTGACCTGGAAGCAGTCAGCGAAGAGGACGCTGCGTGCGATCTCTGCGGGCGGGAAGTCGGTGAAGACCAGCCAGCTCCGCCAGCACTCGAGCACCTTCTGTGTCGCATGCCTGGAGGTCGCCAGCTGACGGGCCTCCAGCAGGAACCGATGAACCTGACCAAACAAAACGGCAGGCGGTGAGTGTTGGGTAGCCTGCTGTCTCTCTCCCTTTGTCTTACACTACCTGCTGTTTGGCCTGCTTCAGGAACGCCCTCTGGTGCCTCCTGTTGTCGGTGTCGGCCAGCACTTTGCGGTTCTGATTCTCCTCAGGCAACACCTGCATCGCATCCACACATTCATTCACACATCGATGGCCATGTTTGTCACTCTATCTACTCTGACGTCTGCTGCCATGTCGGTGGCTGAGCTCGGCTCGGCTCACCCTGAAGACTTCCAGGAGCAGCTCGAGGCACTGGTGTGACTGACCGAACCGCTCCAGCATGGTGGCTATCGGGTCGGGCCACCCACCCCCCATCTGCAGCGACAGGTCGGCCACCGCCAAGGACAGCTGAGTCAAAATCGCAGACGGACTGGCCCAGAAAACACAACACACGACAGACAGAAAGCGTGAAGTGAACCTTTTGGTTGCCTCTCTGGCTGAGCTGACGTAGGTACCCCAATTTGAAGCGGTCCAGGTGGTCTAGGAGTGAGTTGCGCAGTGCCGTGTGCTCGGCTGGAGGCAGCTCGTGAAAGTCGAACTGGATCTTGGTGCGGAAAGTCTGCGCACCGAAGTAATACACCTGCACACACACACACACACACACACTCGACGTGCTTGAGGACTCAGCCGCCGTACCTCAGTGGCTGCATTCGGCAAGGAGAGCAGCCCGTTAGATGCCTGCCACGCAGGAGGGCTCTGCTGCCATCGCTTGAGCCACTCATCCCTGACAGAAAAGCAGACCATTGATTCTCCATACATGCACTGCAGCTGTGGTCTCATCTTTGTCAGTTTGCTTACGCCTGCCTCTTGGCTGCCGGTTCTGTGTTGTGGAACAGCACCGTCAGCGCCTGCACGACCTCTTCCATCCCGCCTGTGAGTCACTCGCGACAGCAGCAGATCAGCACTTGTCCTCTCCTTGCCAGATCTTCATCAGGACTGGATGCTCTTTTGGCTGAACCATCTTTGAACCATGTCTGTGCCCTTTTCGTGGAGATCTTCATCATGCAAGCTCGCGTTTGAGATCGCAGACGCCCTCTCCCTTGTCACATGGTGAATATGTGCGACAGTGCCGCCAAAGGAGATGATGACGGCCCATGCGGCAGCAACGGATGCCAGGCAATATCCAGATCCGACAATCAGCGCGACCATTCCTCGTCTGCCTCCCCCCTCTGTTACAGATGCAAGGAGCGGCGAGCGGTAGTCAGGACGAGAGATAAGGCGTGCAGCGATTGCTTCTCACACGAGCTGGAGCGGTCCTTCCGCAGCGCTCTGCGCATCGATTGCGGCGTCAGCAAGGGCACCGAGGTGATTGTCGGCCTGTCAGGGGGGATGGGCTCGACCACCCTGCTGCATCTGATGCTCAAGGCGAGCACGGCATCGGCCGCAGGGCGGCGGACCTCTTTCTCTATTCACTCTGTCGTCTATGTCAACCAGCGTGTGCTGCTGCCCTCTCGGTGTGCCGCACTGGGGGTGTCGGCGAGGGAGGCGGAGAGCGAGCTGAGGGCGTTCGTGGAAGGGAAAGGGCTGACGTTCGCTGCGGTTGATGCGGGAAGCTCCGTGGGTTTTGATGGTGGTGGTGGCGGTGGCGAGCAGCAGCCGTCCCTGGCCGAGCTGATGGACGATCTCTCGCAGCAAGACGTCAGCGCAGCAGAGGAGATGATGGAGATCATTCGGTGAGGAGAATGAAGGGAACGAATCATGTGGCTGAGCTGACAATGGTGGTGGTGGTGGCGGTGGATGATGGATGCATTGTGTGTGGCTGGGTGTGGCGTCTGTAATGTATCTATCGTGTCTGTCTGTCAGGCACCGTGATATGTGTTGGTACGGCAGCCGCTGTGGTGTGTCCAAGGTCGTCTTGGGCACGTGTGCGGACCAGATGGCCAAGCGGACTCTCACACTCACCTGCAGGGGAGGGGGAGCCTCGCTGCCGCTCGTCGCTGGAGCCACAGACAATAGGTCAGGCAGTCAGACAGCGATAGATACCACACACACCACGTACAGCACTCACTAATTTATGGCGCTTGTCATACTGGGTCAGGTTCGCCCCGTGTGGTCCGTCATTTGTCCGTCCGCTGAAGGGTCTGTCTGCCAAGGAGGTGTGCATCTACCACCACCTCTGCCACATGCCCACCTTCTCCAAGAACCCCTTCTTCTTCGACCCGCCCGAGAGTGCCGCCCAGCCTCCAGGAGGGCTCAACAACCTTTGCGGGTCGTTCCTGCAGTCGCTGCAGGCGTCCTTTCCCTCGACAGTGCCGATTGTCAATAAGACGGCGCAGAAGCTAAGACTCGTGAGGCATGACGGTGACGACGACTACGAGCCTGATGAACATGTGGCGGCCCAGCAAGGACAGCCGCTGGGTAGGGTAGGCACTGGAGTGATGGGGCTATGTTGTGGTCGGGCATCTGATATATCAGTCACTTGTCGTGTGTCTGTGTCTGTCTGTCTACTGTGTGTGCGGTGCAGGCCGGTGTTTGCTGTGCTTCGGTGTGCGCGAGAGCGACCGTGCGAAAGACCGGATATGCAGATGGAGCCACAAGCAGCAGCAGGTACGCCAAATCACACCACACCAACAGGCAGGATGATAAATGACTGACGTGGTGTGAATGAAGTGAATGTGATGTGCAGGTCTTGTCGCTGTTGGACGGTGGTCTGCGCGACTGTCTGTGTCACTCATGTCTGCGGCTGGTGTCCACCTGTACAGCAGCTGCCAAGCTGGCCTCTCTGATCACACGCAGACAGCCACTCGCCAGCACTACAGAGGCAGCAAGCAGAGGATGATGCTTCGAGTTGATTGACGACTGAGTGACTGAGTGAATGGGTGTGTTGATCGATGCTCAGCTGACTGCTGTGTGGATAAAAATGTGTGTGTGTGTGTGTGTGTGTGGGTGGAGTCATCAATGGCCTGCCTGAAAGCTAGCTACAGGTGCAGCGCTTGATCAACAAACGCAATGGTTGACGATACGGGTGACGGTGACAGTGTGTGCGACGGTGCAAGGCAGACACCCAGCGCTGCCTGTCACCGAAAAGCATACCGTGTCTGTGTCAAGCGTGCGGGCACACGCATGCAGGCAAAAATCACGCCGGCAGTGCATAGCATACTCGTCTCACTCTCAGCATCTCACCAGATAGATCTGTACAGTACACACGTACGCCACGTCGCGCCGCCCATCCATCCATCACTCCATCACTCCTGTTCCACGAAGATGGCAAGTTCGAGCGGCTCCTCATGGTGGTTGTGCTGCTGCGCCGGAGTGGCGAAGGAGTAGCACTTGTCCCACCATTTGTGCCTCTTCTCCTGGTAGGTGAGGTGGGCCGCCCTCCCGCTGGTCGACGGCATCAGGCACAGGTCCACCTCCCTCTCCTCCACACCCACACCCTCCCCCTCGCCCTCCTTGACGGCGCCCTCCTCCCTTTTCTCCTCTTGCTTCGTCTTGCGCCGCTTCTTGGTGAATTCCTTCTCTGTGGCATCGCAGCCGTAGGTGAAGGTCCACCCTTGGCGGCGCTTGGTCTCCATCCACCCGCCGAAGTGCTCTCGGAACTTCTGCATGGACATTGTGCCGTTGAAGAGCACTCGGCGGATGGATGGGTTGTCTTGAATGATGTCGCGCAGGTGGAGGTTGGGGACATCCTTGCGGATGGACGCGTCGCTCGAGTCGTTGTCGCAGACACACGACGCCACGACATCCCACAACGCAAAACCTGCACACACACACACAGACACACAGACATGTACACCACACACACAGATATCGAGAATGCAGTGAGTGAGTGAGTGCAGATCAGTTGGTGACGTCACGTGCCGTGACTGACCGTACCTACCGTGTTGTGGGAGTCGGTCCCGCTTCTCCGCGTAGCTCAGGGCCTTGGCGTCGGTGCCCTCGGGATACAGCCAACTCACTGCAATGCGCCAGAAGCTTCACTCACGGCATGGCACAGACGGACACAAATGGACGTCACTCACGTGAGGTCATGCCATGCAGTGCAGCATTCATTCATTCAGCACTCACCTGTTGGTCGGGTTGCCGTAGAACTGCTGCTTCTCGCGCGACTTGGTTGAGGGGAAGGAGCCGAGGATGAGGGTGTGGGGGTTGTCGCCGACGACGGGGTTGCAGGGGTGCTGCAGCAGCTCGTCTCCGCCATCCTGCTGCTCCTCCTCCTCCTCCTCCTCCTCCTTGACCTCCTCCTTCACTCGCTTCCTGTGCTCCCCTTCAGCCATCATCTGCCTGCAGTGGTTGCAGCTTTCGCAGGGCGTCTGATTCGGATCTCGAGTTGGGGTCTAGCCACGAAACGAACAGAACTGCTTCGGGAGAGTCTGCGACTATTTGGTCTGCGACGTGATGATTGAGGTCTTTATCATCTCTGTCTGTGTGGCCTTCCTGCTGTCCGAGTCGGCGGCCTTTCACTTTCAGCCGCCAGCGGCCTCTTCGCCCTCCCGCCCTCTGCCCCTGAGGCGCCGCAGCAGGTTCGAGCACCTCGCCGCCACGCCAGAAGACACCCCTCAATGTAACAAAGATGCACACGCGCACATCACAGTGGCACGGCGGCGGGCCCTGCCTGAGATCAGATCTGTTGTGCTGGTTGTGTGTTCCCTGTGTGTGTGTGACGTGCAGCGTCTGGTTCGAGCGACAGTTGGGAGGAGTCTTGGCGCGAGACGCTTGAGCGTCGCAAGGCGCTGGAGGAGCATGAGAGGCAGCGCGAGGTGGAGCTGAGGCGAGTGCAGAACAGGCAGGTGGTGGAGGAGCCATACTTCGGCAAACACCGGAGCGAGGAGAAGCCGCCCGGGCTTGGCGTGCACAACTGGGATAGGGAATGGCAGACATTCCAGAAGAAAAAGAAAACGTACGTATGTGACAGACAGACAGGCCGATAGACAGACTGGGTGGACTGCAAAGGGAGGCTTCCTTCCATGTGTGTGGCCTGTGTTGTGTTGTGTGTGTGTTTCCTTGCGGGTTCAGGAAGCTTGTGATTGACGTGCCATTCATCCCTGAGCGATGGAAACGACGAGTAAGTTGACTGACTGAGTGACAATCAAGCTCGCGCATCGCATCGTCCTCCCCCTGTCCGTCTATCTCCCTTTCTCGGCTGCTGTCTGTCTGTCGATTGACATACAATCATCTCATCAGTGGGAGAAGCAAAAGGAGAAGGAGGGCGACAGCGAGGCGCTGCACAACTTCATCATAGCGCTGCAAGACAAGAAGGAGAACAGCTTCCAGCAGTTCATGGGAGCCATCGGCAACCATGGCCTCGAGAACGTCGTCTACTGGCTCCTGGCACACCCCAGGTGCAGGACCGTCTTCCTCAAGAGGGCACTCAAAGGTCAGACACACAGACACACAGACAGACAGACAATAAGTGATCGAGTACCTGAGCACCTGTCTGTTCGTTCTGTGGCTCTCATTGGGATGGTGGGTGTGTCCGTGTGGCTGTGTGTGACATGCCATGCGCACAGATCTGGCCAACTTTTATGAGAAGGAGGGGTCGACAGTGCACCACGGCAGTGAGCCCGAATACATCATCAGGCTCAGGGTATGCGATGCGTGCAGTGCCCTACACAGACAAACGAGCCGGATCAGACGGACGGACGGACGGACGGTCGTGGCTCTACTTCCTACTCTCTCCGTGTGGTGTGTCTGTGTCTGTGCGCGCAGTGGCAGATCGATGCTCACTTGTCTCGTGCTATGCGGGGCAGCCTGGCGCACTTCGATGAGATCCTCTCGCACCTCGCGAGGACCGACCTCTCGCAGAGGCAGGGCAAGCTGCTCCTCGGTACGCTACGCGAGAAGAAGCAGATCAAGTCTCGTGACACACCCGTGCTCCGCTCCCTCCTTTCACTCATTCAGACACTGCTGATGAGGCCGAGCGCATTCTTCAGGGTGAGTCAGTGAGTGGGCTGGGCAGGAAGGACACAGATGAGGATTGAGCAATCAATGCATTTGTGGACCGTAAGTGCATCCTGAGCCGTGTGTCGCCTGTTTGTCTGTCCTTGACGCAGATGTGCCCGATCACATCTTCAACTACACACAGCTTGTCGAACACGCAGAGAAGAAAAGTAAGTGACCCGACACACACACGCACACCCCTGCCGATGGGTGGGTGTGTGTGTGCTGCCCTCCCCTGCAGAGGTGCAGCGAGACCGTGAGCTTCGCTTCCACCACGTCTCACGGCGGCGCCAACCAAGCCAGCAGCCCGACCCCTACCTGAGGACGAAGGTCGCCACGCCCACACACGTCGGCCAGGCCCCCGAGAAGCTCTCAGTGCCGCACGTCATGCCCTCACTGGTGTCCAAGAGGCCGCTTCCCCCACTCGAGCTTGACGCAATGGTGTATCTCGACCAACGTGGCGGTGAGAGGGGCCGGGGAGAAGGTGCTGCTGCCGCATCGGTCATTCCTGACGGGCTTGATGGCGTGTCGCTCGCTGACCTGGGCAGAGGTGAGGGGAAATAAAATGGCAGGGGGGCTGGGGCTGGGGAGGGTCAGGGGCATCGCATCTGTCATGCCTGTCAGGTGATGGTGACGCGACTGCGTCTGAGGCGCTCAAGAAGCTGGATCGCGTGCTGAGGGTGCTCTACACATACGAGAAAACCCTCTCCATGGGACTCAAAAAGGTGAAGGCCAAGGACAGCACAAGGGAAACAGGACACACACATCCTCATGGCTGCTGCTGTGTGTGCCCCATGCATTGATTGCAGCTGATGGAGCGGAGCGAGAATCTGTCCGAGGCCGACCTCCGTGGCGACCTGACGTTCTCCCACGCGCCGCTCGAGTCGGCCACCACCAACCAGCTGCTGTTCCGGTACATCTGGACGGCAGTCCAGTGCGCCATCCTGCTGGTCATCTCGCGGCTCTCCACACTGACCGCACTCAATCGCCTGGGCGACGACCCACTCGTCCGATACCCAACGCCTGCCGCACCCATCATCGGCCACGCGCGGCCACTAGCTCCCACTCTGGCGCGACGATTGGCGTCTACTTCTGCGGCTGGCGAGGGCGATGGCGAGCCCCCGTTGCTGCGTGTGCACCCTGCTGTGTGGGAGCTGGTGCTCATGCAGTCGGTGCAGTGGGTCAAGGAGCTCGTGGCGAGGGATCGCGGATCGTTCTGGCGGCACTCGGACGAGCCTCTTTTGAGGGATAGTGTGCGGTTCGTCGAGTCGCTGGCGACGGAGCTCTGCGATCCCGTCCTCCACACCATATGGGCGCCGGAGGAGCAGAGACCGGAAGAGCCGATGGCCATCGACATGCCGGCCAATGAGGTCCTCCCCACCCTCACTCAGCAGCTCACACAACGACCACAGCAATCGCGCCGAGCGCAGCGCGCTGACACTCAAGTGCCTGTGGGCCGTTCTACCAGCCGCGACGCCCCCCTCCCCTCTCCCCCCTCCGACCCCCCAATCGCCCCGCCCCCCTCCTCTGTCCATCCCGTCGACGTGCGTGTGGGTGCCGTTGAGGCGCTGATTCAGATGAACGGGCTGCATCAGCCGGTGTGGTCGAGGTGGCAGGGGGGCGGGGGAGGCGCGAGGACGGAGACCACCGTGGAAAGGATTGTCGCTGACGGGCTGACTGAGAGGGAGGTCCTCACACCGAAAGGTGGGGCACTCACGCGACGCACATGCACACACACACAACACCCACACAGACACTCGACCCATTGCATTGCATGGTCGTCTTGTGTCACGACGTGGTGTGTGCAGTGGTTGACGGTTGGCCGGCGTCGATTCCGTTTGAGCTTGAGCGGCTGGCGGGCGTGCAGCCAATCGACCCCTTCGACAAGTTCCTCAAGCTCGACCTCTCGGACGAAAATGACGTCGACCCCAAACCCCCACCGCCCACCCCCACCACCAACACCACCACCACCAACAGCAGCACCGACCCACTCGACCCAGCTGTGGCCATATACCACGAGCCACCTGTGGGCGTGCTGCGAAAAGTGATGGGACCTCTCGCCAGCTTTCCGCCAAGAGACCCACGTCGCCGGCTGTTCGAAGCCATCCTGTCAGCCCTTCTGATGACCGATCACGAGAAGGAGCGGTTAGTGGACAAGACGGACGGCAAGGAGGGGACCGAGGAGTTCCCCAAGGAGCTCAAGGAGCTCGCTAATGCACTGACGGCGGTGCTGAATGTGACTGAGAAGGGCGTGCAGCGGGAGCTGGACGAGGCGATTGGCGAGCAGATCGACTGGGACAGTGGAAAGGACGACGGCGACCTTCTCGAGAAGGATCCGGACACGCACACGGACAAGGAGGACGGCAGGGCAAGGGAGCTGACACTGCCCACTGCAAGGGAACTGGCTGAGGTGAGCAAGGGACGGGAAGGAGGGAGGGACCACAGATCTGTGGCGGCACACATGATGGATGCCTGTGTGTGTATGTGTCTCAGCTGGAGCTCGCCAAGACCCTCTTTTGCACGCTTGACCCTGAGGTGGCCGCTGCATCCTTCAAGCTGGTCAACTGGTTCCCTGTCGGCGACGTGGCGCTCTCAGGCAGCGTCAGGAACCTTATCGACAAGAGGGCGCACGCCATTAAAGTGATACTCAACAGGCACCCTGTCCTCAGGTACCTATGGCCTCTCTCACTCTCTCTTACCCACACACGTAGAACAGCAACGATACTGTCTGTCTGTGTGTCTGTCTGTCTTATTTCTGTCGATCTCACTCATTTTCAATCAACAGGTGGGCGCCGATGCTGCTGAGCATCCTGGGGACGTTTGTGGCTTTTCGTGTGATCGTGTGGGCGAGCATGGCGGTTTTCTGGGCGGGGTCGGGCATCTGGCAGATGGGGGCGGGCGTCGGATCCAGCATTATGGCGGCCGGTATGGGCATCCTGCAGGCAGGCATGAACGTTCTCCAGCTGGTGCTGCCTTATCTCCCACAGTTGCCGCAACTGCTGGTGCCATGATGGCTGGATGTGATGTGATGTGTGGATGGGATGGGATGGGATGGGATGGGTGGCGGTGTGGGTGGGTCGGCTTAAGTGGGGGATCCGATCCCTGCAGCAAGAGCATCCATTTGGGTGGGTATCTCGCTCGCCGTACAGACCGAAGCTACTGCTTGGTCGGTCAGTCAGTCCGTCAGTCAGTCAGTGTCTGTGTGCTTTTTCCTTGTACCGATCCAAGGCGATAGATAGACAGATGAGCCATCCATCCATTGGACCATCGATAGATCAGCTAACTGCCGAGTGTATGCAGCGAGGCAGCCAGCCAGCTAGCCGCCATCAGGCATTGTGACGTCTCAGAGAGAGAGAGAGAGAGAGGACGGCTGACGAGAGAGAGGAAGAGTGTATGGGTGTGGTGCAAGAGAGGAGGGCGAGAGGCGAGAGGACCGATATATACCGCTGGCATTTTTCCCTCCCTCCCTCCCTCCCTCCCTCAGGCCTTCCTTCTGCATGCCTGCTTGCCTCCTTGATGCATCCATCCATCCTACACGCAGAAGGCGTTTTGGACCGCATTTTGGAGCGATTTCCCTCCTCATCCGTCCCGTCCGCTCAGACGCGCATACGGGAGGGAGGGAGGGAGTGCAGTGAGGGCTGTGTATACCGTACAGGAAGCCAGCGAGCGAGTGAGCGAGTCTGACCTGTGTTGTATTTTTCTCTCTCCTTCTCAGAGCCGTGCTTTTGGGTGCATACATCTAGTGTTCCTTTTGTCTCGCCCTCAACCACCCCCCCACCCCCCC